AGCGCTGTGGCATTTAGAGTGCAACATAAAGTGAACACACACAAATACATACGTGTATATATATAGATCTTTATATAAACATAAAGTAAACATTGATTGAAGTCAAGACTTAAAGTGCACTGTGACAAAAGACGACCGAGTTCGCAGCGTGTGCTGCAGTGCCCAAGTGTGCGTGTGTTTGTTTGTGTGTGTGTGTGAGTGCACGAGAATCAATTGCATTTCCCTACATACTTTTTGGATACAACTCGAGGAGCCGCCGCCACAGCAATGCAGTAAGTCAAAGTCGCAGCTATGAATCATGACTCAGAGCCCCCAAAAGAATTTACAATGCAGTCGCTGCTTATAATTAACGGAATGGTGGGGGAGGTTGAAGATTTGTGTCGCTTGGCAACCACAAAAAATATTCTTTTCAAATTATTTCAAAACCTATAGAGCATACGTAACTGTAACTGCGCGTTTGTTGTGAGACCTTTTTCCAGCTATGTGTGTGTGTGTGTGTGTGTGATTGTGTTTGTGCTTGGCGTGGGAGTTTTGCTTTGTTTGTCTTAAGTCTTGTTGCCTGCGGCTCAGACTGAATTTGGTTTGGACAGCCACAAAGGCAGCCGCAGCCGCAGCCGCAGCCGCAGCCATGGCAAGCAGAGCTGGAGCTGGAGCTTAGTTTTTGGACGTCTTTTGAGGCTTTGCCTTGGCTTATTACCTAATCGCATTGTCTGAACGCCTTCTGAGTGCGCAAAAACTAGAAACAAAAAAAAAAAATAAAGCGTTAAGTAAATAAGCTTGGAAAATGCGCTCACAGCTAAACAAAACTGAGCTCTTGCAGCACACTTTGAATTGTTAGCCTTTGTGTCAATCAATACGTTTTAGCGACTGTCCCAGCTGTCCCGCTGACTCATTGCCAGGCCAGGGCCAAGCGCTGCGCTAACTAGTGCATTTCGGCTGGTCAACAAACAAACGGCCAAAGATCACAGATTCGATAGGCAGCAACAGAGGCGGCAGCCATAGCGACAGCGAATTGCACAATTTGTCAGCTTATGACAATCCTTTCTAAAAAGAGGCGTATAAATTACTTGGGCTAACGCGCATTATATAACTGCACCTCAGCTGCGAAATTGTATCGCTTGCACACATGCGGCGTATACGCAATATTTCAAAAGTCGTCGCGTTTGAAATTACAGTTAGAGCGAACGAGCGTACGCACAGCAATGCGCATGCGTGGCCCGTTGGCCCGTTGGCCCGCTGGGCGAGGCCTCGCGCGTCCATTTGCCCGACTACCAAAAGACATGCCAAATTGTAGGCGATTAAATCGGTTTCTTTTTTTTTTACCATTTACCATTTACCACTTGCCATTTGTTGGGTGTGTATTTAATGCAATTAATAAATTTTGCCGCCCCAGCTACAATTTAATGTTTTTGCAGATTCCCACAAATCACGCGCGAAGGTCACTCGCAAACTGTAACAAATTGTTTCTTTCTTGTTGCTGTTGTTTTTTTGCTTAAAACGAAACTGGAAAGAAATTGTTGCACATAAAATTCATTGCCAAACGCAATTATCCTCCACATAATTCACATGCTGAAAAATCAGCGGCTCGTAAAGAGAGGGCCACAGCGATTCACCATTAAAAAAACTGCACGCACATTAAACTTGTTTAATTTGTTGTAATTGTAGCAGTGCAGTGTAATTTATTTTTCTTGATTTTTCTGTGTTTTCCATTTTTCTTACATTTTTTATTTTACTTTTTTTCGGCGCTGCTAACGAGCGTGCGGCATAATTAACCAATAAAATTAAAGTAGATAGCACTCGTGGCTTAAGTGAAAACAAAAGACTTAGGCAACAAACGCAGGTGTTAAATGGCAGCTAATGGCATTGTTGAGCAGACTCCAAGCGAAGAAAAGAAAAGAAAAAAACAATTTGCTTTATTTCAGTTAACCAACTTAAACTAAAATGAAGTTTAATTTGGGAATTGGGCAAAATTGTATTCAAATTGAAAAACTTTTTTGATTCAAGAAAGAAAGACTTAGGCAACAAACTTGGTTGCACAAAATCAGCTGTTGCATATGTTGAGCAGCCTAAGAAAAACCACTTGAACTAAGAAGCAGTTTAAATTGTAGTCAAATTGCATACGTCTTCAACAAATAGAAAGAAATAGGCAACAAACTTGCAGGCAACAGTATATCAAATGAAAAGACTTAGGCAACAAACTGGTATGTAAAATATTTATCTCTAGCAATTTCTCAAGGCAATGGAAATTTTAATTGTTGAGTTTTTCCGTTGAAAGCAGAAAGAAAATAATTTTAAAAAAAAATTAGACTGAAGATTGGAGCTTATATATAAAAATTATTTTATGTTATATATTTATATATAAAAATATTTTGCAAGCTTAATAGCTAAAAAGAATAAATAAAGTTAGTTTTCTGAAAAAAAATAAGCTAAAATTTAAAATATGTCTAAAAATGTAGTAAAAATCTTTAGAAATTCATACTGATCAAAAGACTTAGACAACAAACTTGAAGCCATGGTAGCTAGTGCAAGGAATTATCTTCCAAGGTTCAAATCCCACTCAGTAAATTCATAAAATATATGAAATTTGAAATATTTCACTAAATCAGAAGCTGAGAAAAATTGAAATATTTTTGAAGCAAGTAAAGTAAATAGATTTTATATTGTATTGATATTATATTACATATTATTATTGCGTGGCCAGCGATTTTCTCAAGCCTGAATATGGGTTTAGCTTCTATTTCATAATCTATAAAAACAACATGTCTTATGTCACACACGTTATACGCCCAGCTTTTAAGGAAAGCAAAACGTATTCAGCTTTCGGCCAAAATCAAAAACATTGCTAAAAATTGAATTGGTAGTCAAGAAAAGACACACACACACTGACACACACGTAAACACATAGATTTTCTATATGAATGTGCATAATGAAACCACTTTTGCTGCAATTGCGACTTACGACTGTGGTTAGAGAAGCAGAGACAAGCGATACGAGCGACATAAGAGACAAGAGACAAGGAGACCAGTGAAAAGGCATCCACAGAGACCAGAGACGAGAGACGACGCATCGTTTCTTGGCGTCCATGTGATGTAATGTGGTGCATGTCTGGCATCTGGCTTAGGCATCTGGACTACTAACACCAACAGATAGCGCAGACAGCGCCGACTGGAATGAAGTGGAGTGGAGTGGAGTGTTCCATTTATGGCAGACAGCGCGGCCACTTTGGCTGTGTGGCATGCAACGCATGATTATGTGGAGCACTAGGAAACGTTTTTCTGGCAACCCAATTTAAGTGAATTGATGAATCCAGTTAATGACTTAACCAAGGCGGCGTTTCGTCTCTATCTGTCTCTCTCTCTCTCACTCGCATGCCAATAACTGATGAGCCAGGATTAGCGTAATCAAACAGTAGCTGCCACAGTAGTGACAATGCAACACAGGCACAGCTGCAGCTGCCACAAAGTACTTAACTCACTTTGCAAAAGTTCAAAGGTTGCCAACAACAAATTGGCTAAAGGCCAGACAGACTGCCAGACAGCCAGACAAATTGCCAGCTAGAATTGCTGAAACAAATTGTATGAGCGCTATATAGTATGTGTGTGAGTGCATGCGTGTGTGTGTAGGCAGTGGCCATTACATAAGCTTTCGCATTCGCTTTATTAACATGCCTTAATTAGCGCCGCTTTATAGCCATTAGCATTAACATTAACAGCCACTTGGCCTGACACATTGAAAGTAAAAGTTTGCTTTTTGCCATTGCTCTACTCTCTTACATTTGGCATTATTATCGTTCATAATATTATGCTTAACTGTGTTTGCTTTCGATTGTAAATACCTCAATTCAATTGCATTGGCACGCGGGCACGTAACATTGGCCAAGCCGAAGCCGAGCCAAGCTAAGTCGCGCTGCCGGTCAACTGGCTTTGGTAGTTGCCAGCAATGCGTAGATGCCCCGCCGTTGACATTCAACCAAGTCTTTGGCCAACTCTTTGGCTGCGCATCGTGTGGGTTTTACTAAATGGCGTTCAAATTGAACCCGCGGCTAAAAAAGTGAGCAACTAAAAAGAAACAGCAGCAGCAGCAGCCGCACATCTTCATCTTATACCCTATCCCAAGGGGCGATTGCAAAAAAATAAATAAAAGTTATACGCCTTAAATGGAAAATAGCTGTTTATATGTAGGTTAACAGAAATTGTGCCTTTTACAGACATTTTTTACTTTAAGATATTATTTAATTATACGATTTTTTTCAAGTTTATTATAATTTTAACTCTTTCTGATATAAAAATAGATAGCTGATTCCTTGGCATCTATAAGGTATCTACACATAGTTTTGGATGCTGACTCTGTTATCTCATTAAATGGATATTAAAATAAAGCATTCTTCAGGAACAGTTCTCTAGAAATAAACAAGAAAAACTCAACTGTAAAAGATTAATTATTATTGGCTGAAAAGTGAAATTAAAAAGGCAAAACTAAAATTCAGAATTTTTAGGGAATTTTAAAGAGAAAAATACTCTTAAGTTCTCTAAGAGCTACTCAGCTAAGTTGTTGCGCTAATGATAGTCCATTATATAAAGAAGTTTCCTATAAAACTAAAGTGTTTCATGACTGAAGTCAATTCAAGGTTTTCTATAAATGAAAATTGTTTTCTTCCCTGATTATGGCTTATAGATATATGCTGATAACATATCATGATAATATAACTATTACCACCTGCCAAATATTGAGCTTTCTAAACACCTCACATAGAGCATTTTCCGTAACGACTTTTCGCTATTAACATTTCAACAGCTGCAGTTAGTGAAACTAACTGCACTTCTTAGCTGCAGCTTGACGACTGCCCAGCTTCCAGCTTTCCAGCTTCCCAGCTCCGCGCGCCCTCAACCGCTTGGCGTCTCGCGATTACCTTATAACTAGTTTCTGTGCTGCTGCTGCTAGTGTCTTGGTCTTGCATAACGCGTCGCTGGGCTGCCGCAGTTGTTGCCTTCTTTGGCTGCAATTTGGCGGCATCTTCGCTGCATCTTCTGCTTTTTTTGCTGCGCTTTTGTTGGTGTCTCGCGGCAAAAGGTTCGCGTAAAATCAAATATTTTCCCGCGTTTTGCGCATTGAGGTTGCCACAAAAGTTTCCCATATCATAAAGTCTTACTTATTGATGGCATGACTTGGCTAATCTGATTGCTATTGCCAATTTCTATTTCTTCTTCTTCTCTGTGTGTATGTGTTTTGCAGACGCAATCGATGCCTGACGTTAGTCCTCGTGGCCATGGGGCTGTGTGCCTGTGCGCACGCTGCCGCAACGGGTGCACCTACAGCGACGGCCACCACGGAGAAGCCGAAAGGATTTTCGGCACGTTCCCTGGAGCTCAACTCCAACGGCGATGATGATGATGAATTTGAGACACAGGCACAGACACATTTGGCCTACCGCCAACCGCAGCAGCAGCAGCAGCGACAACTGTACGAGTACAGCGAGGAAGATCAGGAGGAGGCGCCACGTCAGGTGTACGTCAATCGCAACAATGGCAAACAGCAGAGCAACTATCTGAAGAAGCAGCCGCTGAGCGAGGAAAGCGAAGAGGAGGAAGAGGAAGTCGAAGAGCCCGATCGTCTGTCCACGCTGCTCAGCAAATCCTCGTTCAGCTGCACAGATCGTAACTCCGGGTGAGTGCCGGGTAAAGTCTCTCAATTATCAATTTAATTTATTTGGATCTTTGCAGCTACTATGCCGATGAGTCGCTGAACTGTGAGGTCTTCCACTACTGCCAGGAGAGTCAGAAGCATTCGTGGATCTGCCCTGAGGGCTTTACTTTCCATCAAATCCATTTGATTTGCATGCCCCCATCGCACGACAACATCTGCAAGCAGTCCTCTAAGTATCATATTGTCAACGACTATCTCTACAAGCCCATCAATCTGCAGGAGCATCAGAGCAAGCCGAATGTCACGCTGCGCTACTCTGAGCGCTATTTCCCTGAGAACTATTATGAACACGAGCGTTACGACGATGAGGAGGAGGAGCTTCCCGCGCCCCGTCCCCGCATTCAACATCAGCCTCAGCAGCATCGCCAAGCGATTGCCTATCAGCCGCAGCCGCAGCCGCAGCCACAGCATCAGCCTCAACCTCAGCAGCTGCAGCACGCGCCCCAAGTACGCGTCCAATACCAACAGCAGCCTCAGCAACAGCAACAGCAGGTTGTTACACAGATCAGACACCAGCAGCCGCAGCCCACAACTATTGCCTATAGGAAGCCATTGCCCACGACAACCATACAGCCACAGATACAGCCACAGCTGCAATTGCATCAGCTGCAGCATCAGCATCAAAGACCGCAGACGTTGGCGCCCACAGTAACACCGGCGCCGTATCGTTTCTTCACTGCTTCGCCGCTTCAGCATCTGCAACAGCATCAGCAGCAGGTCTATCGTACTCCAGAAGAGATTAACATATCGCTGCAGCAGCGCCGGCCTCAAGTGTTCATTGCCTCAACAACGCCCCGCTATTACGAGGACGAGTACCTGTACGAGCGAAGGAAGTGAACGTGAGAGCAAGAACAGCAGACCAGCTGACTAGCTGAGTAGCTCAATGTAACCAGTCTTGTCGTTCCACGCCTTGTATGAGTTTCCCTTTAGGTTTAAGCTGCGCCCATTTATCTTGTATATGCTGTAACAACTATATAGTCCCAAAATTTAGCGCGAGTTTTATGTACCTTATTTGTAATATTTAATGTCCTGCTAGAAGAATCCGCCTTCTAACTCATTTCGTTAATAAAGTACGCAACGTTTTAAGTTAAGCATCTTCATTGTATATCAATTTCCATGTATTGATCAGCATTGGAAAGCTGCGTCGCCTGGCTCTTGGTGCCCTCCTCCACCACATAGTTGGGCCCAACCAGACAGTTATTTAAAACAGAGCCAGTCTTCACATGCGCCCGATGTCCAATGATGCAGTTATTGATATTGCAGCCCTCTTCCACAATCGCATTGGCCATAATGATCGAATTGGTTACAATATTCTTCGGACTAACAACACAATTGGCACCAAAGACGCTGCAATTGAGCGAAGTCTTCTCCGAGAGCTTGGCATTGTCGGCGACAATGATGTCCTTGGTTTGTGTCGACTTGACCACTGCACCTGGTGCGATCAGAGGATGTGTGTCGCCGCATAGCTCCGTCCAAATGCCCGAGAGTTTGCGATTGATGGCCAGAAAACTGAGCGTGGTATTAACGCGCACTCCAATTGCCTCCTTTGGTGCTTGCACTGCAAAGCACCGCACTACGTCGCCGTGGTAGGGCACATGCGATAGTGATTGATTGAACAGCGAAGTCTGTGTGAGTTTCTGATCCAGCGCCGTGTGCGTTACATACTTTACAAAAATTCAATTTTGATTACGACTCCCAAATAAAGAAAATACTGCAACTTACATGCAAAATATTATCCTCATGCTTGGTGGCAATGCCCAAATCGGAGGTTGTATCCGGCACCGTCTTTGATGACCGCCTCGCATGTTGTTTGCGAATGAGATGTGGCAGAAACTCGCCCTTAAATGTTGAAATTTTCTCTTTCTGCATGAAATGGATTTGTTTATAAATTATTTTATCTTATCATAGTTTGTGCTTGGCATACCCTGTGTAGATAGTTGATCACCCATTTCTTTAGCACATAGATGTGCGCATCCAGCAGGCGTCCGTAGACATCCAGCTGTCCCTTGTTCTTGAGCAGATGACGCTGAATGTTAAGCGTATCCTCACAATCGCTGGCAGCAAAAACAAATGCCAAACGTTGAGTGGCTGGATGAATGCCAATCATATCACGCTCTGGCTTGTGCTTCGTCTTGGGACCGGGCATAATTACATCCGACTCAAAGCCGCTCTTAAAGAGCAACAAAGCCAGTGAAGCATCATCGGCACGAAACTTATTGATCAGCGGATATAAACTGACATTGGTAACAATATCACAACTAACAACCAAGAAATCCGACTTGATTCTGAAGAGAATAACATATATTACATATTATATTTATATTTAGAGCTAAGCGTGACTATTTACTTGTCGTATATATATCGCAGGCTGTCGGCCGTGCCAAAATCACTGTCACTTGGCACTGTCGCATAGTCAATTTTCACTTTAAGCTGCGTGTGCTCTAGTGCCACCTGTATCTCTAGTTTATCCTGCTCCTGCACTACAACGATTACCTCTACAGAAATGTGAAGATAACAGATGAAGTATGCTGAGAGTTATATTTTAATTAGAGTATTAATTACCTGTAAAATTATGCCTGCTTAGCATATTGAGTGGATACCATATCAAGGGATATGGACCCACAGGCAGCAAACATTTGGGCGCATCACCAAGCACTTCGGGCAGACGTGTGCCACGGCCCGCAGCCAAAACTACAGCTTGAAATTCGGAATTTGTCATTTTTTATGCTAGCACGAAATTTACGAGTATTTTAAATTGCCAACACGCTTGGCCGACGACGACACAGCTGTGCGAGTAGCTTTCAGCGTTTATCAACACTGTTGCCCATGGGACATATGTTGCTGTCACATGACTGCACTTGTATTGTTTTTGCAATTGTATAAAACTAGTCAGATGACCCACTTTTTTCATAAAGATTCCCTTAATCTTATGCACTTTTTAGCCAAATTACAATAATTTTAGAACAACAAAAGACTTTAATGTATGATTTGAGCGCTACATAACTACAAAATTGGAATACATACATTTTCTTATTGGAATTAGACTATATACTTTAAGCTTACAAAGTTTGCCAGTAGCTACATTTTACATACAATAAGTTTTTCTTGTGGTTTTTCTTTTGCGGATTAAAAATGGAAACAGAACAAATATTTTTTTGTAGTATAACAATAACATATTGCTGGAATACACACACGTAAACACGCATGGGGTTAATACTTAGAAGAGAACATCATCATCGCCCTCATCGAGTATGTTTGAGTGCTCACGGACATCGATGCCCTGTTGGAGGAGCTCTGCTTTCTTGGCGTCTGCCTTCTGTCGGGCTTCGCGCTTCTTGTCCTGAATCTTTTTCAAACGATAGAACTCCTCACGCTCCAGCTCGTCCAGCTCCGAGATGATGTAGGCCAAAGTACGATCGATGCGAGGTATGATGACATGCTCGATGGCGTTGACACGACGATTCGTGATCTTGATGACCTCGTCGAGGGTGACGAAGGAGGTTTGGAGCGATGCCAGCTCAACGAGTAGCTTTACGGCGCTTTGGTAGTTCTTCTTCAACTTGGCCAGCTGCTGGCCACCACGGGCAAGACCAGCCAGCTCATAAGTATCAGCGCCATCTTGATAGGACTCAAATACGGGCAGCGTTACACCAGCGACGTTGTCCTTCTTGGTGCGTATCTTGATTTGGGCTTTGGTCACGTTTTGCAGCACCACCTGATTGATGTCGCCTGATGTAAACTTGGCTTCGGCCAGCGAGAAGGCGGCCTCTTTCATAACATCACCCATCAGAGTTTTTGTCTCAATGATTTTGCCAAGAATCATGCGAAAGCGCATTTGCAATGCATCAGCTTTTTTCTTCAGCAGGCCATGACCTTTCTGAGCACCCGCAAGACGGGCCTTCATTAACATTTGGGCGCCACGAGACGGGAAAATCGGTAATCTATCTTTGCCAGACATTTTCGTATAATTTTAATCCTTCTACGGGGTTAATTACTCGACTTTTCTTTACTGCGCACCACTACTTTTAACACACCCGTCGAAGAACACTGAAAAACTCCAACTGGACTGGATAAATACAGTGTTGGCTAAGATTCTGCAAATTCAGTGCTGCACAACACATTGAAGAAACAGTAATGCACAACGTTACATATTATTGTTTATAAAGCAATAAATTGTAGCATCAATTTGGATTCATTTGTAAAATTACAATGAAAAACCAGTATTATTTTGATTGTCACACAACGACTGCAACTGCCTTAGTATCCAAAGTGTAGTGCTGTATAAGGAACTTTAGTAATAGTGCTGAGTAGCAAATTAAATAAACAGCTGTTTAGAAAACAGCTGTAAACAAATCAAAGGCGCCAGTGGCATATTTCTAAATAATGCAAATTTTGCAACGTTTATATTGGTTGTCACCAAAAACAATACAAATCTATAGCCGTAACTACGCCAAAAAACCAAAGGTCGCCATGACAAACAGCCGGCGTATGGTGCACAAGGAATTGATGCGTTATGTAAACCCCTATGCATGCATTAATATAAAATCGGATATTGCCGTCCATGTCGAGCCCGCCGACGTCCATGTGTATACCAGTGGGGATGTACTTATAGCCCAGCTAATTGGTGGTCCTGTGTGCAACTCTAATGTCAGCCTGGACCTAGATGTTCATGACGATGATAAGGTTGTCAATGTGTTGGTCAAAAAGTCCACTGAACAGACGTCGTATTTTACATGCCTTCTTAAGATACCTGTGCGTGCCGACGTGAACTTGGAAGCAGAAGAAAAAGTAACAGTACAGGGCATCCAAGGCGGGGTACTTAAGATAAAAGCCGCAGGCGATATATTCACCAATAATGTGCGTGCCACAAATATATCGCTGAGCAGCGAAAATGGCAACATCATCTGTGAAGGCACGCTGCTGGGCAAGTGCACTGAAATCGAAACACAGAACGGAGTAAGTAGCAATGATATGATATGTGCACAATCTTATAGAAATAATGTTCCATAGAACATCAATCTAGACAAGCTGCAGGGCGACAGCTTAAAGTGCTCCACACAGGCGGGTGACATCAATACACACTGCTGCTATGTAGAGAAATCAAAGTTTGAGACGACAACTGGCAGCATGGAGCTTAAGAACGTGCATAAAACTAGCGAAGTATTTGTGCATCAAGCGGGTGACCTGAAGATGAGTGAGTGGCCGTATTTTACTTATCCATTCAATAATTTATATATAATCTAAATGTCTAGCTGGCGTACATGGAAACCTAAATGTGGTTTCTAAAGGCGGCAGCATGAATCTCCAGCTCTCTGAGCTGAGTGGCAAAAGTGAGATTGTGGCACAAAATCTTATTGACGAGGCCATAATCAATATATCAGAGGCTATAGAGAACATTAACATAGAAGTTAAAGCTAGCCAGGTTAACTTAAACAACGAACTAGAGCATGTCTCACATGCGTTAAGTGAAGACAAAAGCAAGTTTCTGCTAAACAATGAAAATGAGCATCAACTAGTCGTAAGCAGCACAGGAGAGAACGGAGTACGTCTTGGCAAGCAATCGTGGACCGATATGCTGCAACAAAAAATGAAATCAAGTGAATAAATTTAAGGTTTTACAAATATTTATAGTATCTTTCATTATGTGTGTACGTATGAATGCTGGTTTGTATGTATATAAGTAATTATAAGTATAAGTAATATGTATTAATATGTATGTATTGTGCATTAGTGCAACAATTTTTCAGTCCTGTTTTATGAGTATTATTTGGCTTTGCCAGCTACTTCGTTTAAAACCGCGCCAAGACGCTGATGTGCCCTCTGAATCAGTACATCTTCCACCTGCTCCGCCTGCAAGGCAGCGCGAAACATATCCACTTTAACAGCATCAATTTCCTGTATATCCCTAACTAGAATTGGAACATCAGTACGGACGAACATGTGCGCCAATAAACGCAGCACTTTAAAAGCGTTTTCCTCGTACTGTGAACGAGGCTCATCCTCGTAAGCATCAAAATCATTTTCATCATATTCGGCATAGTCTTCAATATGCTGACGTAGAATTGTCCAGACGCCCAGTAAATGGGAAAAGGCTGCCTTGTCATAGAAATATTTAAGACACTGTAGTAGAAAATATATGTTAATTCAGCTAACATTTTCATTTTCATTGATTTGCATTGCTTACGCTGCATATGTGTGCCAAGTCTTCCAGATACTCCTCCTGTCGCTCGCCCAGTGGCAGCAGCTGATTGGGTTGCTGCAGGAATAGTAAAATGCGGGTTAAACAAAACATAATGCTGGGTGTATAGACATCCATGGACATCTGCGCCTCCGGCAGCTGCACCAGTATGGTGCATATATTGAGGTAGGTTTGAATTACTTCGATGTCGCAGTTTATTTTTGGTGTGCTTAGCTCATCGCCATCATCATCAACACCATTTGGATCAACGGTGATGGGTGCCTGATCGGCAACGACTCCATCCACTTCATCCGCCTGCTTTGCTAAATCGTCACGCATTAGACGTATAAAAGCATTGTTAACGCCATCGCAAAGCTCCTGCACTAAAAATACCTCCGAGAATGGCTTTAAATTGAGATCCGGCGTCTGGGCATTCTCCTCCTCAACCAATGCACAACTTGCAAGCACAGCATTAATGGCTTTAAGGGCAGCCAAGAGGAGCTCATCGCTCACTGACTGCTGCAGTATAAAACCGAGATTCTTTGCCGAGCCATCGAAGGCGGCGAAACAAATGTACCATTCAATGGCCAGTTGTTCCTTGCCACTGACCACATGTGCCATCACATATTGATAGACGCGCATTAGTTGTAGTAGCATGCTCGTGTCCATGCAGGTGCTTAGCTTGAGCAGCATCTCAACCCAGTCAGCATGTGCGGTCAGCTGCTCCACACACTCCACTTGGGCGCACATGTTCCCAAGTAGCCCTATGAGTATCTCATAAAGACGCACATCCTCGCTGGAGGAGATGGCAAACATAATAAGCTCGATGGCATCATTTTCGAGCAGCAAAGCAACTACTTCCGGGGAGACAGACATATCCCACACCTTGCACAAATCATCCTCCAACTCCAACTCTAATGCGGTCTGTGGTGGCTGCTTGCTGAGTTGCATCAATGTCTGTAATATAAATTTCTTGCTGAACATTGTCTCGCCAACAGCATCACCACGCATGCGCATTAGCAATTCGTTCTCATCAGCATCCGAAGCATCATCCTCATTGTTTTGAATTCCGTGGGGTTGGGGCGAATTTGACTCCGATTTATTTTCACCATTTGCTGTGCCGTTTGTCTCCAATGTGTCAGCATCGTTCGTTTTATTTTCCGTTCGAATTAGACCGTTTGTCTCGCTGTTAACAGCTACTGCACCAATATTATTATCTCTTTCCGCGCTATCCACATCTTTGGTCATCTTGGCTGGTGTCTGGTGTCTGGGTTCCGGAATAAGTTCGATCGAATGGTTCACAAAAGCTGAACTGAAATGAACCAAACTGTTTACCGTTCAACCAATTCGATAAATCTAACATTTTCTGTTAACTTTCAAAAGCTTAAAATGTTTGAAACTGATGTTAACAGTGGGTAATTTGTATTCAGAATTGTTAAAATTCCCACTAATTATTAATTTTGGCTTATTACTAAATTTTTTTCAAACTTAGTTTTTCTTTTTTTTGGGTTTGAGTTCTAATCTAAAAGCTATCAAAGCACTGTAAGGCTGAGGCAGCCAATGTTATCTATATAATTCAATTAGTTTTTAAATTTTTTTAACAAAGTTTTTATTCTAAGCGCTGTCTTTTTATGAACACATCCAGTAAATGAGAAATGGGAATATCTGCAGGAGCTGGCGGTTGTGGCGGCGCAACATTATTGCGGTGTTGAGGAAATGTGGGCATCATGCGTGGATCACAAGCTACCAATAAAAATAGAATTTATCAAAAGGAAGTTATAACATATTAACAGACTTCACTTACGCTGTGGCGGCTCGGTGAAATATTTACTGTTCAAGCACTCCTCGGCTGTGGCTCGGGTGCTGGGATTGTAGATGAATAGAATGTTTAGTAGACTTCTGCCCGCTTGGCCAAGCATTTGGAATTTAGTTTTTAAATTATTGTACGGCTGTTGGCTAAGCGTAAAATTCTGCACAGCAGGCAAATCCTGATAGCCGGGCCAAATCGATTCAGATGGAGCTCCAAGCAGATCGATAATCATGTCCAGCTGTGCAATTTCCGAGCTACCAGGCAGCAGCGGCTTGCCTAGCAACAGCTCGCCCAGGATGCAGCCAAACGCCCACATATCAATCGATGTCGTATGCGTTCTAGCGCCTAGTAAGAGCTCCGGTGCACGATACCAAAGCGTGACCATTTGAGGCGTCATGGGCTTTGGAGGATTGCCATACAAGCGAGCGAGGCCAAAATCAGCTGTGATTGAGATTGCGTTAATTTAAGAAAAGGGTAGAAAGTGCAGCCTATACTTACCCACTTTGATGCAGCCTTTGTCCGTCATTAGCAGGTTGGAGACCTTCAAGTCTCGATGTATGATGTAGCGGTCATGCATATACTTCAAGGCACGCAGCACTTGCAGCGTTATACACTTGACCTCCGATTCGGTAAATGGCTGAGACATATTATCCAGTACTGAGGCGAGATCTTGCTCACAGAAGTCCATTACCAGGAAGATACTAAATGACAACATAATAGATTATAGGGAGCAGTCTCTAATAAGCATCTGTTTCGCTTACCTGTCCAGACTTTTGCCCACCACAACTTCTCGGAGTCGGACAATGTTCTCATGCTGGCAACGCTTTAGTATCATTATTTCACGCAGTCCACTCACAGGCAAGCCATCCTTCTCCTGATCCATGCGCACTCTTTTAAGAGCCACAATTTCCCCGCTGCGTGTGTCTCGCGCTCGATCTAAGCGAAAATAAAGCAATCGGATTCAATAGAGATTCGGATACAGTTCAATTTAATGTGCACTCACAAACAATACCATAGCTGCCCTCACCCACGCGGTTGAGTTTCTCAAATTCAGAAACAGGACGGCAACGCCCATACTGAAAACAATGCAGATAATTTAATAAAAAAGCCGGCACATGACAAATTCCCATTTAATACAGACCACATTTTGTTCCGGTATGGGCATGGGCGTGCCGCTGTTTTTCAGCGATATCAGAAAACCTTTACGGGTTATGGGTGCTTGAGGATCTGGCGCTGGATTTGTATCCAATTCATTTGACTTCTTGTCGCTGGACATGTTTATTTTGTTTTAGAATGGTTGAACGACATGAAAACATAAACAGCTTCGCAGGAATCGATACCTTTTTCAATTAATGCAAGAACTGGGCAGCAAGAACCAGGGCTGCAAACGCAAGAAATGTTATCAAGCTGCGCGGTAAGTGAGAAATTTGAAATCTTATCGGTAGGTTTTAGCCATAATAGAAATAGGAAATATGTTTTTGCACATATTAATTATGAAAAACTAAAACAAAAACTGCGTATGCATTTCATAATATTCACTAATTTATAGGCATGCATATAAACAAAAGTGGCTAGAAATATAGAGCACGATTTATGGAAAGTGAAATTGCGCCAGTTTAAAGAAATTTCGTTAGCATTTCATTTTAAATGCATGCTCTAGAGATTAAGAAAAATAATAAAAAAAACCGTTGCCTGCTTGTCATCTACCATGTCTACGCATGTGTTAAAAGCTGTTGGATAAAGCCACAATGACTCTACTATCAATTATCACCCTGAACTTGGAATAAACAACAACAGTAAAGCGAATAGGCAGAGGTATATAAATGTTGGAACTGGCAAAGAGTGCATCATCAGTTCTGCAGCAACTGTGCAAGTGATATAGTGACTTACCCAAACGCAGGAATATAGACTCAAAATAAAAAAAAATGAATAAAACAACAATTTGGTATGCGGTGGTACTGCTTGTGATCTATTTCACTTTGGTATTCTGCGAGGAAACGCCGGAAAATGCTGAAACTCAAATAATGAATACGAACTCGGAAATGGATATGGAAACATTACTTAACACTGGCCGAGAACTTTTGGAATTCGAAGGACGCACGCGACGTCATCGCCATCGATTCTGGTGTAAGTTTCTACTGATCCACAAACACGATAAATTATTGCTATGTAAAAGCTACCCCTCAGCAGCATCGATTATGTTGTTAGGCATCGATACATTACACTAGTGATTACTATGCAATAGCTGAGCGGTAACAATTAGCACATTTTGAATGTGTTTAATCACATTCTAAGCGATTTTGTTGTCCACCTGCTAATCAGCAACTGAAGACTTTCTTTCGAAAGTTTCCCAGCCCAGCTGGTGGGCTGGTCGTATGTATATCTCTTCCAATTGGAACATCACGATGTGCACTTACCGTTCAATAATAATTAATTAACACTTTTCACTTTCAATCGGCGCCACAATTCAACAATTGTAAATTGTCGTAGATCAGTCTAGCATTGGGTTCTGTTCGTGTTCAGTGAAAGTGTTGTCTTATCGGTTATCTAATCAGACTAAATTTTCATTTATAGATCGTCATCTGTGGCCCTTGGCCATTGCCTATTGGATCAAAGTGAAAGTGGTCATCGTATCTTTCTTTGTGGGTAGCGCCATTTACTTAGGTTTGCGCTACTTCTGGCCACATGCCAGATGCAATCAGGAGGTTATTCTAGATCATCCGTAAGCACTGATTAATTTTATAATCATTTTATCTATACACAATTCTTTTTCCATCCAGTCCCCCATCGTTCACCCACGATCAAATTCCATACTCTCTAGACCATCATCATGATCATGAATATGAGCATTATGAATCGCCTTCCTCGTACGACTCGAGCCCCTCCTTTGATCCCTACTCCGGCTACTCGAGCTACTCGGGCTACTCTTCCAACTCAGATATTGTATCTGACATGCAGAGCGATCCTCCTATGAGCGCCGCAGTACCCACTGGACCAACTGGGCCCACTGGTCCTACTGGTAGTTCTCATACAATTCGACGGGGCAGGCGCAGCGTTGACAGCATCGATATTGAGGACAATGTGGAAGTTGACCAGGAGGAGCATGTAGAGATTATTGATGAAGAGATCTCCGAGAGTGTTGCACGCCAGCAGCCCGCCGAAGAACAGTAAGAATCAGTTTAAGATCATCCTGCCTTAGATAAATATCATTTATATTTATATTATTTATAGAATTGCCGAGTTTATGTTCGCATTCTTGGGCCTGGACTCTAAGGCTTGTCGTCGTCGTTTCGTCTGTGAGATGGAGTTCCGCTCCAAGTTGAATCCACTGACCAGCATGACATTCCGTATTGTTGGCCGTGGCTTCTTCGAGAAGTACACCAACTCACGCAATCCACAGAGCCGAGCTACCAACTTCCTTGAGTGCGCCGCTGTGAATCCTGATTGCGTGTTCGTTGAGAACACAGATCCAGAAATTACGCCAGCTACTGAACAGGATGAATCCACCGAAACTAGCGCATCAACTAATCAGGAAAATACGGCAGAGGCCGAAAATGAAATCAACTTGCAGGCTGAACGTCGTCTGACGCAGCTGAAGAAGCGTCGCGGAGATCGCATGCTCAGCTCCATTGCCGAACACATTTTGACACAGTAGAATGCCAAGCAACATATAATTATTTATTTATTTATTTATTTATTTATTTATTTATTTTATTTAATTATTTATTTTAGCTATAAGAATGATGAACAAAATAAACTTGCCTCAGCTTTTAAACAAAAAACGACTACCATTATTTGTTCCGGAAAATGCAATAAAAAAAATGCTAAGTTTTAACTCAAGTCGGAAAATCTCAAGAGGAAAACAAAATAAAAAATATGAGGGAAAAAATTAAAAGAAAAACCGAATACCGATGGTGACTAAATTGTAAGGGCTAATTTAAGTCTTTTTGACCTTTTTCTTTTTAATTGCATTTATCTGATCGGCCATCTGCTCGATCTCCCGCTGATTGATGGGCTCGTTTTTACGGATGGTCGCCTTGCCCTTCTGCCTTTGGGCCACATCTGTGACGACATCGCTCAGCTTGCTCCACACAAAGCTGAGGAAATTCACGGCCAAGTCCTGTTTGAAGAAGGCAATGGCCACCAGTGCAATGAGCACCAGAGCTGATATGGAATTCTGATTGAGATCCGCTTCAGTTGCACGCACCTCTGCATTGAAGTCCAGCTTCACATAGACAGAACTTTTGTCCGCCACAAAGGTGAAGGAGGGTAGCTTGTAGGAGTACGTTTTCTCCGACAGCGTCGATTGCAGCTCGACTACATAGGTCTTGCCGTCGCGTGGTATGCGCGGGAAATACACCATAATTCCAGGATTGAAGCTTGACTTGGGATTTAGTGGAGACGCCACACGTTGTGAAAACACAGGCGAATCGGAGGCGCCCTGCCTGTACATAACAATGCGCAATGTCTTATAGAAATCATTTTGTGAGGCCATAATTGTGGCAGTAACATCCACAATATTGATGGGATTTACAGCAATCAAATTAATATTTCGCACATCCTCGTTACCAACGGTAACTGTGTGGCTTTCCGGTATGGAACGATAGACTTTGTCATCGTCCGTCAATACGCGAATGGTGTAGGTGCATCCAGGCTGTAGGCCACGAATGCGGTATTGTCCGTTGATTTCACTGCTTGCCTCTTCTTGTTGATGCTGGCAGCTATCCGTAGCGCTGGCCTGAACATTTACCTCCGGGAAGGGATCGCCATTGAGGGATGTAATTGTGCCAAAAATAGAGTAAGCGTACCGCTTTCCACTGCAATAGGTAACATATTAATAAGAGTTATACAACATAAGCTATCAATAGTTCTTACGTTAGAGTAACCTGAACAGTTTCGCCATCCTTGATATCAATCATTTTGGAATTTGGCTCAAATTTGTATTCTTTCATCATAGGCCGCAGGAAGTACTGTGAGGGCGATAGCGAATGGAAATTGATGGCGCCATTGTCTCCAGTGACTAGATTCTTGCGATAGCTTTCACCGCCGCTAAGCGAGAGCAACACTCCGTTCAGTGGTTGTCCTGCATCGTCCAGTACCGTGACTTCAATCTCACACAATTTGTGGGCGCTAAAGGAATTCGACTGGCGATTGTATTCGCTGAATACATAGGATTCTTTTTCAGCAGCCAGCTCGAATTTGAGAGTATCATCGATAGGACCAAATTTGAATTCACCTGTAATCGAGCTGAGCACTTCAATGGATTCAAGTTCTGGATGCTCGGGAAAACTGAGCGTTATCTTGGCATCCTTAATTGCGGGCACAACTTTGCCGCGCAATATGAGACCACGCGTGGCCACAAAATTGAAAGCAATATCAACGCAATCACTGCTGCCCACGATCTGCTGATGCTGAGGCGTAAATAAGAGTATATCACTCAGGGGTTTAATGTTTAGCTTTTCCTCTGGCTTCAGATATGTTTCATAACGGAATGCAAATTTGCCATCCACTTTATGTGCCTCAGCAGTTGGAGTAATAATTTGCTTGCCCAACGATTCCGATTCCACAGCAAGTCTTAGAGAGTCCAGATTGGAATCTGTGGACAGCACACGCACACCCGTCTTGTGGGCAATGGCATTCACAATTAACGTCTGCAGCTGATCAGGTTCTGGGGTGATGAATTTACTGGGCAACGAATCATCGTAAATGTGACAACCTTCCAGCTTAAAGTCATAGCTGCCGTATTTGGATACACAGAAGGTGTTGACGCCTGAAAGAATCTTCAGTGTCTCAACGGGGGCCTTGGGTTCAGAAGGTCCTGTGACATGGATGTAGCGCATCTGCAATCCAAAAATAACTGTTAGATGATAAAAATATATATAGTAAGTATGAAATTTACCAGAGCGCGATGACTAGATATAATGGACACTTCGTAACCCTTGTGTATGAAGGGCGGCGCTGTCTCCGTTGCAGCGGCGACATTTAGGAAGACGCGAGTCGATTCATAGCACAGATTGCCCTGGGGAATTGTTATCTCATAGGGACCAGGCAATACATCCTTAAAAGCATATTTGCCACCTGGAAAAAAAGCATGCTTAAATATATACGAATAGCGTTATTAGATTCTATACGTACGATAAGCCCTAGCCTTCCATTTGTTGTCCGTGGGCTGTCCGGTGGCGTCCAGACCCTGTAGTGTAATCTCTGCGGAGGTGCAGGTGGCCGTGGCATCCGGTAGGCACTGCAGCTCACCACGGATAGTGGCACGCAGCTGCGAGAAGCTAATGCCATTCACTGGGCCATCCCGCACTTCGGCCTGCTGCTGCACAGGGAAGAATTGAACACCACTCGATTTATCTACATCCGTGGTGAGGACCTCAATATTGTATTTGCCAGCGGGCAGATATGCACACCAGACGCCGCTCTCTGCCTTCGTGGCAGTTGTCGTGTGGAAGGTGGAGCCGATTTTCGTGATGCCAACGACATAGGATTTCTGGGAGACGACTTTGCCGCACACTTCGTAAGCAGAAGGCACAATTGTGGGCAGGTTGGGCGTGGCAATCTGCGTCTTCACCTGCACTGGCTCGAATTGCAGTTGTGGATACTCGACTTCAATGTTGTAGCTGCCCGCTTTGATGTTCTCCAGCGTATAGCTGCCCGTGGCATCTGTTTCGGCTACCTTTTCCTTGTTGAGCTTGACAATAGCTGATTTAAGTGGTGCACCGCCAGCGGAGTCCAACACCTGACCGGAGACAGTAAAGCCGCTAATCTTGAATTCTTCTTTAATCTGCAGCGTATCCTTGCCCAACTCCACCTCCAAAAAGCTCGGAGTCAAATGAAGTTTTAAGTTTTGATTCTCGTTAATGGCCTGCAGCAAGTATTTGCCTGTCGGCACATCTTTGAAGCTGTATTCACCTTTATCTACCACCGCATAGCAAGAGGCTGCGCTTTCGTATTCGTTCTTGAGCTTGTTGGCGGGTGCAGTGGGGGAATTTGCACACTTGGTCTGGAGAGTTTGCTATTGGAGTGAAAAGAATGATAATTAACATTATCTAGCAGTAGTAATTGAGCAATAATATATTATACTTACACCCTTTTTCTTATAGAGCACCACAGCAATATTTGACGGCAATTGGGAGCTGGTATCGAAACGTCCATTGATATCAAAGCCAGATACCACCAAAGAATTAGCCGGCAGTTCAGTATTGCCACTGACCACAACTACATTGTGCTCCGCCTTGGCGAAATGCCATCTGGCATGGGTGGCACGCACCACATATTTGCCGGGTATAATCGGTGTAAAGAAGAAGATGCCATTGATGTCGGTTTTTGTGCGACGAATGTCGCCCTGCTCCGATTTCAGTTCTACATCTACGTCCCGTGCACCACTACCTGTAGCTAGAGCCACTTTGCCCGTAATGCCAAAGCCCTTGAATACGAAATTAACATCTTTGCCCTGGCTGCACACGTCATTCTTGCCGTCGAAATTAAGTTCAACGTGTTCGGGCTCAAAGCTCCAACCTGGCGGTGGAGCAATGCTTAGCAAATATTCGCCCTTGTCATAGATGGGCAGGAAGTAGTAGCCATTCGATGGTGAGCAATCGGTCTTATCTTTCAGTGAGCCCTGTTTGGTCAAGCTGAAATCAAATTGGAATAATTTATTATCAATGATTTATGGATTCATTTATGAAAGTCATGACGTACAGTTTTATTTCCACTTTGGAAAAGTCAATATCGGCATGGCTTTTTATAAAACCACCACAGCCGATCACTTCATTGGACTGTGCGTTTATTTGACTAATTAAATTAATTAAAATTAATAATAAGCCGGAAAACTGCCTTCTCGACCTCATTTTTTTCGACTTTGCGCTGCCAGCTGAATAAGTAGAGTTGTCGAGTTCGTTCGCAACACAGACTTGATTAGCCGGCGCATCGATATATTTTAATCACGAACTTCCACAGGTGCTGCGATAGATTGCGAGATAGTGCTGACGATAGTTTGAGCTGATTTGAATTAGATGTGTTGTTTTATATAGGGTATTGTTTGATAATATTCGCATTATTTTAAATTATATTATATTATATTGTATTATTATAATATATTATTGTCCATAAACACTGAAAAGTTAAATTGAAAGTCGCGTCGGTTGACGGTAAATTATTGTCAGTTACGGACTATCGATTGAAAATGAGCCATTAAGAGCTGTGCAGTATCGATGACATTTCATCACAAATATCGACTTGGCGCAATCTGACCTCATATTCAAAAGCTATGGTAATATAAATTGGAATGTGATTGCAATGTATTTTTTGTAATGAAACAATTCCTTTTAGTGGATGAATTCCAAATTCTTAATAAGTTTTGAATGTCTTAAAAATACTATGATTTCCTAAAGCCGAAGAGGCAGAATTGAATATTCAAAAACGGTTTTATCATCTTATTAATTGTCATTAACTGTGTGTATAACACAATTGTATGTACTTACACATCTCTCAAAGATATTGGGACTACATACAATCTATTGACATTGAAATCATTTGATTGTTGCAGAAAATAAGCTTGTCAGATATTAATTATCGCAACGAATTTTAATTACGCTGAACTACGTACGATACAGCCACAAGTGCGCGCCAGTGTGTTGAGAATATGTTTTATATGTTCGTTTGTTCTGCGCAGTTAAACGATCTGCCAGGCAGACAACACTGAGACAGATAATTCGAGACAAGCGCCGAGTCGTTCGTAAGAAATTCATTTCAAGCATCGTTGAGCTGCGGATTGCCCTCAGTGCCTGTAAATTTTGACCGATGCTGGCGCGATAAATACAAAAACAACACAATATTGGAAAAAATAATAAAGCAGAAAAAGAAAATTGAAACACTCATGGCACACAGACAAAGCCGCATAACTGTAAGCTATAAACGAGCAATTGTACATATAAAATGTCTGAAGTATGCAACATCAATTACTGGCATTGACTTTGAATTGCCGAGGCAACGCAATTGCCCATTGCCATATTCTACATATATAGACAGAAATTTGGTTTAAGTGCAGTCTGCACTGACCGGAAGTGAGCGGCAACTGGCAACTGTCAACTGTCAACTGTCACATGCTGGGCGCCATTTTTGCTTGCCTGCCTGACTACCTGTCCCAGCCATCAATTCAAAACTAATTAGTTGGCCACAGACGAGGTAGCAGTTGCATATAATCCACACCAAAATATAGACAGCCAGACAATTTGTCGAGACAGTAGCATAACACATTAATTTTATGGTCGGGTATTGTTCGAATCTAACAAAAAAAAAAGAAAGAAACAAAATCTGTTGGGTTGTCCATTTGGGCAGATAAGCCAGCGTCATGGAGATCCGCATTAACTAAGTAAGAATAAATATCATTTTAATGAAATACCCAAATGCCTTATCGCCGTATGTATGTATATGCACATACATGCACATATATAGCAAATAAATATTTTATAAATTTTCAAATCTTGCAATTCTCGATGTGGCGATTTAACTGTTGTGCTGCATTTATTATAGGGGTCTTTGGATTATCGCTTAAAGTCAAATAACAATCATTTTTCGGGGTGTGTTTGTGTGTGTTTCAAATAACAAACTATGGACTTTGATATCAACCCCCAGCAAGCTAAATACCCATAAAAACCAACAACAAAAAAAAAATCCCCTTACAAAAAAAGGAAACAACGCAAAAGTCAAAACTGAGCATAAATTTGAAATTTGCACACACGCATAGGCAAGCACACAACTGTTCCCAACACAACTGTTCCCAGTGATCGGTGCATATCCAGGCAGCGACATAGGCACCCCATTGCGCTTGCCAAAACAATTGGCCATACGCTTCGTTCTGAGCTCGATTCTGTTCTCGATTTGTGTGCTCATGCGGAGAGCGCGTGGCAAACTCTCACGCGGCTGCGATGCCGCTCAAGGCAGCAACGCAGCCGCCGAGTCAGTAATCAGTTGAACGCGACCCGCAGCCGCTAACAGACGTGTGTAGTGCGCGTGCGTGCCAGCAGTATAAATAATATCTGTCTATAATTTTTTTCGTTGCTTACCTTTGCCGTAGAGAGTGGAACACGTGCAGTGTTCTAGCTAAATATAAAACAAGATATTTTATCGAATTGCTGATAAAACGACGTTGTAAAAACCCAGAATCTCAACCTCACGATCTAGTGCAAAAAAAAACTAGTTACGTTTATTTCGCAAGTGCAAGCCAATTACAAATTTATAAAATTAAAAGCGCAAAAATAAAAGCAAACTGTGCAGCAAAAATCTGCAAGGGCTAAGTCTAAGTGCAAAAGTTGTTATTGTTGTTGATCTTGTTTTGAGCTCTCTGCACACACAAAGACAAAGAGAGAGAGAGAGAGAGCTTTAAGGGCACTTGACAGCTGGTGCTGCAGTTGACAGTAGCTGACAACATTCCATCAAATTTCTAGCTAAAAAGAGTCAAGCTTGCAGCTGACTACACACACAGAGGGAGAGAGAGAGGGAGAGAAAGATATCAATTATGACAGCTGAAACACTTAAACCGTTTATAACACCAACGAGTGCCGTTAATAATTTTCCGGCCAAGCAATCGTCCGTAACGCACTCGACAAGGAAGTCCAGACAGCTTATACCAATTGTCTTGAGCATTGTCGCACTCGTGCTCGTCGCACTCATCTTCAGTTTAACGGTTCGTATTTAAAACATGCCACATAAACTAAATAAACTTAACATGCATTTTTAGCACCTGGCTAAATATATGTATATACCTTAATTGCCAGCCATTATAGCTGCTTATCACGTATTTCGAATCTCATGAATTTAATCAAGCTAACATCGATTGTCATAAAGTTTAGGTTTATGAAATCGCATTTAAAATTATAATTTCACAAAAGAAAAAAAGATCTTCACACAAATTTAAATTGAAATTCCAATTTCAATTCAAATTCAAATGCAAATCTATAAAGCTTGTTTTACGTAGCGTGACCGTCAAGCATTTAATTTGGCACAAGCTATACCTAAACCAAACTCGGAAACAGCCGTGGAGGTAGGTAGCTCGTCTAGCTAGCTAGCCTGTTGACCAATAAAACCCGTCTCGGATCTAAATCGAAGCGTGTCTTTGACCAAATCGTTTCCTAATGATCATCATAAAGCCGAACGTACAAGCTGATCATCATGGCAGAGCCAACCGAAAGAGATATAGGCATTTGTGCAGACAGATCAAAATATATAAATCTTGCTGCCATAAACATGGGAACTAAATGCATAGCGAGGTGCTAAGAGATGAACTGTTTGAAGTTCAAGTGGTAGCATTTGAAACTGTTTATTTAAAAGAAAAAAGAAAAAAAAACAAACTATTGGGAATTACGAAAGTAGCTGGTAAATTAGAGTGGATAAAGAAGGGGAGATATATATAGCAGAAAACTTGATTAACAAAAGCAGCATAGACTAGTAGAAGCAAGAAGCGGGCAAGTTCCATGAGCAGTTTGAAGGGAGACTTTTAGGTATTTGCTCTCAGGCGACACCAAATCAAAGCCAATAAACCTTATCAGTTCTTGGAATAGTACGATTCTGCGTGTTATACAAACTGATGGAATAGTTCACAATTTGTTGACGAATAACAACTAGAATATCATATTGCAACGCGGCTCTACTTGTTTATCAATAGAAAAAGTCCAAGGAAAAGCTCAGAAGATACTCCTAAAGTATTCGCGTCGTATTTTAGGCCTAAGTTGAGCGAGCATTCTAGATCTTGCTGTTTAACTGTGAGTAAGTATGCAGCTCATCTACCCAATGAAACACTCAACTAGGTCTTAAATATGTAGCATATTGAAAGCATTAACTACTCATAGATAGTTATAGCTGCAGTTAAAGGAACTACTCAAGCACTGCTAGAATCAATAACCCAATAGATGCATGTCTTTCAAATATCCTATATATCCCAATAATATATTAAAACCTTTTACAGGGTATCTAGCAAGCTCATGCTCTCAACTAGACCTATGTTTACTCGAGAAGCTCATTCCTCGACAAAGAAGTGTCGATAGAATTTCATGGTTTATCTTGGGATTTTACCATTTTTATTGCATGCTCGATAAATGTCAGACTATATAAATATATTAAAATATATATAGATATGTATACTCATACTATATGTGTATACACATGAATATATGTATACACATACTAAATACTGTATTCCGATAGCCTCGATGCTCTACAATCGCTGAACTTATGCATAAGAGAAGAAGTCTTATGCCACAGATCGACTTTTGCACTGCGCACTTCTTGCGCCATTCACTGAGGGCGCATGCACTTTGGAGTGGATTTCTGAAACGGAAATCGTACAATTGTCAATTGACTTGCAAATGGTTTTTCTTATTTTTCGGACTGCCTTCGCTTTTGAGGGCCACAGCTAAATGGACATGTGTTCAGGAAAGCCACATAAATCTTTGTTAAGATTTTTATATAATTTCCCCGTAGCGTAACAAAAGAGCGATTGGTATCTGACGTATGTTGTACGCCCTGTAACCCTGACCGCAAGGTGGGGTGGGTTGGCCTGGGTTTGGGAGTGACCCTCATCAGAGCTGGTGAAAGTGGAAAACAAAAACTTATTTTGTATGTTGTGTTTCTGCTGGTGTAACGAGATTTCATTGCGTCGGCCACCAGCCAGACAGCCAGATTTATGAAGGCGAAACTCGTTTACATTTTCGGTACTATCCATATGCGACTGTCATAATATCTGGCGACAAAGTGAACTTTAAGTGTTTACAAATCAAGTAGCTGCAGCAGCCGCAGCAGCAGTTCCAATTACAGAAAGTGAGCGGCAAGTGAGATCGAAGACAGAAGAAGTTGGTTATGCACTGGGCGAAATAATGAAAAAAAATGAAGAAGGTTTATGCTCTTAATCAATCTAATCAAAAACTAAGCGGAATTTTGATATGTAGATAGCACTTCCTGGGAAACTCGAAAAATTAAGACCGAAATGCCAACCCGAATTCTAACTGCAAGATAGATGAATGCTAGATGTTGATGCCTGATGCATATTCATATTCATATTCATATTCATATTCATATTCATATTCATATTCATATTCATATTCATATTCATATTCATATTCATATTCATATTCATATTCATATTCATATTCATATTCATATTCATATTCATATTCATATTCATATTCATATTCATATTCATATTCATATTCATATTCATATTCATATTCAATTTCATATTCATTTTTATATTCATATTCATATTCATATTCATATTCATATTCATATTCATATTCATATTCATATTCATATTCATATTCATATTCATATTCATATTCATATTCATATTCATATTCATATTCATATTCATATTCATATTCATATTCATATTCATATTCATATTCATATTCATATTCATATTCATATTCATATTCACATCCATATTCATATTCATATTCATATTCATATTCATATTCATATTCATATATTCACATTCATATTCATATTCATATTCATATTCATATTCATATATTCACATTCATATTCATTCACATTCAGGTTCAACTCCTTTCCCACTTATGTCTGAGTTGCCTCAGTTCTAAATCATCTTTTTCTCACTGTGCAAAACCCATTGTACAATGGGGCTCTGTCACATGTTTTGCTGTCTTTTCACGATCAATGCACAAGCTTAATTCAATAATTTCGTAAACAAGTTTCATAATTTATTCAGAGAAATATCTTAAGAATTCCCGCACACATAACTGCCAAAGTCCCAGCCGGGACTTGTCATAACCAGCGGACATTAGCTTCTTATTTTATTTTATTTAATTTTATTTATTTTAATTTTTTTCTTTTTTTTTTGGGTGCGAACAAGCAATAAAAAGAGAGAGGGAGAGAAACACGATGTATATAGAAAATAATGATAGGAAAAGGCGATGACAGTCTCATATTGAGCAACGCGTCGAAAGTTTGCGGCTGTTCGCACAGAATGTTAATGATCCATTAAAAAGATTATGCGCCTCGCGGGTCGTACACCATATTTTTGACAAATGCCCTAGGCCAATAACAAACGAGGTGGTTAACATTTGCTCCACATTTTGAAAGCGTTTTTATAGAATATATAAACTGAGCAAAGATAACGAAACTAAATAGAATATTAAGATTAAGAAAGCGTGCTTAAGCAAAGCTCATTAAAAGATCTATGCATTTACAAATATACTTTAACTTTAAGCTAAGATCAACTATTAAACGTAGAAAGCTTCAGCCTATGCCTCTATAGATTTCTAACCATATATTTTGTGGATCACTTTTGGACTGAATTCAAATTTAGCGCATTTTGTTTATGAAAATATTTGCATTGCTCAATACTTTCAGTAGAAAGCGCACTTATAATAATATATATTTATGATTATATATGAATAATGACACTTTCGGTTAGTATCATAGCCTGGTATCCTCAGCCGAAGACATTTTTCGACATTCTCATAATGAAACTGATTAAGCTACAAAAGAGACGAGTTCTGTATTTGAACTATAAGCCCAATGTTCTTTGTTTTAAAGGGTATTTAATGTGTTTGATGCTCTTTCAACTAAAACTAAAATGTTTAAAGATAATTACTTTATAGATCAAACGAGCTAATTGACATCAAAAGTTTGCAAACATTCAAAATTTATCCAAATAGAAATATAAATTTCAAAATTATTTTGTAATAAAAATGAAACTCAATTAGCTTAAAGAGCATTTCTAACCAAGTGAATATATAAAAATATTTTTAATAATTATTAAATCAATTAAATTGTAATTACTCTTCAAATGATGTATAGTTTTTAGCAATGGGTATTGAACAGTCGAGCATGAAAAAAATTAAAATTGATTAAATAGAAGATACAACTTAATGAAATTTTAAAGGCTGTTGCTTAGTCGAGCGTATCAAATTGAAAAATTACAGTAATAAACATTATTTTAAAATGAAAATTGATTTATTTTCCTTTAACAGCGTATAGCCTAGTCGAGCATGCCACATATGAAGCTAATTTGAATATATATATTTTGTTTTAAAGATTTTTAAGCTTTGAGTTAGGGTGTTGTCTAGTCGAGCATGTTAACGCCAAGCATAATCTAGCTTTGGGTCTGCTATATACATATATGTATGTATGTATGTATGTATGTATGTATGTATGTATGTATACATATGTTTTTAGGCGCTGGTGTCAAAGTTCGCTGTTTGGGATTTAATGATGTGTGGATTTTAGCGCCGCCTATCGCCATAATTAAAGCTCATTACATTAATTGTATATGAAAACTAAAGATAAGCATAAAGTGAATTTAAAATACGAGCATATAGTCAATCGATATATATATATATATTTATATATATATATATATATATATAAATTCTGTTATGGAAAAGCAATTTCTTTATGCAGAGCCATAAATGATATCTTTTCTTTACTCATTTTGTATTTCATTCATATATACATATATATGTACATCTGTACATACATACATATGTATATATATGTACAGATGTACAGATTTTAATGACTTCCCTTTTGTTTAATTGGGTATAAACACATGATCATGCTGTGTTATAGCCATGGCTATTTCAATAGCTATATTTCTTCTTCTATCAGTGATCTCATACATTACTTATGACGCATAAAGTTGTATATAACTGTATATATATATCTCTTGCAGATCTGGCAAAAAATACGCGTGCGACAGCTGGATAATGATCTGGGCGCTTTGAGGCGCGAAGTGGATAGTTTACGGAAAAGACTGGGCATCAATTATCTGGACGAGTTCGATGAATTCCAAAATGTGGTGAGCTCCAGTCTACGAAAAAATGACACTTTTCTATTCATATTCCAAGCGTTGCGTCACTTTCGAGAGAAAAGCCCAACATATTATATACATATTTATATATATATTTCTTCTATATGGGACACATGTATTTATAGCTGTATTATTTATGAAAAATTTGCTTTTGACAAATGCCTGCGATGTGATAGATGTAGATCTGAATGGGAGCTGCTAGTTCCGCGGGCCATAAAATACTTTGCCATTCATTAATGGGCATTTCTGACAAATCACTGAAGAGCCGAAGCATAAGCCAGAAGCTCTTAAGAGCTAACACTCAATTAATATTTAATAGATTTCGACTATACATTCCTCTGTGCGATAATTTATGACTTTGGCTATTAGATCCATTTCGTGCCGCTCAAGACAATTGCCAAATGGACGTCAGATAGAAATTATTTACTTATTAGAGAAACGAAAAGATATATAATTATGATGCATATATAGGACTATGTGTTGACTGATCTGAACTGATCTGATCTCATCAGTGGCACAGATAGATGGTTTCCAAACTCAAGAGTGCTGTGCATGTGAGGCAATCCACATGAGTATATAAAGATTTTATATATATCTAGCTAATGATGGCGTCTCTTGAGAGTTGGGGGAAGGCGCCAGCAATTAAAGCAAAAGCAAAAAAAAAGATGAAAAAGTATTATTTAAATGAGTGCGCGTATTTATAAATATATGAAACACATACACACACACACGCCCACGCACACGCCCATTTGTGAAATATGCATTAAAATCATAAGTTATGGGGCCAGGTCCCCCAAGCGGAGACGACACAAGTCACGTACTTGTGGCCCAAGTGTTTGACCCACAAATCTTATGGCATCCACTTTATATTATAGTATACGGACATGCTTACCCATGATCCCAGCAAACTGGACGAACTCGAGGGCGATGAAGATGACGAAGACAATGAGGACGAGGATGTTGGGGTGGAGGATGATGAGGATGATGCCGACAGTTGGAACGTCGATGTTGACGGTGATGAAGACGACTTGGGCAATGAGCGTACCGACTACGATGAGTATTTGGATCTGATTAACCAGGAGAAGGGAGTCACACAACCTGTGACACAGGACAACAGCAGCGATAAGTCGGAAACAGCAGCATCCACGTCCACGTCCAGCTCCAGCTCGTCGGGATCTAATGATGATAATGTCTTTGAAGATTTCATTAGCTATAATGATTCCAAAAAGAAACGCGAACGGTAAGTAGTTGATTACCTACTATAAAGCGCATAAACAAGTATAAATATTCAAATTTATTTATAAATAGAAAAACTCGCTCCATTGCTGATTTACGCAATGAGCTGCCGAGCAACGAACTAGATCAGATTGCGAAGAACCAAACCAGAAGTGTTGAACAGACAAAGGAGAGGTAAGTTATAAGATAAAATTGTATATTTTTATATTGAAACAAATTAAAATTGGTCAATTGCTTTGAGTCTGTTCTTAAAAAGGTAATTACGCTCTTCATATAGACAAGAGCATAATTTCTTTAGAAGGTAACAATACTCTTCGTCTTTAACATTTAAATAGCTAAGAGTACAATTACCCTTTAGGTAATAGCTATAATATACTCGCTCTATATATCTGTCTCGCTTTCTCTTTAAATGTGAGTCTATTTCAAAGTAAACGTAGGCGCTGCACTTGAAATAACGCATGAAAGGCTCACTAATAGATGAATCACTGATTAATAACTATATAGTTAACACACATACACACATTACGAGCTAAACGCATTAACTACCATAAAGTTAATTAAAAATATGCGCAAATGATTTTCTGAGCTTGCGCAGAAGACACAACCGATCAGCAGGGCAGACACGCAGAGACTAAAATGTCCCCAAAGATCGAGACCTTACGCTAAGCCGGTGTTGTAATACTTACACTAACACAAAAAAAATCCCAGAGAGAGAGGGCAGTTACTAACATACATACATAACATAGCGCTCCTACGCTAAGTCGGTAGTATACACTTAAAAGCTAATACGAACTCCCGTAAGAGAGCACTTTTACAAGCTATTCAAACTTCTCACGCACACTTTCGAATGACATAGGGATCAAACGAGTTGCAACCAATGACATTAAGACAGTGAATTTTAAAATTCCCTCTTTCTCTCTTTACTCAATTACAATTACTGCGCTCACTAACAGGGGGATTTAATGAGCGCCTGACCAATGGCGTGAGAGTAGTAAATATTTTAATCACTTTGTGCGCTCCTTAGGTTAATGCTTGGAATTAAAATTTCAAAACTTCAATTTTTTATTGAATGGATAGTTGGGAAATTTGGAATATAAATATATTACTACTTTGTAAATTAACAAAAGTCTCTTTAAGTATATTTAGTATCACATCAAAAAGTACCAATTAAAGGAAATTTATTTTTAATTTTTCCTTCAGCACCGTTACTCCCAACAGCAACACTAAGCAGCATTCGCTCAAACAGCGTCCACGCACACGTCAGAGCCGCCAACGACTTTTAGTACGCAAAGGTGAGCATATATATATAGAGTCGCATTTTAATTGGCAATATATCTATAGCAACAAAAAATATTCCTTCACTGTCGTGTGTACATTTGTTAATTCGCAGGCGAATCTCCTGTTTCAGCGAAATTCGCAGATTTCCCTGCAGCAAGCAGAGCAGCTGCACATTTCCATTTGAATCGCAAAGTGCCGCAACACGAGTCGTCCATTCAGCTACAATGTGAGTATCAAATAACTAAATATATTTAAAGATTATAAATGATTTAAATTTCCGTTCACATCTATAGCTTATCAGGGTGATATGTATATGGGGCACGCCACGGCCAGCAGCGACAATCAATGGCAGCAGCACTTCAGTGTTCAGAATGGCATACTGACAGTCCATCAGACGGGCCTCTATTACGTATATGCCCAGATCTGTTATAATAATACGCACGATCAAAATGGTTTCATTATCTTTCATAATAATAACGCATTTCTTCAATGCCTCAACACGGTGCCGACGAATATGCCAAAGGTGCACACCTGCCACACAGGCGGCCTCATTCACTTGCAGCAGCACGAATCAATCCATCTGCGCGACATCCATCGGGATCGCAATGTGATGCTGCGGGATAGCAACAATCGCAGCTTCTTCGGCATCATTAAGCTCTAAGCTAATATTTCCAGCAAAGAATTTAAGCTTTAGTAGTTGCGACTACTCATTTATACGATTATGAATATACAGCAAAGTAGATGACTAGCCTAGACTTAGCTATAGTTACACTATATAGATACATATATATCTCTCTCTCTCTATATATATATATATATATATATATATATATATATATATATAAACTTAAACTTTATAAACTTAACATGCATATAATATCATATTTATTTTGTATATATACATATTTTTAATTCAATTTCTGTATGAATTGCCATAATAAAAAGAATTTAATAAAATTATATTTAATTTGAATTTTTTCATTTTAACAGGAGCTGAAATATTATATATAAAATATTGTTATATATTATAAGAAAATGCAAAGTGGGGCAAATGTCTCATATTTGATATTTGATATACTCAAAATCTACTAAATTGAAATCTCCAGCGTTTGCGTTGCTGAAAAACGAAATAGATTGATCGATTATTATCGATAAATAGAAATTGGATGAGTAATCGAAAACATGATAACATTGTCTCTATGGAGTTATATCACAGCTTTGGCTATACATCACAGCATCAGCTCTGATTTTATAAATTAAATGAATTCATAGTCTGGGTCTGGGTCTGGGTCTAATAAATATTGAGTTGAGCTGACTGACAAGTTTTATTACACGTTATTCAATGTATATATATACCTACTTAACTATATCTTTCAGGCATGCGGATTCCATTTTCTGTCATCTGGCAAAAGAAAGAAGAGGAAAACCTCTTCATTACCAAGAGCCTCTTAATAAAAGGAGCAAATCCTTTGGCTCAAGCAGAGTTTTCTACACAATTTATCTGCTCTAATCTTGTTTTAGTTTTTTTTATCTTATTTGACAAGCACAAAGCGCAAATAATATGGCATACCCTTGCGAATGTGTCCCGGTCGCTGGACGCATTCACAGATGTTCCATTGCTGCTTAACAAAATGTGACGTCAAATGGAAAAACTCAGTTGCAGTCGTACATACACATGTGTCTGGGAATGAGAATGGAATGGAGATGCAGAGCGAAATGGAGCTGGAGATGGAGACTGAGCATGCATAGATTGAGCGGACTTTCCTGATGCATTCCAGGCTCGGTCCAGGCGACTTTCAGCTCCAGCTCAATGCCCAAAAATAGATGCAATTGAAGCTGCAATAGCTTTAAGCTGCAGCTGCACACAGACACACACACGCACGCATACTTATACACATTGATATCCGGGCCTCGGCCAACGGAAGTAATTGCCGAATGAATGCCATTTCGCATGTAACAGGTGGGCGTATTAGGGTGGTCCAGGGTGGTCTTCGGCTGCTGGCTGAAGCAACAGTTCGGCTCTGTGCAGAAATCGGCTTAACATTGCCCCAGGCAATGTTCTGCTGTTTTGCCAAGCCCTCCTACCACCTGCCTGCCTCGTCCGTGTTGTATGTACACACACATCCAAAAAGGCAAAAAGAAGAGGAAGAAGAACACTTCCCCGCTTAGCCCGAAGTCTCGCCCATGCGCACTCAATCAATCCAACTTTCGATTGCATTGAAAGCTTTACATCAGTCGTTCGAAGGCGTCCCTTGCGATTTGGCTGTGGCCCAGGTGCATATTGTCCCAGTGTTAGTGTGCGTTAATATATTCCAGCTAAGTAAATTGCAACTGGCTGCCATTGAGGCTATGGTAAGTTTTATCCTTTTAATATGTATAAAATTTTTTTTCTTAGCCAACAGGTGACAAAGTTGTCTATTAATAATATAATACAATTAACATAATTTTTATGAGAATTTTAAAATTGTTATACTTTTCAAATATTCAATTAATTTTTAAAAATAATGGGGCATCTAAAAATATTAATTTTAATTTATAAATATATCTTTGTTTAAAAAATAATTAGTTATGAAAATTACAGAAAATGAAGTTTTATCTAGGTAAAAAATAATTTATATCATTTAAATATACTTGTTGAAATATATATATTTATATATACGATGACCTGAAAAAACGTTGAAGCTAACAAAAAAAAAAATATATATATATATATATATATTTATTAATTTATATATATTACAATATTAAATATTTTTAATAAATTTAAATGTATATATATATTTTTTTTAATTAACAAACTTATTTACTTGTTCATTATTTTAATAAATTATCTATATTCATTTTATATCTTTTGTATACATTTATATGTTTTGTTATTTAAGTCAAACATATTATTTATTATATTATCAATTTATATATATATATATATTTTTTTTTATTTTTAAATAAATATTTTTATGTGTACAAATATATTTATTTTAATTTTTATACATTATAAATATATTTATACATTAAAATTTTTTAATAATTACATGCATATATGATTATTAAATAATAATATTTTTAAGATATACCTAATTTGTAGTTAATTCAGAAACTTTGAGACCACCCTCGTAGTATGTAAAATATTTATATATATACTAAATTATGCACACACATATATTGTATATATATATATATATTTACATAAATACCCATCCAGTTCCACAACAATCCAACGCTCATTATGCTACAACTCCTTCTTCTACCTTTGCTTATGTATTCAATTGCGCACTTGACTAATTAATTTGTGATTTCAACTGGGATTTCATTACGTCTCAAAGCAATAGACACACACACACGTAGGCACACTTACAAAAGACAACCCACCCATACATTTGTATCAAGCTTAGAGCACTAATGAAGTTTTCATAAGGAAAAGCAAAGCTCGAGCGCGCACAAAGTAAATGGCAAGAGTCATGTGTGTAAGTATGTGTGTTTTTGTGTGTGTATGGATATGAATATTCTACCTGAATAAATCAGTTCAGATGCAATCCCTATGCTGCAATGGCTAAGTTGTGCACGACTTTAACCGAATGAACAACGAGTAGAAAGCAAACAGCAACAACAATAAATCTGCACAAAAAAACACGAATGAGATAACAAAAACTGCAAAGCAATAACAATAGCAAGAGCGAAAAGAGCTTTTTCAAGCAACAGCTTCGCCCACACACACAGAAATGCGCGCGTTCTCTTTGCACTGCGCCCTCTCGCCATCTCGCCATCTCGCTCGCTCGCTCTAGCCAGCACAGTGCGTGTGTGGATTGTGTGTGTGTGGATTCTGTTTAGCGTGTGTATGGTCTTCGTTTCCTTTCGTGTGACAGCCTGAGCCGAAACGTATAAATTGCAGACGCGTTGCGAATTTGATGTCACTCTTGGTTCCGTCTTGGCTGCGGCTGGTGCTCGACTAAATCAAGCGCGAGTCCTTGTAGCAAACAAAAAAAAATAAGCAAGAAGGCGTAGGAGTGACGCCATGTTTTGAAAAGTGTCTACCATTTTATTATTTGCCAACAACAAATATAATACACAAACAAACACACACATACGCACACACACACACACACACACAGAGAGAAGACAAATACAAAGTGCAAGACATTAAATGCATTGAGAAAAGTAAAATTTGAAAGGACATCAAGAGAAAAGTGCAAATTTTTCACATACTCAAACAGCAGAGACGTCCCGAACAAGGAGCCGTGAGCGTCCATTGATTTGTTTGTTGGTAAGCGTGGGCGTGTTGTGTCAATAAGTCAAAAACGAGCCTCAATCTGTCAATATTTTATGATTGGCTTTATTAAAGCGCCGCTTTTGTGCGCTGATAAACTGTTGCGAAGGCTAAATAAATTATGTAGAGAGCTCATATCAAATTTATAGAACCCAAAAAAAGAGTAAAAAAATGAGAAGAGAAGAGAAGAAAAGGAAATGTTTAAGCATATAATGTAAAAGGTCCTTTTTTGCCAGTTGCCTAATTAGACGCAGTTTCTGGTATATAACAGATATATATATTCGTATATTCGACTCAATCTGTTGCGGCAATTGAATTTGACAGCAAATTGAATTGGCAGGCAAACGCTTTTGGGACCTGCTGCCCTTAAATAAATATTCATCATATAAATCAAATTATGTTGCCGCGGCACGAGCCAATTTGCATGTCCTGCCCAGCATCAATGGCGACTATTACATCCTGTATATATATATAATATGTATCACATAACTGAGAGCTAATTGCAGCTGTCTCTCAAAATGGACAGCTGCCACAAACTGATATATACCAAATTTATACGGGACTCTATATATAATATAAATTTCATATCGTTTTTATTGCATTATGTATACGCCTAATGGCACAGGCTCAATTTTCGTTGTTGTGCGCGTCAACCGCAAAATGCGCCGCAAACTTTTTTTGGCATGTTTTTCTTTTATAAAGCACATCAAAAGTTAATCAAAAAAGCAATTATATATATATATATATATATGAGGTCCTGTGCTCGCAAACCAATTGCAACAATGTGAGCAACAAATCCTCCTTTATTTGTTTCGCATTTGCAAACTTTTCAAGTTGACTGTCAAATTAGCATATGAAATAAATAGCTTTAGGAGTTAAGTCACACAAATGTCAAATGTAGGATGTAATATGTCCGCTGTGCATAGCAAATAAATTGTTTCAAGCATAAATCATCTGAAATGTTGCGTGAAATTCTTGGAAATTAAAAGCAAAAATGTAAATCAAAGCAGATATCAATTTTCTTCAAGACAAGCAAAAATAACAAAATGACTCAAATAAAATTTTGTTTTATTTCAAATAAAATTGAGTAGTCACTTACCAACACTGGTCAAGCAGTAAGTTAGATGAAAGCTTTGTAAAATAATTTTTAACATTATAGTACAAGACTTGAGCTTAATGAAGGTAATTTAAGGTAGAAGGTAGGGTTTTAGCTATCTTCAGTTTTTAACCTACTCTGGCTATCTATATATATATATATATATATATCTATATATAAATAGATAAACACTTTGAAGTTGCAGTTTCTTCTTGCTTAAGTCAAACGTCAGCTTAGTTAGTTGTTCAGCAACACAGGCTACGTAGGTAAAAGCTCTAACGATGTCTCTAAATATATTTAATATATAGAAAAGCGCTTTGATGTTTAAATATCTTGTTGCTTAAGTCAAACATCAGCTTCGCTAATAGTTAACCAACACTGGCGCCACACACTAGTTCAGCTCAGTCGATCAATTTCCAGGCAGTCTTCAATAGAAGCACAGAAACACTTTGCTTTCCTTTGACAACTACTTAAATAAAACAGACGCCAGCCCACTCTTCTCTCTTATATAACACTCTGACATGTCCATTAACGAACACTGAGCAAGGAAATGAAAGTTCTGCTGCCAACGTCAGACATACTTTTTAAAATATGTATAAGCAGTTAAAAATAGATAAAAGCATTTCTTAGTTATTAGTAATGACATAGCTACAGTTCTTGCATTTTAGTTTTGTCGAGACATTAACCAACACTGGCCTAACTAAACAAAATAAATGATGCTGTGCTTTAGCAATCACTTAAGACGAATTTTGAGCAGACTTAGCTTTACTACGCTCTATTAAATAGCGCCCCTGCATACTCATTAACCCACACTGGTCAAGCTTATGCAAATCAAATTTGCAAATGCGGTTTCGCTAGCAGATTTATTGTTTTTAACCTTTGTTTAAAGGGATTTACTAAGCTTCCATTATGCAAATGCAAAATGACGAATGGAAAAAGGGAAAAGAAATAACTTAACTCGAAGTAAATTAATTTTATGCTACTGCGAGTCCAGTTAGTCGCGTCTAATCGTGACTAAGACTCAGACCCTAGACTTGAGGCAGCCAAGCAGCAGTAATAATATTACAATAAAGTACAAAAATAACAATAACAAAAGACACTGAAACTAAAAAAGGGAAATATTAACAACAACAGCTGCAGGCCAGACGCTGGCCAAGTAGGGTTGGGGGCGGGACCGCAACGAGTGCCAGCTAAAACGTAGAGCAGCTGCCTTGACATTTAATGGCGCTTAAAGGCAGCCGTCTATCATAAATTCCAACGCAAAATGAATAGCAAATGGAACTAGGAGCGGGTGAAAAGAAGAGTGTCTTTTGCTATATATATATACCATGAACTCAATGTATATGTGTGTGTGTGTGTATGTGTGTATGTGTGTGTGTGTGTGAGTGTGTGTGTGTATGTGTGTGTTCTTTTTACAAAGAGAAACCGCAGCAAAGGCACAAGCAGCGCAAGCAGCACACGCAGCACAGGCGGCAGCAACAGGCAGCTAACGTGGCGTATACTTCATATTACGTATACGTCAAGTGTTCGCTGTGTATGCGCATTCCATTCATTACAGCGACAACTATAGCATACTTCTGTGCGCCACAAATAAAATGCTCACCCGGAAACCGGCTTGTCATCGCCATGAACATAATTGTCCTTTCGGCTATGCTAGCAAAAAGAAGAAGAAAACACAGTTGGAAGAACTTTGGCAGTTGCTTAAAAATGTGCGCACATTGGAATTTTATTGATTTATCTGCTCTGAGCAGAGTGCAGAGTGTGTAGCTGCTCATTAAAAGTCCAGATGAACAAATAATTGAAATGCCAAATGCTACACTTCTCTCCCTCTCTCTACTAATTTGCATAGTTATGCGCGCCAAACACCTTAACAATTCAGATAATTGTGTGGAATATATGTGGAAAATGTTTAATATTGTGAAAGGTCGATAGGCAGGTATTTCATTATATTCATTGCCAAAAATATGTGGAAAATTATGTGGAGTATGCGTGAGATGTGCTAGAAGCCGCACTTAACTGAAGCTGATGGAATAATTCACTTAATCATGTGGAATTTGTGTGGAAAGTGATTGATATAGTGGGAGCTTCATCAATTTAATGGAGAGGTAGAAGGCAAAAGTCACTTAGTTATGTGTAACATGTGTGTAAAGCCTCGCTTTGGTGAAGTAGAAGTCATAATTCATGATGTGGAACATGCGTGAGTTATGCTATAGACAGTAAAGCCTCGCCTAACTGAAGGCAAAATTCATGTGCTTAATATAGTGAAATTCTGGCAAGAGAAAGGAGCAGAGTCAAGCCTCACTGCAAGCTCACTTAATTATGAGGAACATGCGTGAGCGACGCTAGAAGATTAGAGCCTCACTTAAGGGAATTCAATGCATGAAATCTCTGAATTATGTGGAACATGTGTGGAACATATGTGCAGCAATTATTAATATAGTGAGGGCTTGCTAAAGTTAAAGCTACTTTTAGTGGATGCAGAAGGGAAAATTCACTTAATTAAGTCAAATATGAAAGCTCGCTTAAGTTAAGATAGGATATTCATCAAATAATATGGAATATGCATGAAATGTGCTTTGAACAGTAAAAAACTCACTTAAGTAAACACTAGAAAGAAGCATATTTAATTAAAAATTATATTATAATTATAATTTATTATAGAAATACAGTTAAAAGTCTAGAAAAAACCTTTTATCAAATCAGCTTCTCTCAGATCAGCTGTGTACTTAGTGAGCTTTCACTGTAGCTAAGCCGTTTGGCATTTTATATGCAATTAGCAGAGCATAATGAATTGCCAGCTGACAATGAACCTTCACGTCTTAACTGCTAACTGCTAACTGCTGCCAGCTCACTTGATATTCGATATCTAATGCCACGCACACGCAGACACGGAGAGCAACCCTCTCTGCACCTGCCTTTGCTTTAAAGTGCAAATGTAATTAAAAGTTTATTTTTTATTCTTTATATTTGTGCGCCGTGGGGCGGCGGCTTGTACACCGATGCGAACCTGAAACGTGCCGGGCATAAAATAATATTAATGCGTTGATCCTTTCACTGCTTCAGCGACAGAGGCAGTTCTAAGGCAGCTGTTGCCATGGCCGGTCAATTTGTCGACGCTGGTGCCATCCTGGGGCTGCTGCTGCTTGGCATTGTCCTGGCCACGCCCCAACGCACCGCCTATTCACTGCAGGCGGCCGTCGATGAGCTGCATCGCCGCGAGGCTGCCAAGTTTCCACTGAACGCTCCGCCCCCATCTGGACAACTGGACGACTGGGATGAAGGTGAGTGTTTTATGTTTTATGTTCCATAAAGTGAAACTGGGCAGCAGGGCAATCACAGCAGCCACTGCACGGACCACTTCAATCAAAAACAGCTAAACAGTTGAGTGGGTAAAAGACCTACGAGAGATAAGTCGTAGAACGAATATTCGATTTTCATAGCCCAACTCAAATCGTCCTTGAACTGACCTGCACTCGATAGCACTCTGTTAATTATTGTCTCCCTTCCATGAAATTTAGATCAGCTTAAAGCACTTACCAATTTATATGATACGAAATTCACAGTATTTAAAACTTATTTATTAGATATTGCAAATATTTCTAGATATTTCTTTAAAGTAACGAAGTTGAGAGATGGCGAATGGAGTTCAGAAAAATATTTTACTTGAGCTTAAAAATATTACTTGAATTTAACTTTGAAAATAAGACATTAAAATGGCAATTGCCAGTTTTTGGTGAGACCTTTCTATGTGATTCTCATGGTTGTAAGATGGAACGGAAATATGTGGGAGAGAAAAAGCGAGATAAAGGAAATGTATAGGGACAAGCAGATAAAGAAAGAAAGAAAGGAAAAAATAAACATGGAGAGAGGAGAAAATAAAAAGAATGAGAAAGAGGGCGAGAGCGAGAGATAGAAGAATAAGAAGACAGAAAACAAGTGAAAGAGGGGCAAAGATAAGGAGAGAGACACATCCAAAGAGAGAGACACATCCAAAGAGAGAGAGAGAGAGAGAGAGAGAGAGAGAGAGAGAGAGAGAGAGAGAGAGAGAGAGAGAGAGAGAGATAGATAGAGAGAGAGAGAGAGAGAGAGAGAGAGAGAGAGAGAGAGAGAGAGAGAGAGAGGGAGAGAGAGGAAGAGATAGAGAGGGAGAGGGATAAAGAAAGGGAAAGAGCCAATGAGAGAGAGAGATAAGGATAGACACAGTCAGAGAGAAAGAGATAGAGATACATAGTGAAAAGAAAAAAATAGAGAGCATAAAAGCAAAAGCGAAAGAGAATGAGAAAGATATAAATAGAGAAAGATAGAAGAAACGATAGAATTAGATAAAGGCAGAGCGAGCGACAGAGACTGAGCGATACAAAGAGAAAGCTAAAAGAAAGAGAGGAAAGAGTGCGCGAGACACTGCAAGATAGAGAGAAATAGAGAGACAGAAAGTCACAGAGAGGAGAGAGAGAGAGAGTAGCTGATAGGAAGATAGATAGATAGAAGAGAAAAAGCAAGCAAAAGTACATGATAAAAAGAAACAAAAATTAAATAAAAAAAATTAAGAAAACTTAAGAAAAAGAAAGAAAATCAAATAATTAATTAGACAAAGCTACAGGGGAAAATAAATCTATGATAATAGTAATTTAAATATGTTATATCTATGCTTAAACATACCGCAGTTGGTAGGGCTTAATAGGGCCATGCTATAATCGTATTTTGTAATGAAAAATCCCAATGCAGAACCACGTGGAACTTGTGTGTGTTACTTAACGTGGGTTAAATCGCATAAGCTCAAGTTAAGCCGGAATGGCAAGTCAGGAAAGGACAACGCGAAGCAGGAAAGGGCAGGGCAGGGCAGCACACGACGGGACAGCTGTCAGCTGCAGGGCAAGCGAGAAGCCAATTCGTAACTGATAGCACAAGCTAAAGGAGAAAGACAGGGGCAGAGGGAGGAGAAAGGGAACTAGAGGGGATTGTGGATAAAGTAGCAGCATCAGCTGTAACCCGCATGTATCAGAGCACGTGACCCATGGCATGTCTCCTGCACACACACATACACACATATACATATACACACACACACACACACACACGCCCGCTCGTATTTGATTTTCACGTTTCCTTTGATTCTCCTTTTTAATTTGGTTTTATTTTATTCCTGCTTTTTCCCTTTTGGTATTATCTCCATGCACAGTTGCAGATAGCGATTTATTTGGCACCGGCACCAGCAACAAGTTTAAGAATCGGAATCGCCATAGAATAAACAAAGCACTTGCCAAGTATTTAGAGCGCGAGAATGAGCGAGAGAACTACGAGCTGGGCGCCCTAGGCGGCCCACCATTCGATGGCTATGAGTTCGATGATGAGCGCGAGCAGCAAGCGAATCCCAGCAATCTGTTTGTGGATGAGAAGCGCAAGCGTTCATCCTCCAACTTTAGGGAGCGTGATGAGCAGCAGTACGGTAAGTAGATATCATATCTAGGGGGCCATTTTGAGTTGAGTTACGTTGAGTTGAGTTGAGTTGAGTTGAGTTTTATGCTATATGCGTGTCCACTTGAGTGCCACAAATGGATTGGGATAACAATGCTTTTGCAGCTAAAACCACTTAGCTCAGATTAACTTGTGTGTAAGTGTGTGTGTGTGTGTGTGTTTACGTGTGCGTGTGTGCTTAGGCTCAACTCTTACTTGAATGATAAATGCAATGAGCTGGAAGCGAGCACAAGCATCCTGTCAGGCTTCCTGTCACTTGATTTAATGGCCTGAAAGGTCGCCTCGCCAACAACTTGATGCGTGCCCATAAGTCGCACACCCCAGCGCGCCCACACACACGAATTAATTATACAAGCTGAATTTATGGCCAAGGCACGAGGGCCGACTGGCTGTCTATCAATGCAGCCTGTCGGCTAGCCATGTGCCTTAACGAAAGGGTCAAAGTCTTGACACGCGCTTTTCCTTCTCCACACACACATCTATAAATAGAGTCTGCTCCATCTGTCTTCCGTGAACGTGAAAACCTGGGCGCAGATCCCACGCACAGTGAGCTAACTGAACAGTTTCTGAGAGAGATCGAGGAGGCCAGCGAGCATGAGCGTCAGGAGCGTTACAAGTTGGCACTGCGTCAGCTCTGGGAGAAGTATCAGCAACAGGAGAACGAGATACACAGCAACAACAACAACAACAATGGTGTGCCCGGTGAGCCCGATGAGCTGGAGGAGCAGCAACAGCAGCAGCAGCTGTTTGAGCAAAAGAAACGCATGCGCATGCCGCCCTACTATCTGCTCATGCAAAAGAAACGCTCGTATCCGGTGCTGCCCTGGCTGCCCTACAATGCCGACAAGAAGAAGCGCTTCCCGGTGGCCAAGCGTGCAGCTGGTGAGTCACCGCTAGCCAAAACGGACGAGCGTGTGGCCCAGGAGCTGAGCGAGCTGTTCGGCAAGCCGCTGAACGAACAGCAGCCGGAGGAGAAGAAGAAACGTTCCACGGAGGAGCAGCTGAAGGCAGCGTCGACCACACACCAGCCGGAGACAGCGGCAGCCACGGCAACCGCTTTGGGTGACATGCGCTTGGAGATCAATTTCCAGCGCGTGAATGTGAGCAGCGCAGCGCCAAAGGAGACGCCGACCCAAACACCACCAAAACCCGCCGGCACCGGCGAGTCGATCTCGCACGGACATGCGGGCTATCATCACAAGCGCAGCGAACATCACTCGGATGAGGAGTATGGCGAGCATGAGGGCGAGGGCGAGGGCGAGGAGAGCTCCGATGAGGATGATCACGATGAGTTCGACGAGGATGAGGATGCCGAAGCTGACGGCGACGGCGAAGGCGATGCCGGCGAGCGACGACGCAAGAAGAAGCGAGCTGCGAATCATGTGCATGGACCAAGCGTGGGACATTTGATGCTGCGTGCCAAGAAGTCCATCGATTGGTCGCAATACTTTGGCCTCGATCGCAAGAAGAAATCCGAGCAGTTGGCAGAGTAAGTGAGAGCGGAGCCCAAAGCCCAAAGTTGCATTAACTCGGATTTCATCTTTTCGTTTAGTGTCGAGTCCAAGAAACGCAGCGATGAGAGCAACAACAGCAGCGGCAACAATGATGAGCTGGACGATCAGGAGCAAAAGAAGAAGAAGCGCGACATTGATCCCGAGAAGCTGGAGAGCATGGACAAGAAACTGCAATCGATTGAGGATTTCATTATCGATGAGACCATCAAGTATACGGGCGCACACGAGGGCATCAAGAATCAGGACGAGATTAGGAAGTTGAAGGAGCACGTCCTCTCACGCCTGGCCACCGCCTACAGCCTGGAGAAGATGCGTCGTGCGTTGGACAAGTTGCGTCAATCTGTGGATGCTGAAAACCATCTACTACGCAACGTCATCGAACCGGAGTCCGACGAGAATTCACTGGACAGCCAGTGGCCAAATAAGAAGCGTTTCAGCGTGAAGAAGCAGCAGGCCGAACAGCAGGCGGAGTAAGTGCAGCCGGCCAGAGGGCGGGCATGAAACACTCACTAATCAAATGAACTCTTAGAGATGCGCAGCAGAAGAAGAAGCGCAGCGGTTACATGCGCTATCCGGAGCAGCCAAACACCATGGATGAGACTTTGGGCCTGCAGAACGCTGGCTACGAGACGCTGAATGATGCCTACTTGGGAAACAAGAACTACATCATTGGCTCCAATCAGTGCCCCATCATTGAGTCCATGGCAGAGCGTTGTCGCAGCGTTGATCTCATCTCGGGCGACTTGAATCAGGAGTTGATGCCGCTCTGTGGCGTGCATCAGATTTGTTATCTTTGTGTAAGTTGCGAGAGAGGGCGAGGGGAGAAGGATATATAAACTTTCATTAATTTCCACAGGGCGCCTCTCAGGTAGCTTGCGATTACCAATACCTGGCCGAGGCGGATACCATTTGTGGCAGCAGCAACGAGTGCCAGGCCTCAGCTCGCTCCGTCTTGATGATACTGCGCGGCACGCCCGGACGTCAGCTGGGACCACGCGAGTGCTTGAAGAATCCTTGTCTGTACCGGGCAATGCGTGAAATTGGGCTCTAAGCGAGCTACAACAAACGAAGCCAAGCACACAATATATTTAAAACAAACAAACAAACAACATACACACATTTCTTAACGTCCTTTTGTGCGTTTCAAAAAAATACAACAGAAATACTAAAAAAAAAAACAAAGAAGTTAAAACCACAAAGAAACTTTGCTGAACTAGCAAATCAAAAGTTATTTGATTCGAAAAAGAAACAAAAAAAAAAAACAAAAAAAAATAAACAAAGAAAAAACCAAAAAGAATATTCTATATAAATGTATTAAATAGGTGGCTAAAAATATTTGGATACATTTTGCTGTTGTCTTCTAATATGGCAGCAGCTCAACTAGAGTTTACCAGAGACCTAAAAGAAAAACAAAAATAAACTGAAATACTAAAGGCAAAAACCAAGCGAATTTCCAAGCTACAGATAAAACATACACCATAACCCATACAGCAAGAATATAAATATAAATATAAATTTAAATATATATATATATATATATATATAAATATATATATATATATATATATATATATATTATATGTGAATGTTGATTCGAGATATTTCGCCAAGCAGTAGGCATCAGATTTGTAGTCATTTCAAATACAACAACTAATTGTTCATTTTGTTTTGAATGTCAACAGCAGAGTCTTTTTGAAAGCACATTTAAAACTATATAGTGCATATATTTGTATACAGTATATATATCAAAAATATTCATACATAAATGTATTAAAAGTTATTATTATGTGTACAAGTTCACTCCATCGAGAAACAGAAAAAAAATGAATGAATAAAACTCAAGCATCACAGAAAGGCAGCTACTTAGCAGATATATAGATGTATATCTATATCGTTTAGATACCGCCCATCAAATGCTTACGAGACTTAGACAATTGCAAATATGATATAAAATGAAAGCTATATACTAATATAGTCCAACCATATGTAGAGACAAATTTGACGCGCAAACAATGACACAAATAAATAATATTTAATAACAAAATATATCAAAGAAATATATATTAATTATATATACATATATATAACATATATCTACATATATGAAATATAAATTTTGAGCACATTTAGTGTATATGAATGGTAACTTGATAAATCTTTTTTGAAATGTATTTTCAAATTTTTTCATAGAGCCCAATTAACACACACACAAAAGAAACTAAAGCAAAAACATTTGCCAAAACGAGCTAAATGCACAATCTTTATCTCAATTTTATCTTTATCTAACTCACACTTGAACAATTTACTGTACACATTTGCAGCTTCGTTTTGTTGTTGTTGTTATCATAGTTTAATTTCTATACACAGAGACAAAGTTGAAAAAGAAAGCAAAAAAGAAAAAGATTTCCAAAGTTACTAATTGAATGTCAGCAAAAAATATTCATGATATTTATTATTGTGCATGAGCATGTCTACGAATAAAGCATATACTTAAATGTGTTTCAGTGTAAAAACAATAAATGAAAATAACTAAGACAAATATTCTTTAAAAAATCTATAGATGTGATTATATAATATATATATGTAAGGCAAATACAAAATACAGTAAAAAAGAAACAAAAAACGAAACGAAACAGAAAAAAACGCGAAAGAAAAAAAAAACGTAAATGAAATTTGCATTGTATTGAATCAAAATATTATTATAAATGTATTTACCTAAATATATAAACATATATATATTGGTGTACGTACAAACTGCAGTTTGACAAAGAATTTAATGAAAACTCTTATATGAACAAAATAAATATATATATATATATTGCTATACAGTTATTAATGTAAAAATATATAATCGAGGTCTCGCACAATGCGTTTTCAAATTGTCACAAATATGTAACGGTATTTAAAATCAAATGATGTCGCATGAGGCCTCGAAAAAAAAACATTTATTGGTTTTATTTCCTTGTCTGTTGGGGTTTTTCAAATTTTAATATATCGATTATTAGTTCACTTTAAGAACAAATAGCTCGCATAACGAACTACTTTTGTAAGTCTCGAGCTGCATTTTGATTAGTCGCATACTTAGTCGACTCTATCCCTGTCAACACATTTTTTTCGAAATGTTACATAACGATACTTTGTTAAATCAGCTATTCTGAGTCTTCAAATTTATCCAACAATTTTATATCATTTTCGCGAGTTTGCGCTATTGTGATATTGCTCTTCGTGATTTACATTTAGATACTTTTCTAAGCTTAAGAATTACCCATTATATATTGCTAAACATAATATTAGTATTGTACAATGTTTTTTCCAGCTTGCTTTAGTGCTCAGTCAACTGTGTTTTTTTTTGATGTCTTATACATCGATATTTTTTATTTTAAAAACGAATAGTTCTCGCATTTAAGCTACTTTTCGAAGAGTATCAAGATACATTTCGATAGCTCGCTCCGGGATTGCTTATTTGAATATCGATAATAGTCGCGCCACTTTCAAACAGTGTTGTAAAAGTAAAACAGCTGTTTGTAACAAAGTTTGCATTGCTTACGCTGTATGATTTAGAGTTGACAGGCTGTATGTGCTTGCCACATCAGAGCAAGTTGTTGCTTTTTGTTGTGTGTTTAAAAACAATAACACCCAATCAAAGCTTAAAAATTTTGTTACTATAAATTAATAGTATGTTTTAGGCAGTAATAGCACAGTTGTGTGGTGCTCGGTTGTTTAGAAATGTGTAAATAACTTGCCAATTGTCACAGCATTGAACACGTCAGATCTTTCAGCGCAGCATCCGTTACCGATAAAAAGCCCAAAGAATCAAAAGAGTTCTTTATCAATCGGAACCGGAGGACTACAGCTGAGTAAGGCTAAGCAAATCAGTAAAAAAAATTTATTTTGACGAAACAGAGAGAGCGCTGTAAAAGGACCAAACATGGCTGAAACTAATATTGATGTCAGCGGCGAAATGGAAGTGCCATCGCGTCCAGCCGCTGGACAAAATAAGTTCAATATTGATCTGGAAAAGTAAGTAGAAGAGCCCAACTAAACTAAACTTAAGATACACATACATAATTGGCTATCCTTAGCTTATCCGTATTGCAGAATTTACCCTCGCCATTGGAGCTGGTGCACTCGGTGCGACGATCGCTGCGTCCATGGACGGTGTTCTTTAACTTGAACAATTTCAAGAGTGCTGTCAGCATGCAACGCATGAAAAATCGTGTTTCGCGTAATATAACATATTTCCAAAGCAACTATATATTCATATTTTTTGTACTGATGATATACTGTCTGTAAGTATGATTATTTACATCTTCAATAACAGCTGTTTAAATAATGCTCCATTTTTTTTGTTGCTGCTGCAGAATTACATCGCCACTGACTCTGTTGGTCGTAGCCGCAGTTGCCTTTGGCTGTCATAAGATACAATCGGTGAATAAGGAAGTCAGTATTGCGGGCTGTCAGGTAACACCACAGCAGCAGGTACTGGCTCTCAACGTGGGTGCGGCACCTTTGCTGTTATTAGCTGGCGCTGGAGCCGTTCTATTTTGGACACTGGGCGCCTCCTGCTTTGTCATCTTCATGCATGCGATATTCTACAATATTGATGCGATTGTGACCGAGGAAAATGAAGGCTTTTTGGATGTCTAATCGACGAACGACAACGAATTAACTATAATCTTAAATTCGTATAGCAAATTAGTTTTGCCACACAGGGGCCTTATTAGACAATAAGTTGGAATTTCTAACATATATATATATTTCCATATATATATATATTTTTTTAGTATATAATCTTAACCATATCCGATATGTAATTAAGTTTTATCAGCAGCGCAAAAAAAATCTGCATTCAACGTATTGACAAAATACACAGCAAGAAACGACTTAATTTGTTTATATATATATTGTTGTATATATATTTTTTTTAATAATTGCACATAAATAATGTATATATGTATAATGTGTACTTAAAACAATTTTGGCAAGAGTAGAAAATGCGGAATGGTTGAAAACAGTATGCACATAGCTAAATTAAATAAATAATATTTATATAAAATAAATTCACTGAGGTATTTAGAACTAGAACTACATGAATGGCGCATAGTTAGCTTTACAAAATAGATAAGTCTCTTGGTCCAGGTGTGTGTGTGAATTTATGTTTGTGTATGTGTGGAAACTAGGCGTAATGCGAGAGTGATGTCGTCTCCTGCTCCTGCTCCTCATCACTAGCATTCTGATCGAGCTTCTCAAAACCATTCCGATCAATCAGGCCGCCTAGCTTGAAGCCCTCGGTCTTCTCCCAGGCATGCCGGCGACTGTGTGTGCCAAAGGGAAGGCAACCTGTTAAATCACAAAATTGAACAGGTAAAATCGAGTAATAAAAAAGACACCACACAGAAACACTGATATATAAATATATGTATGTACAGGCCATGCAGTTCACATTCTGTCATGCAGCAGCATTTGACTTAACATCAATTTCACAGGCTGCAATTTGAATTGAATAATAAAAAAAAGTAAACAAAAGACACTTAAGAATATAGATTATTTCTTACATAGTTATAAAATTTATGTGTATATGTATTTTGTATACAAAAATATATGTTTGTTTATAGCGCTGCACACAAGTAAAGGAGATTACAAAATGAGATTCGTTTAGAAAAAATTCTAACTGAAGGAAGGAAAAGTAAAGATCACAAGTCAACTTATAATAAACAATTGCACACAACTAGTAAATGGAACTGGAATATTATGATATTGGTTAGCACAGACTTTGATTGGATGCTGCCAGCTGGCGATAGACCAAATCACTAGGCGGCATTGCGGTGATCGCTTGATTACCTCGTTTGCGACGGCGCGCCATAATCAGCGCCAAAACAAATGTGGAGCCAGCAAATAGCAACATCATCGATGCAACCATTATCGCTTTGCCACTGGGATGGTGCGTTGTTTGCTTTTTATCAGAGTTGTTTATTATTTCTGAAATAACTGAGGTTTCCGATGCATTTTTTACGCTGCTACTGATCTTTGAAGCAGACAAAGACATCGGCTTCGCAATGGACTTATGCACAAATTTGTGTATACGCATGGGATTCAGTTCAGCCACATAGATTGAATTGCCGTCATCGGTGACGGCCACATCGTGAGGATTCTGGAACTCAAAATTGTTCGGACCGAACTTGGAGACCAATTGCTTGGTGCGCATGCTCATCACAAAGCCGTGCACTTCGTTGTAATCATTTGGACCTATACCAAGCTCGGCGGTAGGTCCATTAACAATCACCAGCTCACCACCTAGCAAACAAATTTACATTAATATAATGGCAATTGTGTTAACCAAGTCAAGTCTCACCTGCTGCAGGTGTATAGGCCATGCTAAACAGACGATCGCCAATGACTGGATTATGGTATTGCGAATGGAAACTGCCATTGTTCGAGTAAAAGCATTGTACGCGGCCATTTTCACGATCAGCGGCACACAGCAGCTCTAGTTCGGGCACCAGTGTCAATGCGTGCGGTATGGCAAAGAAATTGGCTGGCGCTACATCGTAAGACATTCCAACAAAGGAACTTTGTCCCCAAACTAGTATCTGTTCGCCCTCCTTGGAATATTTGATAATGCGCGCATTGCAATAGCCATCCGCAACGAAGAAGTCTCCATTATTTAACACAGCCACTGCGGTGGGTTTACAAAATTTCTTGCCAACGCCAGGATGGAAGGCAGTGCCGAGGGTAAGAAGTGCTTTGCCTCCTTTGCCTCGGGGTGGGAACTTAAAGACCTGATGCATAGCCACATCGGTTACCCAGACATTATCCTCGGGGTCAATGCTTAAGCCGTGCGGCATGTAAAAGCTGCAATGTAACATGCACTTAATATACAGCAGGAAATCTGATACATACACATGTAATTCTAGGCAACTTACAAATTTTTACCCCACGAATAAAGCACTTTGCCCGAGTCGGACTCTAGTCCCAGCACAGTGTTCTCCTTAATGGGTCCCCTGTTGCGTTCTTGATATACGTTTGAATTGTTGAACGTTATCTGGCTCCAAATCCGATCGACTCTATGAAATATAACCACATTGCCGGCTTTATCGAAGCTAACTGCAGTGACGGCGCCCAGTTTCACGTTATTCGCTGGCCAGGCATTCTGGTATACATAAGCTGAAAATTGAGAAGTTAAGTATGGCTTAGCTGTAAATAAATAGTTTACTCACTAGTGTTCAGTTTGGCCAGCTCTGTTTTCACATCAGTAACTTCCTGCTTGGCACGTTGTAACCAATTCGGTGCAGCAGCACCGACGCCTTTCAGCAATGGGTGCAAAGGGGACTCGCGGTTGCTCCCAATGCCAATATCATACTTTTGTAGATTAGTTATATGCTGTGAAAAGATTAGCGTGTATAATTAGTTCAATGTCTACGATTTTTTGCCACGGTAGCACAAATTATTCTAAGCAGTCTTTCACACACACATATGCTAACATGTGTGCTTGCGTCTGACGTCACAAAACAAAATCAAAACATATGTTATTTTATTTATCATGCAGCTAATGAACTATTAAAGCAATTATCATAGAATTTACCTCGGTTACAGCCAATGGACAAATGCTGCTCAAAAGGACGCCAATTAAGACCAGGTAAATGAAACTGATACGCATACAGTTATTATAATTGATAACGTTGATTTTGTTGTTGAATAGCGTCATTGTTTGCGCATGAACTGGAATGTTGGTTGTTGTTGGCGAACTACTTAGGTAGAGCTTCAATTCCTATGCAATATACGGACTTTACTTCTACATACGCTTTGCAAATAAATGACTTATGTGGTTGCAGCAGCCATTTTAACTGGTTGATTGTTCGAACAGCTGTTAAGAGTGACCAGCTGAAATTGGACAAATAAATGGTCAACCTAACGATAAGTTTCGAAAATGTATCGTTTTTAAGTGTGTATAAAAACGGTTCAAGACTTATTTTTTATTTAGTCTGTATATTTGTTAGAAACAAGTCGCATTTGTATTATAAAAACTAATTGAAGCAGCCGTGATTAAGATTATAAACAATACACAACAGAACTGTTGTAAACCACAGTTGCTTCGTACACTAAAATAACAACGTTTACCATGAATATTGTAAATCATTGCCTATTTTTAATAATAGCAGCTGTTGCGTATGACAGCGGATTTAACTTTAGTGGAATATTTCCAAAAGTCAATAGTTACAAGCATGGCACTGATCCCGGCGATCCATTGTTTGTGACGCCTCTCCTGAATAATCAATCCATATCCAGACAACAGGTGAGGGCTATGGCGCGTGTTGTAGGAAAACAATTTCTAAAAGTCGAAAGTTATGCGGGTTACTTGACCGTGAACGAGACTTACAATTCCTGCTTATTTTTTTGGTATTTTCCTGCCGAGCGTAATGCGAGAATTGCGCCTGTTCTGCTCTGGCTTCAAGGAGGTCCCGGTGCATCCTCGTTAATTGGACTCTTTATTGAGAATGGCCCATTTAAGGTGATCAGTCCAATGAAGCTGCAGAAACGAAAATTTAGTTGGACGAGCACACAGAATGTGATCTTCATAGATAATCCTGTGGGCGCTGGCTTTAGCTTTGCAGATGATGATCAAGGATATGCGCGCAACGAACGCGATGTGGCCGAAAATCTTTATAAGGCAATGGTTCAACTATACAAATTATTCGACTGGAGCAGTTCGTCGGGATTCTGGATCACTGGCGAATCCTATGCAGGCAAATACATACCTGCGTTAGCCTTTTATCTACATCAGGTTCAAGCTGACCAGAATCCCATGTACAATATACCGTTGAAAGGTCTAATCATCGGCAATGGTCTCTCAGATCCTGTGCATCAGCTCAAATATGGCGATTATCTTTATCAACTGGGACTCATCGATGATAATGGCTTGGAGAAGTTTCATGTTGCCGAAGCAGCTGCAGTTGATTGTATTCAAAGAAGGGACATGGAATGTGCTGCTGATATATTCTACTCTCTAATCCTGGGTTCTGCGTCAACGCCTTCGCTGTTTACGAACTTGACGGGCTTCAGTTGGTATTACAATTATATGCAAAGTCAGGACGTGGATTTTATTGCGAATCTCGCCAGCTTTGTGCAGACAAATGTCAATCGTCGCGCCCTTCATGTGGGCAAAAAGTCCTTTAATGATATACATAAGGTGAAGAAACTTTTGAAGAATGATATGATGGATAGTGTGGCACCCTTGATAGAAGAGCTGTTGAAGCATTATATTGTGTGCATATATGCTGGGCAACTGGACATTATTGTTCCCTATCCATTGATAAGAAATTTTTTGAAACATTTGCAATTCCCGGGCTCGGAGGATTACAAGAAGGCAGCTCGTCGAATTTGGAAGGTTGATGGAGAAATAGCTGGTTATGTGAAGCAAGCTGGAAATTTAATCGAAATACTAATTCGGAATGCTGGACATATGACGCCGTTGGATCAGCCCAAGTGGATGTATGAGATGATTACACTCTTGACTCACTAGCCATTAACTGAACTATTTACACCTGGTAAATGCCATTTACTTGAATCACATTCGGAATTACTACTTAAATAACAATAGATAAGCTTTGTGTAACTCCAAATATTATATCTAATAAAAGTCAGGAATATTACGGAATTGTTAGCCTATTTATTTTCTTAATCTAAAAGTTACACTTACGTTTGAATTCCAACGTTAATAACTTTTTGTGATTACTTTTAATTTATCATTGAGCTCTTTACTCAAATTGGCACTGTTAATTAACATGCGCTATGCAACACTGGATTTCGTCGTTTTCAAGCACTGAAATGCGCAACACACACATACCCCGCTTCCCGCTTTGCCTAAATGCCATTATTATTTTTCGAGTTTCATCCACAGCCACAGTGCAAATTACTGCCGCACGTTAATAAATTAAAATATTTAACAATAATAATGCAAAACTAAAGCTTAAACATAGCTTTAAACGTTCATCAACTTAATTTAAGTGTTAAAATAGTTATAGTGTCGATAAATCGCCAAAAAAGAAAATACAAATACAAAACAAAATAGTCTTAAATAAATATAAAAAAGAACGTCTCAAGGCACGCAGCTAAAAAGAGGTCGTCGTCGTTGTAATCGTTCTATTTGTTGTTATTTGTCAGCGTCACATGCGCTTCTGCTGTCGCTGTTAAATAAGTTTCACATGTACAGCGAATGTGCATACCCTATAACTGCAACTGGCCCACTGCATGCAAACTAAAGTACAAAAATACATTGCGAAGACTTTAAAGGTGAGTGCACGGCTTCAATACAAAATGTACAACAAAAAAATTGAAACTGTTATGCCATATGCGACAGTGGCGTAGTCGAACGGGGGGCAATGGACGCGTGAACGGGCGAGCGAGTGAGCGAGAACCTGATTTGATCAAATTGCAGCTGCATTTTATCGAATTTCAACAGTAAAAACAACCACAATATAAGAAACTAGAAAAGTGCAACAAGACATTTAGATATATGGTATATGGGCAATTGGTAGGGTGCATGCAACCGAATGCCTTACTCCGTTTTTGGTGGTTGCAATGCGCCCCTTCTGCCTTCTGCCTGTCACAATTTGATTTAGGCACGTCTCCTTGTCTCGCTCTCGTCTCCTTCTACTTCTACTTCTTCGACTTCTTGTGCTGCATTGCATTTTAAATTGCAGTTTACATGTTGCTAAAAACTCCACGCACAATTGCAAGACAAAGAGACACCATTTGTTTGCATTGTGTTGCCAATAAAAATATTTGCATTGTTAACGCGCTCTTTACCATACATTGCAGCTGTACAGCAACAGCAACAGCAGAAGCAATCACAACAACAACAACTACAACTACAACTAAAGGAGGATCAAGAAGGATCATGCAGCATCATGTGCATGCACCCAGAGCAGCTCCACATTTGCGGCATCAGAGTCATTTGGCATTGCCATTTCCCGGCATGGAGCAACATTTGAGCGCATTAACAGCAACTGCACCACAACAACAACAGCAGCAGCAACAACAGCAACAGCCGCCACCGCAACGGGAACATGGACGGTAAGCAATGCTATGTAGATGGAGGCAACGCTCTTAGCTTATTTGGGTAAAGACGCCGTCTTGTCTAGGCTCTTGGTCTTCTTTCTTCATACGTTGCGGCAATTATGTTAATTCCTGTCACTGACAATCGCCTGTGAGACTCATCATTCCATTTTCTCAACTCATAAATTATAATTTCAGTGGCTCTTTGTTCTTTAGCGCTCAGCATGACTTCCGCTCGATAACGGGTTTCTAGCGACAACAGCAACAACAACAACATCAGCAGGCTACAATTATCCTTGACGTTCGTTAGGATTCGCCAGTTTCTCTTATTTTATATATTTTTTGCTCTGTTTGTCGCCTTTTGTACGATCAGATGTTTCGCTCAGAGTTCAACCTAACCGACCCGCCAGTTGCTCTGCAGTCGCTGTTCGTCTCGCATCCGTTGCGAACGTTTCGAAGTTAACGTTTTGTTTTATGCTGAAGCATGTAAAAGACTTGTGTCAGGTGATGATGCGAGCATTTCTAATAACTAAATGCTTGATAACTGCATTACAAAGTGAGCTATTAGCGCAAATCTATATATATATATATAAAGAGAGAGAGAGAGAGAGAGAAAGGATGCATTGTGCAAACAGTTGTGAAAGTTTATAGTGAATATAGTGAATTAAAATAACAAAATGAATAACAAGTTTCCATATTTTAAAATTTCTCTAATCATTCTTTTATAATAGGAATGGCAGAGATCTAATATAGATCTCAAAGACCTGAAAAGCTGCCCAATTTGTTTTCTTTCAAATCTTATTGCATTTCATAATACTCATAAATGTTGAAAGCAAATTCTTTAAAAAACTTCAAGAAATGATCTCGCGAAAAGTGTTGAAATCTGTCTTGATATTGTATATGAAGCATTAAGACATAAATTTGTGCAGTGCTTAAAATTTTACTTTTGTTAGAGAATCTAAATTCCATTAAAAATAAACTGTTTTACAAAAGTTTAAACTATTTCTGAAAGAAAGTAAAATTGTAAACAAGTGAGATACTTGAACTGATTATAATATGAAATGTTTAATAATATAAAAAAGTCAGCTAAGACGTACTTATTCCCTGCATAGGAAAGGACTTGTCTAAATACCTAGATTGTTATAGCATTTATTTCAAACAAATTGTTAGCAGAAAGAAGAAATCTTTTAAACTTGTTCAATATATATATACTTATTATGTAACTATATATAAAATAAGATATATCAAAACCTATACAGTGTCTTGTCATCTTGCTCAATAAGGAAGTTTCTGAACAAGTGCCGAAAAAATTTTTAAAAAAATTTTACATATATTTATACAAAATAGGAATTTTTGAGCTGCTTCTAAACTCTGCCTAATTTCGCAATATTTTTAAATAATCCAATTAAACAATGCATTCAGTTCCGTTTCCTGTTTGCCATTTCGTAGACTTATGCAAATTGCAGCTACTTGAGCACTGCACTTCACTTAAGCAGCTTTGTTTAATCTCAGCTCGCTGGGATAATTGTTTAATAGATTTGAAAATTAACTCGACGAGTGCCTAATACATAGAGGCTTATTGGCCACGAAGTGGGCATCCACAGATGTGCAGGATTTCCATGTGTAAGCCCATTCTCTGTTTCTCTCTCTCGCTCTCTCACTTTAACTCTATCTAGCTTTTGGGTAGGTGCGTCTCAATTGAAGCTGACAGTTGGCGAAAAATGACACGATGCGTAAAAGAATGCGGCTTTTGTGCTTTGTTAGGGATTTCTGCTATTGTTAAGGCCTTACCGCTGTTGTCTGTAGCTGCTGCAGCAACAACAACAACAACAGCAACAAGGGCCATGGCGCAAAGGGTGAACCGCTGTGTTGCCTTTGACCGTGTGTTTTCTTTTTGTTTTGTTATTTTTGTTTTCGATGGCCACTCAATATGGCTTTTTATGTACTTAGCCCCAGCACTTTGTGTGCGCTCGAGCAGTTCAGTTTAGAATAGTTGGAGAGACGTAAAAGTTCTAGAAAGCGTTTCAGAATGTATTAGAATTTTGAATACATTTATCATTCATTATAAATTTATAATGCATTAAAGAACGAGATATATATTTATTATAATTATTTTCTATTGTATTTTGTTTATTGTCTCTTTCAATTGAAAATATTTAAATATTTTGTAGTCTTTTCTTTTTACTTTTATTATATATTTTTAAATTTTTACTTTTATTCATTATTAAATTTTCTCCACTTTTTTTCTTCACTTTTTTCATAATATATATTTATATTTTTATTTTAATTTAATTTAGTTATTTTTATTTATTTTTTTATAAATGTTTATTTATTATTTTAACATATATTTTTATTCCATATTTCATTTATATTAATATTTTTCTTTATATTTTGTTAATTTATATCTGACTTAGAAATTTTAACTTACTTAACTATTTGTATTTAAATTGTTTGTTTTATATAAAACTCTTTTTATTATTGAATTATTATTATTCTTATCCTTTACCTGGCTGTATAAGTTAGCTCTGCTTAAAATTCATCAGACTGGCTTTTCATTATTTCAATATTTATTTTTCAAATTTAAGGTTCAACTTTGTTTCAAGAAAACTAAAAAAAAAGATTTTAGCGTAGTTGCAGTTGGTGCTAAATTTAGATAAAGCTGTCTTCAGAAAACAAATAATTGTTGGATTGTAGAGAGAATTGTTTCGTTACATGGTATACATAAATGTAAATATGGTACATATGTTAATATAGCAGCCTTAGCACGTTGTTATAACTAAATTTTCAATATCAAAATTATGGTAAACAATTGATGCGAATTGTTAAGACTATTAAACAAATGCTGTTGTTTCTTTTATCAAAGTCCGTTATATTTTATACACACTTGCAGCCTGAATCATCATCATCATCAGCCACAGCAGCAGCAGCATCATCACGCCCTTCCTCAGCAGCAGCAGCAGCAGCAGCCACAACTGAATGCCGCATATCACAACAATAACAATATTAATAGCAACAGTAATAAGAATACCAACAACAATAGCAATCAAATGCAAAAGATACGACAGCAACATCAACATCTCAGCAATGGCCATTTAGCAAAATGCAATCAAGCACCGCAGCCAGCAACTCCACAGGGATTCAATCATCCGACGGCGCTTGGTTATGGCCAGTTGCCACATCACATGACACATTTGGGCAGCTATGCGCCGCAGCCGGCGCCAGCAATGCAGAGCGGCAAACAGCCGCATTTCTACGTGAGCAGTGCCAAGCCCTCCAAGTACAATAATAGTGCTAACCCTAATAGCAATAGCGGGAGTGGCAACGGTAGTAGCTATGTGCATTCATCGAAAACCATTCTGCAGAATACCTATCGCACTGCCAAGACCAATGGCCAGGCGCCCGTTTCAGCCACAGAACCAGTAGCGACAGTGCCAGCGGCAACAACAGCAGCAGCAGCTGCTACAACGGCTGAACTATCGCTGCGCATTGTGGACAGAAGCAGCAATGGCGATAATCTTGTCTTAGGCAATGAGGAGATCTGTGAACTAGTGCCTGAGCAGGCGCCCGATTGCTGTGCGCCTTCGCCGACATCCGCAACGCAGGCAGACGATTGCAGTAGCAGCGCAGAACATCTGGATGCTGCTGGCGCGCTGTCCAATGAAGATGGCAGTACGGGACGCAGTGGCAAGGACAAGACGCCCATGTGTCTGGTCAACGAGCTGGCCAGGTACAACAAGGTAAGCAGTTAAGACCAAATATATCTATATATATATTTATTGATATCTTCTTTATGTGCCTCACAGATCACACATCAATATCGGTTGACGGGCGAACGCGGTCCAGCCCATTGCAAAACTTTTACGGTCACCTTAAAGCTGGGCGAGGAGGAGTACTCTGCAGATGGTTTCAAAATCAAGAAAGCTCAACATTTGGCCGCCTCGAAGGCCATCGAAGAGACCAAATATAAGCATCCGCCGCCAAAGATACGTCGCAACGATGAGACCAGCTCGACCCGCACACACATCACGCCTACCGTTGAGCTGAATGCGCTGGCCATGAAGCTCGGTCAGCGCACTTATTATTTGCTGGATCCCACTCAAATGCCGCCTGCAGAACAAATGCTGCCACCAGAATATGCCACACCGTTGTTGCCAACACCAGCGCCTGGTTTGCCCCCACCACCACCGCCGCCATTTGCATTACGCCGCAATGCCAATGGTAGCTATGTATTGCCTGCACCGCCCATGCATCCGCATCATGTGGCGATGCAAACGCAACGCGCCATCTACGGTCAACGTCCGTATGCGCCCAAATATCAATCACGCTTTACTTTAGCTCCAACACTGGGACCGCACATGTTGGCCGGGCCCCACGGACCGTATGCGCCCGCCCTTCCTGTGACGCCTAGCAAGATCACCCTCTTCGTGGGCAAGCAAAAGTTCGTGGGTGTTGGTCGCACACTGCAGCAGGCCAAGCACGATGCAGCGGCGAGAGCGCTGCAAGTGCTTAAGACTCAGGCGAATAGCGCAACAGATGAAGCGCTGGATGATTCCATGGATGAGGGTGACAAGAAGTCGCCCATATCGCAGGTGCATGAAATTGGCATCAGACGGAACATGACGGTGCATTTCAAGGTGCTGCGGGAAGAGGGCCCGGCGCACATGAAAAACTTCATTACAGCTTGCATTGTGGGATCTATTGTGAGTGAGGGCGAGGGCAATGGCAAAAAGATATCGAAGAAACGTGCAGCGGAAAAGATGCTGGCCGAATTGCAGAAATTGCCACCACTCACGCCCACCAAACAGACGCCCATGAAGCGCATCAAAGTGAAGACGCCCGGTAAAGGTGGTGCAGCAGCGTCGGCAGCTGCCGCGGGCATGTCAGCTGTCGCCATCACACCGCTTGCCAAGCCGGAGCGACGCAAGCGTTTGAGTGGGCATCAAAAGGATAAGTCTACGGTGGACCTAGATGATGCCGAAAATCCAATTACAAAGCTCATACAACTGCAGCAGATGCGCAAGGAAAAGGAACCCATCTTTGAGCTTATTGCTAAGAATGGCAACGAGTCGTGCAGGCGACGCGAATTCGTCATGGAGGTCTCGGCCAGCGGACGCACAGCTCGCGGCACAGGCAACAGCAAAAAGCAGGCCAAACGAAGTTCAGCCCAGGGTGAGTTAAAATTTATGATAAATGCATTTATCTCTGACAAATGCTAATTCTGCTTCGCTAATAGCGCTTCTGGAGTTACTGGAAAATCCAGAGCATAGCGTTGGAGAAATAGAGCATGCCATGGAACATAATGTGGCGACAGTTGCAACGGCAGCTGTGCCGACAGCTGCGCTGACTGTAGAACCAACTATAGGGTTGGATGTGCCCATGGTATCAACGCCTGTGGGTCCTGTGCCAGGTATTCTTATACTACGTCAGAACAAAAAACGTAAGTGCATATTTAAGGGGAAAGCGTTTTATCTTTTTACTTAATTCGAGTTTCGCACAGCAGCGAAAAAGAAAGATGCTGTGGTTGTGGTCAAAGCCAATATGGAGGCAAGTAAGGACAAGGAAGTCAAAACAGAAGCAGCAACAGCAGCAGGGGACAAGACTTCTCACAACAGCAACAGCCATGCAAACAACAACAGCAGCAGCAGCAATGAGTCCCATGCCCATGAAGCAGCAAATGAGAGCAGCCTGAACACCTCCACCGGCAGCAATACCAGCGGCGTCAGCAGCAACAGCAGTAATGCGCCGGGAGCCAGCGGCGGTGGTGGCGACAACAACAACAACAATGGTGCCGGTGGTGGTGGCGGCGGTAATGGAAGCGGCGGTGGTGTGCATATGAAAGAGCAGCTCATATATTTAAGTAAACTATTGGATTTCGAGGTGAGTAGCGGCTGTAGAAGGCGGTAGACTAAAACTAATTGCTTTCATTATTTCTCTATCTCTTTTTGTATAGGTCAACTTTTCGGACTATCCCAAGGGCAATCATAATGAGTTTTTGACAATAGTCACGCTCTCGACAACGCCGCCACAGATCTGCCATGGCGTGGGTACAAGCTGTGAGGAGTCTCAGAATGCAGCCGCACGCAATGCACTCAAAATATTAAGTGAACTTGGCCTGAATAATGCCAAGAAATAAGCCAAACTAATTAACTGCAATTTATGTATTCTTTTTATTATTTATATTGATAATGCGCGCAAGTGTATCAAAAGCAAAGAGAAAAATGCAAACAAAAAACACCCGTCCACAAATCAAACCTAAAAAAAGTAAAAACAAAGTAAAAAGTGAGAAAATGGAGAAGTGAGAAATAGAAGAAAAAACAAAAGCTGTGTGCAAGAAAAAATACGAAAGATTTAAGTATACAAAAAGAAAAGGAAGAAGAGGAAATAAAAGCAAGCAACAGTAATTTTTGAAATAGCAAATTATTAGTTAATACCTATTTATTTATTTATGTGCAAGTGTGCGCGCGATGTGCATTGTTAACTTGAATATTTGTTTTATAAAAATACAATGCTCAGACTGCGTTAATTGCTGTTATTATATTTAATTTATTTGTTGCTTAAAAATGCATAGTCACGCAACGTATTGAACAGAAAGCGAAACCAAGAACAGAATTAGAGCCACAGCTCAACTGCGAAACTAAATAAATTATCAATCAAAATGTATAATATTGCAGCACACACCCACACACACACACACACATTTACACCCACAAACTATATATTAAATATATATATATTTAAGGCACTTGAATTGAATTGATGAACAAATTATATTAAAAGAAAATATTTATTAACTGCATGCGGCTGTTGAGAGGCTTATGCAATGCTTTCAAAAAATAAATACAAAAATTTGTTTGCCACATATTTGAAAGACACTAAAAAACAAAAACAAAACAAAAAATTTGTAAACTGCACACGCTTGTGAAAATTTTTAATTTATTTTTTCAAAGCCAGTAAACGGAGCATAAGAACTGCTGCTGCTTGTGGTAAAATGTATGATGGAACTCGTCGAATAATGAATCTATATAATACTATTATTAATAATATATATATATATATGAAAAGGAAACAAAATATATATTTGTAAGCCTTAACAATTACAACAATCAAGCAACTAATTGTGCAGCTAAACAAATTTCACGCTAACATTTCAATACACAAATTTTCGATTTTCGTCAGCGTTTTGTAAATTGCGAATTGAGAGCTTGAAATTTGTTGCAGCCCAACTGTGCCACAATTTGTGGCAACAATCTGCTTTTGCTGCGAATTGTGGCCAATTGTTGTGACAATTGTTGGCTTGTAGTTGCTAATGAAGAAAATACAATTTACATAATCGTTAATTATTATAATTAAATGTTTAAAAACCATTTTGTAAATGCTCAGTTTTTATTCGTTTTGGCATTTGGCTTAAAAAAACTGAGCATCTTTATGAATAGCGTGTTGTTTAAATGTTCACCCAGTTTGGTTATTATTTAACTTATGTTTTATTACACAACGATTCTATACTTTATCATCACACACACACAGTTTATATATTTGCATGTTATGAAATGAAAATTGTACAATAGTTTTTAATGAAATAATTAATTTGCCCAGTAAACAGCACAGATTAAGCGTTAAGTTGCATTATGTCAAATTGTATTTTGTGAATAACAATTCTCGTCGCAACAATGTGCATGTTTTAACTAAACACAAAATGAAATAACAAACATAAAAGGAACTAAAACTAATAATGGCAAATAATAAATAAAGTCAAGAGTCTTATATCTAAGCGATTTATATAAACACTTTTAATAACACACCCAGTATTAAAACATAAACATAAAAACGAAAAGAAACAGACACATAAATCAATAATAATTAAATATATAATAAAAATCAAATATAAATAATAATAAAAGCTTAAATCGTGCACATTGTTTGCATGCGTCGTGCCCCTCTCTTCCTCAACTGCCCTCACATTTTGTTAGAAGATTTTGCAAAATTCAAAGGGAAAACGTAAATTAGAAATAAAAGCTATCAAATTCTTGCAAAGTCTTCACAAAAATTACAATATATATAATATATAATATGATATTGTGTAACTATATTTATAAAGAAGGAAAGAAACTAATCTGTTCATTAAGACCAAATACAAAAACGAAAAACAAGAAGTTGTGAGTACAGCTAATCTACATTTATTAACTTTTAAGAAACAGCAACAATAAGTAGTAGAAGAAGATGATGAAGAGGAACAACAACAAGTGTTAGTGTTATAAAAGAAGAGTCTTGTCTTTCGTGCGAAAAGAAATACCTAAAAGAAAACGCAAACAAACTATATGACTATATGTAAACTGTAATACTTGTAATAAACATTCAAATAAAGTTGAAAACTGTCTTTGATTTTAATAGAGCTCGTTTTTTATTACTAGAACTACACATTTCCATTTGTAACGTCTGTTTTGCAGTTGAAATTTGCTTGAATAAAAACAGATTTTTTTGTTAGGGTCTTTCCAGTTGCAGTGCTTATGACTATGTTTCCAGTCATAGCTAATGAATCTGGGGTTTAACTCTAGCGCATAGTCAATTGATATATATTTTTTGTTTGAAATATATTCAGTATAGAGCGCATTTATAGTAAATTAATATTAAGAATTTTTAAAAGATTTGAAAAAAAGCAAACGTTTGGATTTGAGTTATTATTGAACAATAAACTAAAGTAGAGAAATATTTTGTGTTCAACTTAAACTTCATAAAACTTTTATATGTACCGAATTTTTATTATTTTTTATTTTCGAGAAAAGTCGCAGTCTATAAAAATCTGTTGATTTATAAACTGCAAAGTCCGACATATATGGCGCCTCTTAATACGAACTATAATAAAAAAATAACAATATTATATAATTGATAATAAAAATTAGTGAAAATTATTTCTAAATTCACAATCAAATTTGGTGACAGCTCGCACACGTGGACAAAGAGAGAGGTGAAAGGGGACGCACAATTAACGCATGTTAATTTGACAAACATTTCACAATTTTTAAGCTTTGAACGTTGAAACGTTTTCCATAATTAATATGTTTATTGGCGGCGATATAGATTAGAAAGATTATCGATTATCCGATTGCTATGACTAATATCAAAAATATTTTAATTGACATATTTGCTGGAAGAGAGAGAGGGAGAGATAAAGAAAGAAAGAGAGAAGAAGAGTTATTACAATGTATTGTAACTAGTTGAATACATTTTATAAAAATTTTAAGGAGTTTTAGGATCGTTAAGGTTATCAAGAATATTCGGAATTATTTAATCAAAGATATCAATCATTTTATATATATAGGTGATATCTCCTTTTGGATTCATAGGCAACTCACTTATACGCCGCAGTCTGATATTGTAATCATAGGAATCTTATCATATTATTTTTCACTAGTTCGACGAGGTTTTAATAGTCTATCAGCAGGAAATATCATATCAAAATTCAACTTTCTTTATCAACTTTAACTTTTCTTTATAAAAATTCGACTGATCCAAGTCAATCAAGTCTGATCAAACTACTTCAGGATCTATTGAGTTACAGATCTCTCTGCGCACTTTGCGATAGCAAAATTCGTTCAGATCAGTAATATTACATACATGGCTTTTAGCATAATTCCGCAAACAACATATTTGTTCCAGATTTCCAGTAATAGCCATTGCGTAGCTGGGCTTGGTTATGTTTATGGCGCTCCATCTGATCGATTGCAACTAAATGTGGAAGTAGGCGCGCCTCATGCAGCGTTTGCTTGTTGTTTCACTTTCTCCGCTGGCATTTTTTTTGGCTAGCGATTAAAATACAAGAAATGGTTGCTTAGTGGCCAAATGCATAATAAAAACATAAAATTAAATAAATGCCTTTATCTTGGGCCATGCACACAGCCAATGGTGTCTGCACTGCTCCAGCTTCCAAAAGTTTCAGACCCGGCTAAAAAATCAAAGCGTTGCCCGCGCATTTGCATATGCAGTCGCTCAAAAGAGATGCGCAGCCGGCTAAATGGTGAGTGTGTGTGTTGATTAATTTATGGCGCTGATAATAATCCGGAGCCGGCAACGCCAAGCTACAGCGTGTGATTATGAAATTTGTATGTTTTTTTCGCCAAAAGAAATCAATAATACGGCGGAGGAGTGAAAGATGTGAAAGAAACGAGACAAGAAATTAACATGTGTTTGTCAGCGCCGGCAAAGACATTAGTAATCGCATGCTCACACACACACACACACATACATATATATATATAACTCTATATATGATGTAATAGGCATTTGAATTTGTTAGCATGCGCGGGAATTGGGTTTCAGTTTCGGGTTTTTGGGTTTTTGGAATTTTTTCTTGTGCGGAAATGGAAATTGAACTCGTTGAAATTAAAAACCAAATGCTAACTAAGCACATTTAAGCCACATTTTTGATGCATCGTCCACATATTTATGTATATCTAATTTTTTTCGTTATATAAAAAGGGATTTTTAGTGTCTTTTTTTTGGTTTTCAAGCAGAAAATTTTAAGGCGTTAGCCAAACGAAAGTGAAACTTTTTTCTACTATAAACTGGAATATTAAAATATTTCGTCTTCGTTCGCTGCTTCTTTCTCGATTATAACATTTTTGTTGATGCGCGCTTTGGCTAATTTTGATTTTTTTTTCGATTTTGATTTATCTACCTGACTGGCTTAAAGCTATTTAGCCATGGATAATTTGGTATTTGACAAGCATTTAGAAGCACATGCTCATCCGTCTGTGTCGCGCTGTGGGAACTGCATAAATCCATGTCTTGATAATAAGTTTCGATAATTTAGCTCAGCTGCGTGCTGCTGCATTTCTGGATTGGATTAGTTTCGGACTGGCGTGACCCGAATAATCATCATTTGGTTGAGCTGCAAGCGTTTAAATTTCCTTTAATCATGCCTAATGAGTTGCCTGTTTGATACACTTGCTGAGGGCATTTGTTATCGTAGATGAAATTGATAATGTTCAATGGATGAACACATAATATATATTATAGATTTTGTTCAGTTTATTGAGTTGAGTTTCTATTCTCTTAAATAATTAGTTTCAAAATTTAAATTTTAAAATTTAAAAAATCTTTCTGTAGTCTTTACTATGTTGTTCCCACTCATTCTATGTCTAGACTCTGAGTTTTGAAGCTTCTTCGTCATCTAAGATGAAGTTTATAATGTTGTGTAGATATACACTTTATATATATATATATATATTATATGTATAGATTAGCTTATAGTAAGAAGAGTTGAGCTGAGTTTTTAGTTTGTCTAGGCTATTATGTTACTATTTCTTCGAGGCCTGTACGTTATTCTTTATAGGCTCTAATCTTTCTCTGGCAAGCAGCCATAGTCAGTGCAGTTAGGAGCACCTTATCATAAGGCTGTCATAGCACACATTAGTTGAAACTTTTCACCCGCAGTAATTGTACTAATTTTACATTACAACACAACATAAATTAAATCTAATCAATATTGATATTATTATAATATATTAGAAAAATATGTAAATTTGATATAAGATAAAAAAATGTCCAGAAAAATAAATAATAATATCATTCATCATTCTAGAGTATCTTAACTTCGGTAACTATGAGTTCCCATGCGTTTTCATAAGTTTCTCTCCCGTTTTTTCTCTGATGAATTGTATGCGTGTTCACAGCCAGAATATGAATTATTTATCTCGATTTGATTTTGCTTGAATTTGTCTTTAGCCAGTAGCATTTTTTCAAGCTGTTCACATTTGCATTTCTGTACGTAATTTGGTTGCTGTGTGCTTTGGCAAATGATTGACTAGATTTCATAGTTGTTTCTGGCTTGTGTCTATGTTGTTTGTGAAGTGTCTCAAGCGACCCTCGTTTGATAGCTTTTTACATGTTTCCTAAATTCCGAAATGCTTCATCTTCTCCACTTCCATGTTAACTTTGAAATTTTGCATTTTTTTTAATTTAATTAACAGCAAAATATGTTTCTTTTTAAAGGTCAACTATAAAGCAAAAAATCATGAAAAAGTAGAAGAAAAAAAAATAAAGTGAATAATCATTGATTAAGTTAGCGTAGCAACATCTTAACTATGTTTATTTTATAAATTGCCTATAGATTAATTTCTTCTTCTTCTCCTTCATGAATTTGAATAATTAGTGCGCTTAAATATATAATAAACACTATAATTATGAAACACGTGCAGGAAGCGAAAAATAATGAGCAGAAAGAGAAAAGAAACTTTAAATAAATAAAATCAAATAAAATCAAATAAAATGAAATAAAATCAAATAAATTAATCGCCCACATTCGCCTAATTAATAATATCAATTTATGCGGACACACATAGATATATAAATTATGCCTCACATACGTGTGAAGTGCCAACAATTGGATTACTTTTGAACTGAAGTACAGTGAAGCACTTGTCTAGAGAACAGAGCAGCAAACTCTTGGCTCGCTCGGTAGGCGGTCCAGCCAGCTTAGCGAGCCGTTGCTGCCAGCCAATTCTAGACTTTTTTCTAGCAAACAATCAACAGTATCATTAATTTCCATATTTAACTGAAAATAGAGAAATAAGTTATGGTACAAGTGATTGCATAACGATTATTTATATATATATATCCATCTCAGAAAGGTATTTTGCATAAAAACGAATGTCTATCGATCGATCGATTGATCGATCTATCTGTAGTTATCTGTTCGCTTGACGGATGCCAAACAAAATAATAATAAAAAACTCATTTATATTAAGGCAGCACGTGAATGCTGCTATTTGTATGCAAGCGAATAAAATACCCTGGAAAGTGTACAAAGGGGTAGTTAAACTAGGGCTGTGTATCTGTAGTTTTTTTTTAAAAAAATCGTATAATTTAAATAGTTTATGCTTAACACAGCTAATGTCTATAAGAAGCAGTTAGGCGTAACTGATAGCATAATACTCACTCATGCTCCAAAAATTAAATTGATTAAAAACTCTGAAGCAATTTGGCATGCCATAATTTGTAGGGCTATCTGCAAAGGTCAACTGTGATCGAACTGCAAAGCTTTGCGAGCACAGTTCTAAAACTAATATTGAAATGATTTGTCTCCATGCGGATAGAAGGCTAGATCAAAAAAAAAAAAAAAAATAGACAGCTCAATAAGTAAGAAAAATAAAATCCAATATACCTAGAGAGAAAGCCAAAATGACAGATCGATAGACAGAGAATTAAACAGAGAGTGAAACAAAGAGAATGACAGAAGGATACCACTAAGGTGACTCAGCTTATCATCCTTGATCATAAAAAGTATTTATGTACTTAACAGGCAGTTCCACACCACCCCATTTCCCATATTCTTAGAATGTGAAAATAGAAAATATTTATAAAACTGAAATACAGAGCATTCGATACACCCATACACCCGACTAAGGCATTCATCTTCTAATAAAACAGATTTGTCAATAAAGAAGAAGAAGAATAATGACAAATTTACCAATAAAAGAAAACATATGAAGTGTCATGTTTATAGATAAGGCACACAAAAGAGCTGAACAAAAACTAAAAATAAACAAACAAAACATAGAAATAACATAAAATAAAATAAAATAAATAAATAAACAAACACAATGGTCGAATTGGTCTTAATGGCAATAATCATGGTAATGAGAACTGAAGCGTGCATAATTAAATTGCGCTCACTGTTTAATTAATGATGCGAAAAGAATGCGACTATAAATAAGGATTTATTTTGCTGTAGATAAAGGTATAAATAGTTGTTGTTGTTGCTGCTGTTGTTGTTGTCATCTGATCTATTCCTGTGCAGCTCTGAGAAGCTGCAGCTCCTGTGCATAGTCAGCAGGTGCCCAATTGCCAAAGAGCGCATCGCCCATGGCTATGTAGGCCCGGAATAGGATATTATAGTTGACATACGGCTTATCCTCCAGCTCCTCTTCGTGCTCGGCTGCAGCGCGGTGCGACCAGCTGAAGCACAACAGAGCTGCCAGTGCCACCAATAGCCAATGTCTATGCAGCTGCCACATGATCGATAAATTTTAATTGCATATCAAAAGCAGCTGCTGCTTTTATAGAGCAATTGCATGTGCCAATTCGACTAGCTGTTGTCACAGTTGCTCAAAGAACAAACAGCAAATATTGTTATAGCATCGTTTTCCATAAGCGGATCAGGGGCAATCGATGCTTAAATAGCAACATGTTGTGCTTACTCAGTGGAGGAAGAAGCACGTCTGAGTTGGGCACAAGACATGACAAGACGCCAACGCCAAGCGACACTGCCACAGCCAGTGCCACCTACGGCCATTAATCATGCTGGCCAAAAAGCCAAGTGCAGTCAGTTAATTATCTGAGCTAAGTTGCTTTAATTGATCGCACGAGCTTTTGTTTAATTATAAAATGACTTTACATTTGGGTCACACGATACTCAAACGCATTTCAAATGCGGAAATTATTGGTCCCCCACTAACTATTATCAAAACCCTACTAAAAAGATCGACCCTCCTCTGGCAGAAGCCTTGAAAGCCAAGCGCGCTTAATAAATTACTTATAAAAACTATACTATATATAATAAAAATTTGCAGTGCTTGGCGTTTATGTGTCGCATTCTTCTTTAGTTTTAATATTTTGATGCTTTTGGCCAAGTCGTGAGAAAGATGCTTGGCCAATGAAAATGAAAGTCAACTTCCCATAAGCGAAAAAGGGCACGAGAAATGCATTTTTTTTAATATGTTGCAGCAGCAGCAACAGCAGCAGGTTGTCACCGGTTTACAACCGGAGCAGCAGCAGCAACAGCATCTATAACAAAAGCCGCAGCATCTACAACAACAACAGCTTCATCATCAACTCACATAATACGCAATCGATTTTTTTTTGTCTTGCCTTTTTGTGTATCTTCTTCTTTTACGCATATTATAAGACAGTTGCTGCTGCTGCCAAATATTTGGATATCTTTGGCTTTCCAGTTCAGTTCAGTTCAAGTTCGCGTCTCGAGCGGTTAAGTTTCGAGTTAACGCGTCAACCGGCCAACAAATACAAAAAACCAAAACGCTTTTAGTTGCAGGACTTAAAAAGGATATTCGCTCTAGTAGGATTATGCCTTTGTGTAACTTCGTATATTCGTGAAGTTGTCTATAAAAGTGTTCGAATAAAACGAAAAAAAAAGTTATAATAATATAAAAAAAGCCGTGAACTATTTAAAAACTTATTTAAGGTAATTGAACTTGTGCATGGAATAAAAACCAAATTAACAAAAATAAATTAAACTTTATATAAAATGCTGTGAAATGTGCTGCAGTAGAATGTGAAGAAATTACTTGAAGACATTGAGATATTAAAAATAAATTCAATACTTAATTCTCGTTTAGTTAAAAACAAAATATTTATGCAGTCATCCAAATCCAAATCTATCCAAATTATTTGGATTGACTTAATATGTTAAACCAATTAACTTCAATTAAGGAAGAATATATTTTAGATATATATATTTAAATTTTTATAATTTAAAATATAAAATTATATTTTTTATTTTTTAATATATTTTATAATTTTTAAATATATATAATAATTCTTATATATATTTTATAAAATAAATAAAAAATATTTCTTATATACATTTTTTAATTTAAACAACAAGCTTAAAGATAATTTTTAAATGCTTAAATATTTTCTATAATTTTTTTAAACTATAAATAAAATAAAATTCAATTTTTTGTATATTAAGCAAAACAAGGCTTAAAAATGTGACAGAAACAGCTGCTACGATTATTATTTTATTATATAATCTTTTGACTTTGACAGTCTTTTAATAGTTGTTTAATGGTGGGTACCAAAAGCATGCGCTGCAGTGTTAAAACCCTACACAATGACTCCATAAAAGGCGATACTTGAAAGAGATTTGCAGATAAGCTGATCACTTTTTCAGTGTTTATACCTTTTTTTTATTTCTGAATTGTAGTCAAGCCATTCATCAGTTCAAGATAAATTTAGAGAATCTGTAAAATATTTATTTTAAATCAAGATTTTATTTACTGAATTAAAGATGAGCAATCAAGAAGAAAGAGACTTCAATATATTATTTCTTTTGAACTAATTTTTAAAATATATTTAAAAATTAATTTAAATAAATTTAGTAAATATATCAAATATATATTGTTATGTATAGCAGCATTATACTTCAGCAATATATAGAATATTTTATATTTTGAATTCAAGAGATACAGATCCTTATGCCACTTTACTACATACAATATAGCCTAAGCAGGTTTGAGGCTTTGTCTAAATGGCAAACCATATAAAAATAAAAAAAAAAACACGTTATAAATGTTATATAACAAAAGGAATATAAAAAGTATATAAGCTAAGCCATAAAATTGCCGTAATTTTTAACCCCTTTCCACACATTTTAATATCAGCCCACACCAATTATTATTGCGCTGGCCATTCAAAAATTTGTTTTTATTAATGAAGATAACTGTCGAAGTGTGAATCATCACACAGAAAAAATAGGGAATTCATATAAAGTCAAAGCATTTGTCAAGCAGGTAAAAATATACGTAAAAAGAGGTAAGACAATGGCTTGACAAAAGACCGAAAGTTAGAACGTATAAATGGCTAAGATATTTATCAAATAAAAGTCCAAGCTTGAAAGTTGATCAATAATTTGTTAACACACCTTTAACTGTTCACACTTAACTGTATTGTAATTTAAGACTCTTACAAATTAAGCTAACAATTATAAGCAATTGATTCTGGCTGCTGAAAGCAATGCGGATATAGAATCGATGATGGTTATGCGATCAGCAAAATTTGAAGTGGGGCACATTTTCAGCTTGTGTTACGCACTCAATTAACGTCAGTCTGGTCCGTAATGACAGCCACTTGGGCTGCGGGCCGGCAGACCAGCATCTGTGAGAATCCCCAGTATATATGAAGATAAATATATATATTTTTTTTATATATATTTCGCTTTAGTTGTGTACACTTAAAGCTTGAAATCTTTGAAGTAGATATATTTTGGGCATATCCTTAAGCGCAGCTTGAGAAATTCCATACCAAATTGATTTTCTCTCACGACATATCATAATTGGATTGCTAATTATAGCAACTCCAGAGTAAAGCGATAGCAATTGCCAAACAAATTGGGTGAGATATTTTACTATATATTATATAAAAATATATCTGTCATATTCATTTGAGTAAATAAAGATTTGAGCATGTTTGATTGAAGAATATATACTTATATATATATATATATATATATATTATATATATATATATATATATACTGAGAGCTCGTCAGAGAGTAAAGGTAGAGTGAAACCAGTTGCTAGGCAAACAAGATAAGAAAATCTCCTATGGATAATATAAATGAATATATAGATATTTATAGCGAAAAGTATGTTTATATAAGCTTAACAATTAAGTGCAGATCCTTAAGCCGAACTTGCTTAAGCCATGAAATTCAAAGAGGCAAACTCACAAGTTTATTCACACTAGAGTAAAACCAGTTGGCAGGCAAAAGGTATAAGAAAATCTTTCAAGACAGATATATATATATATAAGTAAATATGTAAAGCGAAAAGTATATTTACATAAGCGTGAGCGCAGATCCTTAAGCTCAGCCCGCTTAAGTCTTTCCATTGGGCTGACTTTCGAGTTGTATTTCTCTCACGACATATCAAAATTAGATTGCTATAATTAAATTCTAAAGTAAAGCGAAACCAGTTGCCAGACAGAGACTGCGGGCATATGGAGATATCATTTAAAATGTGTTTAAGATTTATGGTTTCGATGCGCCAAAACGTGCTGCTAATTTATTGCCAGCCGAGACAAGAAACCGAAGTAGAAAATGGAAAAATCAAAGAAGAAAAAAACATGATTAACAATTTACAATTTGAGGAAATAATTACAGATTACACAATGCGGCATCAATGCATTTACAGCATGAATAAAAAAATATATTTTTAAATCAAAATTAAATTGAGTAAAATTAAACAAAACAAAAAAAAAACATTTTTAATTTGTCAGCCTTTGAAGTTCAAGAAATGATTCAAATAAAGCGATTTTATGGCCATAGCCATTCACTTTTGAGGCCGCCTGGCTGTTATCTATTTGAAAATAATATATATATTTAACATATATATATATACATATATGTATATATTATTATTTTTTCGGGCTACACATCTTCTTCTAGTTCGGCAGCTTGTCTAAACATACTTTGATGGATCATTGAAAACAATGTGAAGTAAAACAGTTCTGCAGCTCGTAAATATGATGTGAAATATGATTGAAGATGATGCGGCTAAATTGGTTATGAAGAGGGAATGCTTCCTCATTGTCAGCGGGCATTGTTTCTGCTCTTGATAATGACCCTGAATCTGTCGAATGTACGCACAGATTGTTACACTTTGCTCTTGGATTTTACGTGTAGTAATTGTACAGCTGCATTTGCATAATGGAATTGTAATGGAGGTTAAGATGTGTGTGCCTTCAAATAACATCTTTAAGCATTCTCAAAATACACATTCTTCGTGCAGTCATTAAAATACAATTAGTTGTTTCCAAAGATAGTCATTATAGAAATTATATAGCTTACAGTTTATTGACATATGACATACAGGTTATTGACTCCCTGGATCTTTAGCTGTATATATATACTATATATTTTAACTCAAGTATGTCACATGCATGGGACACGCCTTTAACAAATACCCAAAATCTTAATTGTCAACAAATTAGCTTGGCCTAGCTCTTTCATACATATTTTATTGAATAATTTTTACATCATCGCTTGAAATCAAGGCAGGTTATATAATCGATTAAGTTATCTCAAATGGACAGTTAAAATTGGAAAATAATTAAATGCTGATTTTTTTATTATATTTTATTTTCATTTTTGTTGTTATTTATTTTCTTGTGATTTATTTCTATGGCTGTTTTGTTGGCCAAAGACAACAAAGACAACAATTTAGCGCTATTTAGTTTGGCAAATTGTGTACCACTACTGTTGCATGTGATACATCTATATATATGTATATATGTATGTAGATATAGATATATATCTATTCATTAAGTTTGCCAGCCACGCTTGATTTATTCAATTCAGTTCTTCAATTTCATTTCGCGCACTTCATATGACATGATCTTCACAATAGACCACTGTGCGAGTGCACCTATGCCTTTTGGGCCTTTTGCATACCCTGTAACTAATGCTAATAGGTTTGAAGGGTATATTAGTTTTGTAAGAAAGGCAGAGAGAAGTGTGTTTAAGATCGCTTATATAACTTTTTGTTGTTCAAGCTGTGCAAACGAGTTGATTTAGCCATGATCTTCTGTCTATGTCTATCTCTATATCTGTTTATGCGTCTATCTAACAGTTCGTTCCTTGGTAGTTCTTGTGCTGAATACATAGTATCTTAAAAATGTCTTGTACTCCAATATATTTCTTCATTCCGAAGCGTTCTGCCCATGGCTTAGGGTATCTGCTAGTCGTGTACCCCCGCTTTCTAACATGATTTTTGGCATTCAATTGTGCTCGGCTACCTTATACAATAATCAACTACAATTGCAGGCAATTTCAGGGCAAAAAACACTAGAGGAACTGCACAAAGAGCTAAACATGTCAAGTGTGCAGTTGGCAAGTTCGTTGCCTAAGTCTTTTGTTTTCACTCAACTAAAATTGAAAAAATATATATAAAAATATTGAAAATAAATGAAATGACATTAATGATATGCAATATAAAGCCTGCTAAGTGTACTCATATAACAATGAAAAAAAATCATAAATATATATCTAACTATATATATATATGTATAAACAGTGAGCTGTCAGTTATTTGACCTCAGTCACAGCTCAAACAGCCATTTGAATAATCATCAATTAGACGCATTCTTAAATGGTGTCTAATAGCTTAAATAAACAAATAGGCTTTTGATTAATGAAAGATTAAACAATAAACAAATTGCTTAGCCTTTGTGCAGCTTTAGTTTGGGTTTCAACACGTGACAAGACGGCTGTCAATATTGGAATGGCCATAAAAATGCTTGTTCAAAATGTAGTTCAAACGGAAATTGTGAATGTGACTTGAAGGTCAAGTGTCAGCACATAAATGGACATCAATTTCCTTTTATTGATGTTCCAGTTGGAGGCAAGCTATCGATACACTTTGAGTATAGATGGCCAATTGATGAATCGAATGGGATCCCACGCAATGGCCGCTAATGTCGTGCACAGTGCCGTTAAATAGTTTATTCACCACTGTTATATGGCGTTTGTTTTGATTAAATATATAATATATATAACAGCTCTAATGCTATGCTAAATGCCAAATATGGTTACGTATTGTATTGGGGCACGCCTCGATCGAGACTGTGTCGTGGTTTATGCTAATTCAGGCGGCTCTTACGTCGCTTTATATTCAAATGTTTTCAACAACATGTTCATTTTAATCAATGAATGTTTATTGATTCATAATTTATCAATCAGCCCAATGCATAATGTTTTGTAAGCGTGCAATTTACATATGATTTAAACATTTGCTTGCTTACAGCATGCCCCGGCTACGATTACCAGCCACAGCTGCCCCACTTTTGGTGGCGCTGGTGCTGGCGCTCGTTATTGACGTTGCCAGCGCCCAGGGCAACTTTGAGGATGCGGACACAGCGAATGAGTACACGGATCAGCAGTTCGATTTGCGTCACACCATACCCGGTGAGCCGGGCGTCGACTATCCCATATTGAGCGACGTGCCAAAGACGAGTTTCGTCTGCAAGGGCCGTCATGAAGGTGGGTCTACTACAAATATGCCAAGCTCAAACTATTAGCACGCTAATTGAATTTGTCTCACAGGTTATTATGCGGATGTGGAGAGTCGCTGTCAGGCATTTCGCATTTGCGCCCACACCGCACGCTCCGCGCAGGGCTTTGGCTTTCTCTGCCCGAATGGCACGATATTTAACCAGCAGAAATTCGTCTGCGATTGGTATCGCAACGTGGACTGCGACCAATCGGAGAACTACTATGACATGAACATCGAGAGCAGCGTGGGCAGCACACAGGAAATGATGGAGCGTGTGCGCCAAATGATGGAGTACCCCACCAAGACCATCTCGAAAGTGCTGCAGCAGCAGGAGCTGAATCAACATAAGCAACAGCCAACCAAACATCAGAGTCTTAGCAAGGATTTGAGCAGTGTTAGTGGAGTGCTTACTCAGCCCGCTGCAATTGCCACCGACAAAGACATTCTGCGCGGCGAAGACATCAAGAGCGAAACTCTGCCGGCACCAATTGTTACTGCCGAAGCAATTGCTCCAGAGGATGGCGATGATGTTTATGTGAATAGTCTGGGTGAGCTGTCCTCCGATCCGGGCATTCAATTCGATCATACGAATGCGCACATCATAGCCGAGTATCCACGTGAGTATCACTTTCAGAAGCAAAAGAACTTTGCGGCACGCGTCAATGCGGGCCTGGAGTTGCTCGATGAAAGTTCACCTGGATCCAATGAGCAAATGGCGCCCGAATACATCAAGCAAATACGCAACACCAAGGATGAGGCGACACAGCTAGATTTGGTAGCCAATATCAATAATTTGCTGGAGGAGGTGTCCACCGATTTGGATCCCAGCGTCTCCGGCTATCAGTCAATGAGTCCGCAGAAGGTGAAGCAACCATTTAGATTCTTGAGTCGTGGATTTTCCATGCAAACGAACGAAAAGGATGGCGGCAAGGGCAGCTCATCCTATGTATACAATAGACCCAAACAAACGCCGGGCACGGTCAGGTTTACGGTAAGTAATTGAGCTATCAAAAGTTGTCTAAATATATCTTTATATATATATACATGATCTATCTCTATATTCTGAAGCTTTTCGACTCTCTCTTGATCTTTCTCCATATCTCTTTCTCTCTCTCTTTCTCTCTCTCTCTCTTTATCTATCTCTTTGTATCTATTGGCAACTCTCTGCTACTCTATCTACAACTATTCGCCTACAACTTTATCACTCACAACCACATCTAAAAAAAAACCACACACAAAAACCACCAAACACCACTAAAGCCCAATGAGATACCCATTGATGCTCACAAAGACATTGAACACAAGCTTAAATTCAATAATGACAAAACCACAAGCAGCAGCAGCAGCAGTACCACCACCACCAGCACCACCACCACAACCACTGAAGCGCCTCTTGAAGCTTTGTTAATTGCACCCACATTGCCGCCAGCATTGGAGGAGGAAGACACCACCACAATAAGCACATTTGTCAGCAGCATTGAGCCAGCCGTGGACAATAGCAGCGAGCTGCCTATTATAGAATCAATTGGTCAAGCTGCTGCACTCACAGCTAGCTTTACATTGAATGAGGACTTGGAGCAGGCTGAGCATGCCCCACTGAGCGCGGCTGCGGCGGATAAGACGGATGTGGATGTGCAGGCAGAGAAGCTGTTGCTGGCGGGCGTTAAGCTTACTTCACACGATGAAGAGATTGCGCTGCGAAGCAATAAATTGACGCTGGGTAGACCCACAACACGCCCCACTCGCACCACTACGGCGAGGCCAACCACCACGCCCGCAATGAGCACCTCGACGGAAACTGTGACGGAGATAAGCAGCACGCAGGAGCGCATACGCAGCTATCGACGCTTTGCGCAGAATCGCGTGGGTGGTTCATTGCGGCGACAAGTCCCAATGAGACGCAGCACCACACCAAGCACCACCAAAGGCACAACCACAGCACGCTCAACCACGCCCACACGCAGCTACTCAGATCGCTTGGCAGCAAGTCGTTTGCGCTTGTCACGACTATCGCTGGCCAGCAAGCCGTATACCACAGCTGCACCACCCACTAGCAGCACCAGCAACAGCAGAGCTACAACTACAGCTAGCACCACCACTGAGTCGCTTTTAGCCTTTGCGCGCGCTGAGCAGGGTCCCAATAAAAAGATCTCTGTGCGGGATATTGAGAAGGAAACGGGTCAACAGCAGCGTGCCAGCTGGGACACTGTGCAAAGCAATTTGCAACGTTTCCAAGTGACGCGCGGCAATCGTGTCTACACGCCAGCAACACGTGCCAGCACCAGCAGCAGCAGTACCAGCACCACCAGCTACACCACCCAGCGACCTGCTGTCACAGTCAGTGCTCAACGCGGACGCAATCGCCACTCTACATACAGAACACACGCACCACAGCAGCGCACTCGTGGCACCACCACGCCACGCAGCACCACAACCACACAGCGCACCACAGCTGCTGCCGCGGCTCTGTCCACGTTAACCCAACAAATTTCTGCTTTAGCCAGCGGCTACAGCTATGCACCACCATCCATACAATTTCCAAGCACACACGACTACATAAACGCACCCACAACTGCTCAACCTCTAATTGCGAGCAACACACAACTGCAATCACAAACACAGCAGCAACAAATCACTTCAAGTCTTATTCCTTCCTCTGCCTTCCTGCCCTTTGATAAGCTAACGCGTGCCATTGTTGACGACTCCATTTTGCAGAACTTTAAGAGCCACAGCGCGCACAGAGGCAGCAGCAACCTGCAACAGCAACAACAACGTGTAACGAAGCCTGCCACCAGCAATGGTTATCAATATATCAAGCCAGCAGCAGCAGCAGCTCCAGGTAAGCACAGCAAGCGTAGACAACATCTGATATTTTACCTAAATTGAACTCATTTTGCAGCTTTGGCCAGCTTAAGCATACCACCACGACCACAACAGCAGCAACAGCAGCCACAGCAACAACAGCAACAGTTGCCTGCGTTGGTGCTGCCCACTCAGCCAGGTATTGTTATTGCGCGTGCCGAGGGTCAACGCATTGCTCCCAGTTCTGCCAACAGCATCATCTCCTCTCTGGTCAATCAGCCTGAAGTTAAGAGCAGCCAGGCTAATTCCTATGTAGCGCTTAGTGATTTTCTTAACACTAAATTTGGCAGCAATCATAACAACAATGCGGGCAGTGTAAGTGTTGCAAATCCTATGACATTGCAACAGCAACAGCACCAGCAGCAACTGCAGCCTATAGAACAGTCGTTGCAACAGCAGCAACAAATTGTCCAGCAGCAACATCAACGTCAGCCAGCTAAACAGCAACAACAGCAGCAGCAGCAGCAGCAGCTCAGCTATATTACGCAACGCTATCAACAGCCACAAAAACAGCAGCAACATCTGCACACACATCATCAACAGCAACAACAGCAGCAGCAACAACAGCAGCAGCAACAACAGCAATATCAGAACCAGCACCAGCAACATCATCAGCAGCACAGGCAACCACCACAACACCCACATCATCAACAGCAGCAACATCATCAACAGCAACATCATCAACAGCAGCAACATCATCAACAGCAACATCATCATCAGCAGCAACATCCTCAGCAAATCAGTTATCACACACAATTTCAGCAGCAGCAGCCTTACCAGCAACAGTTGCAGCACTACCAACAACAATCGGCACGTCCATCCATACAATCCATACAGGAGCCCTATCTGACGCCCAACATTTTTGTGCCCTATCAGCAACAGCAGCAACTGTTGCCGCTATTCCCACCACTGGCAACAGGAGCGGCAGCAACAGCGCCAGTTGCTGGCGTAGCAGCAAATGCAGCTATCGTAGCCAAAGCGAATGAAAATGGCCAGCAGCTGGATCATTTGAATGTGGCTTTGCCAGCGCTGCCCAATGGCTTGATACCATCGCCCATATTGCAGGTAGCACATAAGCGAAACGATGTCGAAATCGGGCAGCTGCAATTGTCGGACAGCAACGGCAAGGGCAAGATAGGTCAGGGTCAGGAGACGGCTTTCTATGCGGGTCGCACATCCTACCAGGTGCCGCAGAGTAGCGTCGGCCGCCTGCCCAATGATATTACGCATTTGCGACGATTGCGCCAGCGACGCCATTGAGACAGCCGAAGAACGAGACGGAGTTACTACTACAAGAACTTAAGTTATTATTTATATATTAAGTTTAGACTAAAGTTAATGCAATTGTAAATTATCTATATATATATGTATGTATTCTATTCTATTCAATTTGCAATATTTATTTAATAAATAAAACGACGAAATTTGTTGAAAACGTTTCTTTGGTTTCTTTTTTCTTTTTTTATATGCAATTTTTCGTTCATGGTGAGATTAAGTTTTATTGTTTAAAGTGTTTAGAATTGGTTGCTTATTTTTTAATGAATACAAATACAATACAATGTTTTTTGTTTTTTTTTTTTAGTTTTACATGTAGCTAATATTATAATTATTTATTTATTTTTATTGTTGTACAATATTCCATTTTGAATAGTTTTCGAATGTTGTTTTGTTGCGTTTTCTTTTTTGCCTTTTCTTTAATTGGTGTCAAACATTTTCTATTTGTGGTTATATGCTTACCTTAATTAATGCTGTGCACAATGCATATATCATCATCATCATCATCATCGTCGTCATTATCGTTATCATAAGTGTAATTATTATCGTTATAAATATAATTAAACGGTATGGCATGGAGTATTCGTTTTATACATACAAAAATTGAACTAAATTATCAATTGGCATATGCATAAAGTAGATAATATTTTTTAGTGTGAACGAATAATGACAGAAAATATAAACAATTCGTGATGTGAGGGATCTCAGCACAAGTATCTTCGTCGTCAAACGTAAAAGAGGCAATGTAAAGTATTTGCATTGTAGATATATAATTACAACTAAATAGGTACAAATACTAAGTACTATATATATGTTTATATATATACATATATATAAATATATATAATCGAGTTAATAATAATTTAAATAATATATATGAACAACTAAATATATCATAATATGTATATATATATATATGTATCTGAATTATAAACTAGCATTAAAAACTGTCGCCCACAGCGTCTACATAAAATGTACAGCAATCTTTTTACACAAGTGTTAAGTTTCAAAAGGATTATCGAACACATAAAAACAGCAAAAAGGAGTAACAGCAACGATTGCTTGATTCCCGAAACAGTAAAGATCAACAGTGTCATGGGTAGCAGCAACAACAGCAGCTGTTGCTACCTGAATCCAGTCTCGCGTTTTAAGCCATTGATTATATACAAAACAGGCAGCTGTCCGCAAGGTCGAGGAGGTCCTGTATCCGAGCTATTAACGTGCGCTCAATGCTTGACGTCCAGACGACATTTCTGCACACGCACGCGTACTCAGGGAAGCGAATTGATATTTAGTGTGGGCGGTGGCGCCGCCGTTTGCTCCCCCATGCTAGCCGACATGTTCACATTGGGTGTAAGAAATGTCGTTGATACTTTCTCTCTCGCTGCTCCCGCTGGCACATGCAGCTGGCAATAGACTTTGCGTTCCTCCTCGCATAGATTCCAGCTGGCGACACGGGCGCAGGGCACATGCGCCGCTGCCTTGCAGGTGCGTTCGAAGCAACAAACATTGGCACCGGGCTGCGCACAGTGCACGCACTGATATCGCGTACTATCCCAGACGGCTGCATCGAGACCGTTGACATGGGCGCCAATCAGTTGTATATCATTGGCCCAGATGGCGCAGTCCTCGTGCAGCCAAATCTCGTAGCCATGTTCCGAGGTTTTCGACATGCCGCGAAACGTTTCAACGAACTTGGCCTCGAGGTTGCAGTCAAGGGGATCCTGCGAGGAGCACTGCGATTCATTTGGGTCAGCATCGCTGCAGGAGTAGACGCTGTCGTGGGTTTGCTTACGCTTGCGTTTGTGCTGCAAGGATATTATATTATGAGTTAAAGTATATATTCAGTCGTTAGTATTTATCGCTTACCATCGTTATCTTGGGGGCCTGCATAATGTTCGCTAGCGTTGCTGGCACCACGGGCAGATTGCGCTCCTGCAGCTTGACCATGTCCGCGCGCTTGCGTTTGCTCACGAACAAGCCATCGATATCATGCACACCTGGTGGCACCTGCGCCGCCGTACGATACTCCTCACAGTCTATGGAAACCAGATAGGGGCCGAAGAGATCGCCCAGCCCCAGTTTGTGTGGTCCACACTTGCAGAATACACAAATCCAACTGGAATCTGTGGTGTCGGCATCATAGCGATTGCTCAACGTAGAGCTGTGCATGCCACGCAGGTTTTTGCGTTCGTGCGGCGCCTTTGTATGCTTCTTCTTCGTCTGCTTCTCGTTAACATCCTCGGCACTGTGCGTATTCTTAATGCTAATGCTGCCATCGGGCTTGATCAGTATGAATGGGGATTTAAACCTGAGATCTGGAGCTGCACCATTGCTGTTGCTCTCACGATTAGGCGCCGGAGTACTGTCTTCGTCGGTGCTAAAATTTTTACGTACGATTCCCTTTTTGCCAACATTCGCCTTGGCACCATTCTTTGCCGTTGGCTTTTTACCTTTGGGCGCATTCTTTTTCTTCTTTTTATTGTTGGCATTGCCATTGCTTGCCTTGGGAGCCAGGGCTTTGGCTGCAGCTACTTCACTAAGCTTACGTGCTGCTAAAGCAGCTGCTGCCGCTGCCGAGGTGCTGGGCTTATCATCATCACTTTCCAGCTGCACAATTTCCGTTTCAGGTGGAGGCTGCGCCGCCTTCTTTCGCGCTGGCGGTTTCTTCGGCTCCTCAATGGTAACGCGCAACAGCGACGGATCCATGCCCATTGAGAGTCGACGAGGTGGCAAGTAACGTGTTGGTGGCGTCTGTGGCGGCATTTTGGCGATTGGTGGCGTTGCAGCTGCTGCTGGCGCTGGCGACTGTGCTGTGTGCTCCTTGGCTGGCGGCTCCGCTATCGGCGTGGGACTGTGTACAGGGCTGGGCATTGTTGACTTCATGGCCGCCTTTGTCGCCATGGGCCGTAGTTCGGGCGTGGGTGCAGGTGTGGGTGCTGGGGTTGGTGTGCTGGCAGCTGGTGGACTGCTGGCTGATGGCTTATCCTGTCCAACTACCTTGTCTAAAGCTAATTGTGCAGTTAGGTCTGCTCTTTGTGGTCTGGCCGACTCGTCGGCTGGCTGTTCGGCAGGCTCATCCTCAATGCCTGCAAACATTTTCTCCAGCTTATCCTCCACCTCGTTGAAATGGCACGGCTCTGTTGCTGCAGTTGCTGTGACATTTGTTGGTGCTGCTGTAGCTGAGGCTGCGACTGCGGGCGATTGTTTTCCAGCTGGCGATTCTACTTCCTCCTCATCATCGTGCACGCTCACCGCGGGCTTGGCATCAATGTCGCCTTGCTCCACTAGAGCTGGCGATGCAGGCGTATCTGTGATGATAGCTTTGTTGTTGTCCAGCTGTTGCTCCTGTTGCTCTTTGCCAGTTACCGCCTCGCTGGCTCGACTGCTGTGGCTGCTATGCGTGCCGGCGCTGGAGCTGCTCGAGCTGCTGCTGCTGCTATTGCTCTGCGGACTGGGCGGCGGCATTTGCGATTCATTGGAAGCTTTTGTGGCGGTAGACTGGTGCTGCTGCTGTTCCTGCTGCTCCTGCTGCTCCTCATCCTCAACCTGGCGACGATGCTGCTGTTGTTGCTCTGTGAGATTGCGTTGGAGCAGCGCTTGTCGCTGCTTCTTAGTCTTGGGATTATCCGTATCGTTGTAGATCGTGGAGCTATTGCTGCTATTGTCAGCTGCAGCAGCAGTTGGTGGCGATGAGGCACGTCCATTTTCCTGCGGCAGTTCGTGCTGCTGCTGTTTATCCTTAAGGCCGAACGGCTGAAACTCGTGCACTGCAGCTCCATTCTTGGGTGAGTGCTTTGGACTGCAACTGTTGCTATGCGGGCTCGGTGTACGCTGCCTTTTCACATTTTCACTGGGCGTCAGGCGCATTACCTGGCTCGCCTTACGTTTGCGCCGCTTGCGACCATTGCTGCTGTTGCTATTAGACTCCAGCGACTCCTCATTGGATGTGGTCATATAGGGTGATTCAGGCGCTTCTACCAGCTGTTTATCCTCGGCAATTGGTTGACTATTGCATCGATACGAGGCCGTTGTGGAGAGATCCGTAATGATCGGTTGTGAGTCCTCCGGGTGCTGTTGTTGTTGATCCTCTGGCTTTTGCTTGGACAGCATATCGAGATTCGTTAATTGCGTATTGCGGGAATGCATTTGTGACGTTTGCTGCGACGTCGGTGGCTGCTGTTGCTGCTGCAACGGAGGTTGCTGTCGCTGCTGAAATTGTGCATTGGACATATGGGATAGCGGCGGTGGTGGTGGCGGTGCTAGATGGTTATGATGCGTTGGTGGTGGCGCATAATGTAAATGTTGCTGCTGCTCCTGTGGCATATGTTGTTGTTGTTGTTGGTGCTGCTGTTGTTGTGACGCATAGCTGCCAATGCCTGCGTGCAGCTGATGATGCAAATGCAACTGATTATAGTCCAGCGGTGACTGCGGTGTTGGCGGCGATTGCGGTCCATTATACTTCGGCGGCGTCATGCTATATGGCGACTGCTGCTGATGCTGCTGCTGTTGCTGATGATAGTTGCGCAGTGGCGAGGCTGTAAGAGAAGTGTTAAATATTAGAAACACTCCTTGTTTATATTCCACGGACTTACGCTTTTTGGCATGCTGCTGTTGCTGCTGCTGTTGCATATTGTGCGTAGCCAGTTTGCCTGTATAGCTGCAATCTTTGCTGCTTAGCTCGCTGCCCTTTTGCATGTTCTTTAACTGCGTCAGTTTAAAGTTCTCATCACGATTTTGCATGTAATGGGGCGGCGGCACATTGTTGTTGTTGTTGTTATTATTGCTGCTGCTGCTGCTACCGGTGTTGTTGCTATTCGAATTGCTGCCATTGCCGCTGCTGCTGCTGTGATTGTTATTGTTAGGCGGGGTACTGGGCGGTGGCGGCAACAACGACTCGCAATCGCCTGGCCCCGAACCATTCGCATTGAGATATTTGCTGGCTGAGCTCGCAGGCGATGCCGATGCTGGCATGCCCGGCAGATGACCTGCGGGCGTACTTGTGGTCAAATTGTGACTGTGAAATAAATAATAGGAGTCACTTAATATATAGTAAATATACAATATATATCATAAAGAAAATAGGCCTTGCTTACATCGTTGGATAATTAGGCGGAGCATGTAAATGCGATTGCTGTTGCTGCTGCTGTGATTGCTGCTGTTGCTGTTGCTGCTGCTGCTGCTGCTGCTGCTGCTGCTGCTGCTGTTGCTGCTGCTGCTGTTGGCCAGTTTTGTTCAGCGTAGGCGCAGCGCTGCGACTTGATTGCAGCGATAAATCCATGGAGTCAAAGGGCAATGTTCCAGTATAAGGCGGTGCCAGCAACGGATTCATTTGATGATGGTGATTCAGCTGCAATAATGTTCAAAAGCGATTAGATATGGTAGCAAACAAAAACGTAAACATAACAATAACGACAAGCGATTGGGCAGGAAGCAACTACAAATGCAAAAGAGAGATTTGAAGGAAGCTCGGGATTTAGCTACGGGTGGCATTTTGGAATTGGAGTTTTATTATAGTTTTTTTTTTTTTGATCGAATCGAACGAAAACTACGCTAATTACGTTTTTATGATTGGCCGACATAAAATTGTAAATGGCATCGGGCGGTGGCGGCGGCGGCTGGGCGGACGACGCATGCCAGGCCAATGGTGAGCGAACCAGCGATCTTTCATTGGACATGTGCGCCAATTGGGGCTGTCGCGGTATATACGAAGGTATCTGCAGAGATGATGGATGCATCTGTTTTTCAGCTTCATAGTCAGCATTCTATGTCTGTCTGTGTGTAAGTGTGTGTCTACTAGATACTTACTTGGAGGGGATTCCATGAGGGATTCTGTGCCGCTTGACTCAAATGCCCGTGCGGGTGATTGTTGTTGGACATGATTAGCTAGTCAAAAACATATGTATATATATACCTAACTAAATAGCTAATGCATAAAACTCATCTAAAGAGAGAAATTGATTGCCGACAATCACGGGGCGGCCGTCATGTGACAAGCAGACACAGGAGGACCAGGGCGTAAACGGAAATAGTTATAACTATGCACAGGACTCACACACAAGAAAACTAAAAACACTTTTGGCTGTTATTACTGCTACGAAACACATTTAATTGGGTTTGTTAACACGAGCACCTGACACTGTCTATAGGGCCATACGGCATAAGGTGCTATGTCCTGTCGCTCATTTGTTTATAGTGCCTGTGACTAAGTCACTGTTCGGAGCATCATTGGCAGCTATCTAATTATTGCAGCTGATATTTAATTCGAGTATAAACAAATTTCGCACGCACTTTTTTCACACCAACCACACGACCGCATCCACCCACTTGCAAAAGTTTTCAGCGAGCGGTCCTTGCGCGATACTCGCAGACAGTCGATAAATTATCGACAGTTGTCGACAGCGTTGTTTTGCATGCCTGTCCCTGGTATGCGCTGCTGCTGCGGTCGCTGGGCGCTACGCGAAAAACACGCGGTCTTTGTATCAATGAATGTTGGATTGCCTTATGGACATTTAGTGGCAATCGCATTTGCCGTTTGTTTGGTGATTGAATGTGGTTAGAGAAGTATGTGACTGGCTGGGCATAGGTGAGTATTAGTTGGGGAGTTTTGCTGATGATAAGCACTGTGTTTGCACAATACCTCAATCTTGCCTTCTCACTCACTCAAGTGCAGCGCATTGCAGCTTCGTTGTGACTGTTTTTGCGAATTACTTGTTTTGGGCCGAAAAGGCAGGCCAAAACCAAGCCTTGCCAAATAGCACAAACACACGCACTTTATTGCTAACACATTGTACCGTTTGTTTAATCTAATTATCATATGTTATTGACAAATGCCGTAATAGTTTTATGCGCTTTTATGTGTATTTCAATTTGTTTAAAACAAAATGTAATTTACGTGTGCTTCTGCTTCTGTGTTATGTGTGTGCCCATGTATGTGTGTTTCATGGTTCATTAGCGGAGTTGAGGAACCACAGTACTGGTTCATCATCAAGTGCAACATTGCGAACTCATCCACCACACAAAAATCAACAATATAAAAATAATGCAATCTGCAGTTATGCAAAGGAATGCAAAGGTTAAATTTAAATCGAATTAAAATTAAGTAATTTTGGTAGTATTTAAGAAGCTGCTGCCATACTACATACGGTATGTATTTCGCGGGTAAATCAGTCAGCTCTTGTCATGCAGCTGCGGGTTTCAATGATTATGTAGCCCTGAATTGTAGAAGTGTTTGCGTCCCACTATTGCACTTAAATTCACCGGCTTATCAGTTAATTTAAGTTAAAGTAACAATTATATTACAAAACAATAGTATTTTAACATGGAATCAAATAAACGTGGTGCCTTTATAGTATTTGAAGGGTGTGATCGTGTTGGCAAATCAACGCAAAGCAACAAATTGTGTAAGTTAATAAATTAGAAAATTCAGTTCGCACATGGGAAATACACAACATTTAGTTTATTTAACACTTGTTTGGTTTGACTAATTGGTTTAAGATGTTACAACATTTACATTTGAAACTTTACGCTTTATAGATGTGATACACTTAATAAACTGTGTTGACTTTTGTAATTAGATAGCTTAGCTGTATTCTAAGTTGTGGCTATGGTTGATTTTCCCGCTAAAAACTTCGTCGCGACTTATCAGTGGCCAGATTATTAGAATTGGCTCTAGAGTGAAGAGATTTGCAAAAATTGAAGTACAATTTAACTTAATTATTATAGCTAAAGCTATATTAAATAGCTCTATGAATGCATCACAGACCTTGTGTATTATTTAACTCTAAGTACTTAGCCAGGAATAAACCTTGATTCGGCTTCTAACGATCTCTGCTCTTAACGATCATAGTATCTTACCTAATTTTCAGAGTCACATAAATATATATTTATCTAACTATATACATATATATATATATATATATATATATATATATACATATATACCAGCTCAACACCATCTCAAATTAGTTCAATATATGTTTCCTTTACTAAGATGTCCTTAACTTAACCATACTTTGGGAAATCATATTTCAATGCCATTTTATAACGCTAGTATTCTTTGAATGGCTTCTTTGCTTAGATTTTGCTGTAATGGAGTTTGAAGATGAATGCCAACTACGTCTGAAGCACACCCATTCTTATGTTTTCACGTCAGCCAGTTAATGCTATGCAGCGCACAGGAAAACCCAGCTTAAAGAATTTGAATGCAGTAAACATGCAGTAAATCTCAATCTATTCACAGTCAAACTGCTGAAGGACAAAGATGTGGCTGTAAAGCATATCAATTTTCCGGATCGTAGCACAATAATTGGCGATCTGATCAATAGGTTTCTAAAGAACACCCAGGACTTGTCCAATGAAGTGATTCATCTGCTCTTCTCTGCGAATCGTTGGGAGCGCGTGAACAGCATCCAAGAGGATCTGCTTGCTGGAACGACAGTAATATGTGATCGATATGCCTACTCCGGCGTCGTCTATTCGGTAGCCAAAGGACTGGACATGGATTGGTGCTGGGCACCCGATCGAGGGTTGTTGAAACCGGATGCTGTATTCTATTTAAAGGCAAATCCCGACCAGTTGGCATCTCGCTGCAATTTCGGCACAGAGCGGTTTGTGAAAATATATAAATTTGCTGTAATATTCAGCAATATATTTAATTGGATCTCTTGTCTCATTGTAGGTATGAAAAATTGGAACTTCAGCGTAAAGTGAGCGAGCTATTTGACGATTTTAACGAAAGGGAATCCAGCTACTGGCATCAGTTCGATGCATTCGAAACGGAGCAGGAGCTGCATTCGCAAATTTCAACCATTGTTGAAAAGCTATTGCCGCAAGTGGCAGACAAACCGCTGGAAAAGCTCACATAACAATCAATAAAATGGATGGATTTTCATTGATTTACACATTAAGCGCACGATTTACATTAAATTTTCGATTGACGCATTGAGATATATGCATTTGTAAATAGTAAAAAAATAAACAATAGTTTAACAATGGGTTTATAAATGGAAATTGGTTAAAAACTTCAATTATAAAGACATCAATATAGATGTGCTAAAGTGTTTAAGCCCATTGATTTATCGCCCGCATCGTTGTTGGTTGCTCCATTGTTTAATTCATACTTAAGTATACCATATTTTTTTGTTTGATTTTGTTTTGTTTTGTTTACAATTACAATATGAACAAAGAGTGTATTACGGCTAAAACCACAGCAAGAACAAAATATGTTAATGTACACCTTCAACTTAGTTGCTAAATGATCCAAGAATTTTATTTGTGATGTGCTACCCATTGTGCTTGGCACTTGGTCCCGAAAAAACGCGCTCTCTGCCGTAATGTCATTCAATTCAATTCATAGTTCTCATAGTCCAAGAGGTCTGACCGTCGACTGCGTCCGGCTGCGCCTGATCCTGCTCTTGCCTTCGGTGTTCGGGTGCGCAGCGTCAACTGGCGATAGCCCGTGCCAGGTGTGTAGTCAATAGTACCAGCTGCGATGCGTGCTTGAAGATTGTTCAGACTGGTCCGGAAACGTTTCTGTGCCTGATGATACGAAGCAATGTCGCCATAGCTATGCTTCGGCCACATGCACTCACAGCCAGATGGCACAGTTCGCGTCTCCGACTCCCAGCAGCCGCTGCCTTCGTTCAGGCGTATCAGGTGAATGGTGCGATTAAGTTGAATGCACGCGAAGCCAGTTGCCGAGCAGATCTATTGGGATGATCAAATTAAATATTTATTAATATATTTTGAAATATATATTTAGTGAACTTTAACTTCAGTTCTCAGCAATATTAAGTATACGCACCTCACGCTTCTCACCAACTCGCTCGTTGAGCAATGCACGCAGCAACGGCAGCTCATTGTTGCGATAGTTATAGTTGTCATAGCTATGCAGGCGGGCAGGTAAGGGAGCATAGTTGTTGGCACAGGTCACCTCGACATAGTGATTGGGCCGATACTCGCCATTGTCCAGCTTCACAGTCACACGCTTCGTGGGGCACAACGATTGATAGGTGACCTGTTGGGAATTTATCAAAAAAAAAAAAAAAACAAGAAAAACCTATGAATGTCAGTTGAAATTTGAGGGATGTTAACTCTGTTACTTACACCGTCGCTGCTGCCCTGCTGCTGTGGTGGCAATGGAGGCGGCATAACGCTGCGCACGCGCCGCTTGCGTACATTCTGTATGCCATAGGGCAGCTGGTCGCTTAGCTCATCTGCATCCTTTGTGCCCACTGCATAGTCCTCCTCGCCTTCAATGTCCACGCCGTCCTCAACATCCTCTGACGTCTCGACGGGCATTTCATAGCGCTCCGGTTGACCGACTGCTGCTGCTCTGGCTCCTGCTCCTGCCCCTGCTGCATACCTACAAATTGCATATGCATAGAAAAATTTAAGCTTTGGCAATGAATTAGCGGCGATGCTCGCTCACTTGCAGCTGCCGGAAACGGCTGCGGCCGTCCGTAAAATGCGCTCAAAAAAAATGGAAAATAAAAGAGTAAAAACAAACAGAAAAAAAATAATAAATTCGCTTTTGACGTTTGCTATTTGCATGGCGTTAGATAGTTTTCAGGTTCCTTTTTTCTGTTTTTTTTTTTTTTTCAGCTGGGCAACAAAGCGCATCATTTTGCATTCAACTGCAGCAAATGCCAATGAATTTTTTAGCTTTCATTTTGCGGCGTTTGCCATCCGCGTTTATATCTAGCAGAAAGAGCGAGAGGCGGCAAGGAGTGCGGGGCGTGGCATACACAAAGCTCCCATAGTAACGCGACTGTCGTTGGCTGCCAGCGGATTTCCTCTTTTTCGTTGTCAATGCTGAGCGCTGAGCGGCAAAACCCAACAGCGACACCACCAAGCACCACTCAACCCAACCACCCACACAGCCAACTGCAACTGCAACCACTCACCGCGTACGGCTCCTGGAAGGGGAGGAGCGCATTTTTGAAGCGCACTTCAGGGCAAACACAACGGCTTTGATAGTTTTGTCGCAAACTTTGCGAAAATGTTTAGAAATGAATGGTTGTGTTTTCAAATTGTTGCCTTGGCCGTTGACTTAAATGAAAACTAGCCGGACTGGTAACTATGGCAAAAAAAAAACTATAAAATTAACTTGAGGTTTGCTTCGGTGTAAGGACTAAAGAAAATCTTTGAAATTGTAGTTTCTAGTTGAACTTCAAATTAGTTTACTTTAAATTGAAGCACATTTTTAGAAACTTTTCGTTACTTTCCTTTTTTTAGGACATTTTTTAACAATTTTTTTGTCTAAAGAGCTATAGCTACATTTTAAATAAATACCTATGTTTTAAATACGATTATAATAGACATTTTTTATTTATAATAAATATTTTTTATTTTCTTTGAACTCTTTTTTTATATATTTTAAATACAAATATTCTGAACTTTTTCTTTTATATATTTTAAGTACAAGACTTTAAGTTCTTCAAGTAAGAAAAAAAAGAAAATAAAATATATATATTTTTTAAAAACTCTTAAAAGAGATAACAATATATATATATATATATATATATATATATATATATATATATATATATATATATATATATATATATATATTTTTTTTTTTTTTTTAAGTAGAATAAAACAGAGACCAAAACAAAATAAAATTTTAGGACTGCCGCTCAAGTGATATAGAAAATATTCAACATTAAGGGAGAACGTGAAGAGTGCAGAATCCTAAAGATATATATATTTATTTATTTTCAGTTTTTATCCTTGTTTTCATATATATTATATATATAAAATATCATATAAAGAAAATAAATAAATATATAAAAAATTTAATATACAACTTTGGGCTTGAAAAAAAGTTTTAGTTTGAGCTACTGTTGCATTATTTCCTATCTATATATACAAATAAATCAAATATTTGAAAAATAATTGAAAATGTTATTAACAACTTATTGCCCAGGCCTTAAAAACTCAAGAAGTTCTCAAAATTCTCTATTCGAGTAGCGCATACAACTGTCGACTATTGACTTTAAGCTCTGCTTTTTTGTGCATTTCACAGTCTTTTGTCTTCGTCAATCTTTTGTTGGTTGAGTTCAGCTTGACGCCGAATTACGTAATCTTTTGGCATGGCGCAACGCAATCGCATGATCCTGTTAAGCCTGATCTGCCCAACGCACACACACACAAAAGAAAACAAAGCGAAGAAGAAGAAGAAAGAGAAATGCAAGCGAATCAGCTTAAGTGCATGAAGGTCTGGATTTTAGTTGATATGCAGAGCAAAGCTGGGGCCAAATCCAGCAGCTGACTCGGGGGGCTTACTGCTATCATATTTGGGGCACATTGAGGAATGTGACAAAGTCAGCAACTGCAGCAGTTGCATGCAACGTGACATCCATAGCGAAAAAGAAATGTCTGCTGCTAATTTTCGCTTGTTGTCCATTTTCTGGGCACAAATATACATATACATATACGCCGTACAGGTGTAGCCACCTACCTGTTCAGATAGCTGCTGCGACTCTGACGTTCCAGTGGCAAATGCGTTCGTTCTCTTTCAAATTCAGCTGCGGCTTGCCACACATTGTTGTTCTTGTCGCTATTGTTGTTGTTGTTGCTGTTGCTGTTGGCATTGCTGTTGCTGCTGTGCTGGGCAGCAAACATGCCTACACCTTGCACAGCCGCATTTAAGTCAGACAATTGCGAAAGGAAGTCATTGCGAGCAGCCTCGGGATCATCAACAAATTGTTGCTGTTGCTGCTGTTGCTCCTGGGAATTTGCATATAGTTTTTGCTGCCATTCGGCTGTGGCTTTGTTGTAGTTGCTATAGTTGTTGTTGTCATTGTCATTGTCGGCGATGCCATCAATGTTGCCATAATCGTTCTCACTGCTGCTGTAATAACTGTTGTATCTATTGTTTGGTGCGTCCTGCTTGGACTCCTCAAAGGCCAATGCGAGTGTTGAGCGCCGCGTTGAGCCACCAAATCGAGCAGCAACAATGGCCAGCAGCAGCAGCTGTAAATGTAGCAAAAAAATACACAACTATAACATGTTTTCTCTTCTCTTCTATTCTTTTTAGCTTAAAAGTAATTGGCTGGCCCGCCGCATAGCATTTAATATGTGCACTAAGTAACATTAGTGGCTTAAATCTGGCCACTAATTCGATGTGAAAGTCTCTCAGGCATTCGCTGCTGATTGATAAGCGAGTGAAACAAAAGCCCAGACACCGACACAGACACAAACTTCCTGTCGCAAAGTTCAATTCCCTTTTTGGATGTTGACAATCAATGCGTCGGCATAATGTCACAACCTTTACCCCACCCAATGGCTGAGCAGATCCAGTGAAACCCAAAAACCAAAACCGAACCCAAACAAGTTGTCTAAAACTTTGGAGCCTTGTCCAATGCCGGGCTTCACAGACTTCGAGCGAGTGGACTGGGTGGATTGCACGCGCCTATTTTCGACTGTTTTGGACATGAAAAACTTTCGACAAGCAGCACTTGGAAATGCTTCCACACATTGGAGGGTCTCACTGCCTTGTGTTGGCTGACTTTGATTATGTGGTCGGATTCTCTGTTTCCCCCAGTCTCTCTCTCTTTCACTCTATCTTGGCCAGTGCCTGCCTTCAGGGCAAATAGAGCCGTCGCGACGCGTCATCGCATTTGTGTTCTGTGTTTTGGATTCCTGATAATGGTCCATGGCTGGCGAGGCTCTTGGCCTGCCGTGCGAGCCATGCGATAATATGCCGTACGCGTTGCTCTTTCGCCATGTATGGAGCATATGTATATTATGTACTTTATAGGTATGTGTAGTCCTATATATCAGCACATTCATAATAAGCACACGATACGTGACCAAATAGTTGGCGCCAAAAAAGAAAATGCTCAAAAAAAGAAGAAAACTATGCAATTCCTAGTGGAGCATGGGCAATATGAGAGAGATTGAATACAAGTTGAATGTGAGAGCAACATGTCTTAGCATAAATATGGGAAAGATATATAGATGCTAATGTATTCAACAATACTTAAGAAAAAAATATTAAAAATATATAAAGTAATATGATATAAATATATATAAACAATATTTGATATACAAATATAAATAGTTATAAAATATATATAAACAATATAAATAAAAGAATATATGAAGTATATATAATATAATAATGAAATATTTATGTGTACAAAAATGAAAAATTAATCAAATATTTTTATTACATAAAACAAAATAAAAAATGTATATGATTATTATATTAAACAAAATATTAAAAATATATTAAATATTTTGTAAATACATTGAACATTATGACAAATATATATAATATTTCTAATATATAAAAAATATGAAAAATGAAAATACAATTTTTCATTTACATATATGATAAATATATTTATATATTTCTTTAAAAAAATATATACAAAATATTTAAGCTTCAAAAAATATAAAATTTATAAAAATGTTTATATGCATAAAAATGAAATATATATTCATGTGTAATTGAAATCTACCAAAGATTTTGGCAGCTTAAAATAAATACCCAAACTCATTCATTTTGGTTGGTTGGCTTGCAATGATTTTTTTGAGTAATTTTTGTTTTAGATAAAATTAAACTTTGTTGGATTTCATAAAAATTGAACTAATTTGAATTTAAAATTCTAAAAACAAAAACATTCCCAAACTCTAGTTTAAGAATGAAGGTATAAACCGCAGCAAATGGCATAAATCTTTTACTCTGGACTACAAGTTCTTTTATCTCCATCTAGTTTACATGCATACTACACACACACTCGCACACATGTATGTGTGTACACGCTATATAGAAATATAAGTTTCTTGTTGCTGTGGCTTTATAAGATTTCTTTTATGTCTGCTGCTGTGTGGCATTTCCTGCCTATCGTCGCTTGGCGCTGACTCTGGCTCTGCCTGCCTCTGGCTCAGTGCCTGCCGCAAAACTTCTTTCATTTGCGCTTTTTGCCTTGGCACCCAAGTTGCCATTTCCTCGTCGTTGCCCCCTCCCCCCACAAACCAATTGGAGCCAAGTTTTTGGGGCAAGTTTGTCAAACTATTTGTATGGAATTCACAATTTCTGTTGATGAAGTTTCGCCCAAGCCGCTTGCTGGCTTACGATGGCCGCGTGATCTGCGTGTACAAGTGTTTATGGAATTGAATACTTAGTGCCGGGGCTGAAGATGCCGTGCCGCCAGTAGGTGACAGTTGCGTGTTGTGTCAGTCCATTGACTGCCTGTTGGTCTTACAGGTGGCTTTGTCTTAGTTTAAGGCATCTTCGCCTGATTTAAAGTTGTCAGCATAAGCCGATTCCAGTTGGGTCAAGCTGAAAACCGGAAAAAGGGTCGCATAATCCCAGCTGCAAATCCCTGTCACACGCTCGATTCAAATATATTAAAGCCCGCAGCATTTGATTTAACTTTTTGTTTGTACTCGAAATTCAATTTAAATATTTTCATATAATTTTTACATAATTCATTGTTAAACAAGCTGCAAAAAGCATTTATCATACGTTTTAATCCTTGCAGAAGTTGTTTGAGCACTTTTTGTGCAGCATTTAATGAACATTAATTAAATAAATAATTGCACAAATAAATATGGATACACACGTGTCGGGCACAATTGAAATTATAATTTCATAATTTATTAGCGCAGATTTACATTGGTTTTTCTCTGCGCTGCGTTATGATTAACTTCTTCTTTTTTATATATCTGCTTTGGCTTATTGTAAAGCCTCTGTGATTGAAAAAACACACAGACTAAAGCTTACATTTGCATAGAAAATGTGTTTTGTTTTCAGTTACATAACTCAAAGCAGGTCAGAATTTTCTCTTGAATAGTAATTTGCAGCAATTTTCTTTGTCAACAATTCTTAATCTTTGCATAATATATAATAATACATATATACTAAATTATAGCGATTATAATATACATTTTACATCTTTACTCTTTCATTAATGTTATATACAGATCAAGTCTTAAACTCTAGTGCTACTGCCTCCACTTGAGACAGTCTAAGAAAGAGTAGGGGTAGGCATTATTCATATAATCTTCATTATCATCAACATGATCGTCATTATAATTTTTGTTTACATGATCATTATTGTTATTATCACATAGTAAGCATAAGCATTTTTAACATGATAATTTTATTAGCTATTATGTTAACCTTGTAATAACATTCTTCATATAACAATTTTTAACATTTTACTAATAAATAATAAGATTGACATAAATATATATTAATAATATAATTATAACTAATATTAACAAAGTTCTTTTTAACATATTATTTCTACATTTATTATTAACAATTTGAACTTACACTAATAGTACTTAAACTATTTAAATATTAACCAACTATCACAATAGAGCACTGCACAACACTTGGACCAACTCACACCACGTAGAGCACACGACTGACTGGGCTGCGCGGCTGGCTTGCCTTTATATAGGCGACGCTCTCACTCAAAGTCCAGCTCAATTCTTAGGCCTCGCTCAGAGTTTTGCTTGGATCGACTGAGAGCGCTAAGCGCTGATTGGCGCTCGAGCCGCTGCCGCTGCAGCATGCACTCTCGCTGACTGCCACGCACACATGCACACAGATTTTGGTGCTCACTGGCTCTCATAAGGGCAATTTGGTTTTTGAGTAACTTTCCAGAGAGATGAAGCTATACACAGACTGACGTACAGACAGACATTTCTAGAGCGAGTCAGCTCAGCCTCTTGATCAGGAATATATATGTTTTATGGTTGAGTTATTTTTGATTCTGCTCATTGCATACCTATTTTTAGTGTTTGTTTTTAATTTCTTATTTTATTTCTTGTCTCGAGTTTTCGCGCTTAAATTTTACATATTTTGTTTGTATGTTTTATGTATTGGAATTTCTTTTGTAATTGCTTTTTGGTAATACAAAAATTATTTATAATTTTTGGATTGTTATTAAATTGTAGAAGATTTCTTTTTTATTTATTATTTTTAGATATAATTTTTTGCAATTTTTTTCTTATTTTCGTATATTTTTTATTGAGATGTATGGAAATTTGTATGCTTAAATAAAAAAAAAAAATTATTTATAAGAAAACATTCCTATCTAAACATATTACCTAAAAAAGTAAACTGCTAATGTATATAAAAACTTAATTTATTTCATATGAACTTCTGCATTTGTTTTTAAACTGCAAATAAAACATTTGCGCTTTAGTTTCGACATGTTTTGATACTTGATTTGTTTATTTTTCTATTCTTTCCAATATTAAATTGATAACCTAGTTTGGCCAATGTATTTGGGTTTTGTGCAAGGCTTTTTCGTGTCTTTCAGTTTTCTATTTTATAATCTTTTTTATTATTATTTTGCTGCTGCTGTCATTCAATTACATTTTCAATCAAACAACAGTCCAGCGTTCCTTGTTCAATTGTTCGCAAACATATGTAAAGTGTCGATATATGTATATATATATATATATATATATTGCATAAATTTGTGACCTTTGAGTTTTCAATTCAATTTTGTGCACGGCAGCAATTGTTCGAACCAAACTTTGTCCTTACTCCCAAAAAGCGCAAAAACAAGCAACAAAAATACACACACACCCCAGTACACACACACACTTGTTGTGGCACGTAGAGGCACACTCTGCCGCAATTTGCATGCATTGAACAAGAGCAGCTAAAGGGGGGCGTTGCGCCGTTTTCACCCAAAACATAAAACAACAGCAAAAGAGAAAAAAACATTTTTTAGAACATGAAAAATTTACATTGCTTTTTTCGATTTGTTTTAATTGTTGCGCTCGCCTCCTGCTGCAGACGTTGCTGTTGCTTTTGCTGTTGCTGTTGCTGTTGCTTGTGTTGTGTTTTGGCAATCCATGCGGCTGCTCTGCCGATTATTGGCAATTGTCAAATATTAGTTTTTGTTATGGTTTCATCAGAGCGAAGCATTGATGGCGATTTTAATTAATTTCAAAGTTTGCCAATTTCAGAACTTGACTACAAGTTGCCCTTTCATTTATTTATTTTCGCTATGTATACAAATTTCTCGAGTGTTTATAAGTCAATTTGCCCATAATTAAAAAATGAAACGCAACAAGAGTTAAGACAGATTGCAGCTCTTTGAGCTATTTCAGCTATTTTCATTTGAGTTATAAGACTTAAAGAATATAAAAAGTTGACTTCTTATAGCCTTTACTTGGTAGTTTAAGCGCAAACTAATAAAAAATGCTGGAAGACTGGAAGTTTTGCTCAAAAATAACTTAGTTTAATATTATAAAACTATAATATTATAAAACATTTATGGGAAGCAAGAATCTATAGGTTTAATATTTTTATAAAATATTTTTCTATTATATTTTTATTATTAATTTATATAAACAAATATATGAAATATTTAATTTCAATTAAAACAATTGTTATTTATTTTCTATTGAATGCCAAATAAAAATATTAAAAATAATATTCGATTTTTCAGTCAGTTTTCAATTTCATTTTACATTATATGGATACTCAGCTATCTCCGTGCTGCCAACACGTTTGGACATTTTGAATGAGCAGTGAATGTTTGAGAGCTGCTTTGCTTGGACGTGTTTTGGCTTGCCTTCAATGTTTGCCTATTGCAAGCAATGAAGCCATGAATCTGTCTCAAATGCTTGATCAAAAACAAGAAACTACTGATGGCGCAGCCAATGTATTCCCCAGACTTGAACCGCTGTGAATTTTTCTTGTGATGAGGCCCATAAAAGGTCGACGCTATGCTTCGATTGAGTAGATAAAGACGGCATCGAAGGGGGACGGACCCCAACCAGAGCATTATAATTGAAATTTTGAATTGCTTTGAGGATTGTAAAAGCGTTGGCAGCAGTGCTTCATATCTGTTGGGTTTAAAATAGATATTCATGAATACTAAAGAAATAACTTCCCAATAAACACAAATTTCAAAAAACTTCTTAAACAGATCTTGTATAATTTGAAATAAGAGAATTTTACTTTCTCTTGCAAATTCGGGAATTCGACTTCATGAAAAATAAACTCAGACTTCAGCTGTTTCTATAAGATTAAAAAAACTAATTTGTATACAGTTTTTATGCCGTCACATTTCTCTCGCTCTCTACATGCTTTCAACTGCTTCATCTTTAATCAACTTCTGTATATAATATTAAATCCTTGCTGTATCCCAAATGGCTGGCACAGTTCATTAAGCATAGCTCGAGTCGAGCCAGACGCCTTAATTTTTGCTTTCGTCTTTGAGGTTTCTACTTAATGTTGCGCATACGTCACGTGCGCCCCGTAGTTGACACTTGGTGCGTTTATTTGCCATGTCCACTTGCTGTGCTGCTTTGGCAAAGCTTAATCACCTGGCCCAGCCGCACGTGCATTACCTTTGTACACGCACAGAGCTACACACAGTTAGTGCATTGCTTTTTTGCGCTAAGACTTTGAGCTTGTTGTTGGCAACAATTAGTGGCTAACATTGGCTATTGTTCTTAGTCCACTTTTTATGATCAGGATTTGTTCACTCTCCTTCTATATATATCTATCTATATTAACTTTTGTCATTTGCTGTCCTTGCGCAGGATTTTGCATTGATTAAGCTACTTCATTGAAAAGCTATTTATCAATTGTATTTTGCAATTTGCTAATGCACACACACTCACACACACACACACACACAAATAGCCACTTAATGCTATTGTCAATAAAAATAGCTTTGGCTTATGCGACCATCGTTCGCATTGTTGTGGCTGGCTCGTTCGCATGCATTAAGCTTTGAGTGCAGAAATTATAAAAGCAAAAAGTTGAGTTTTTAATGAAAACCGTCTCTCCCTCAATACCCTAACTCTACTGGCAATTGAGACTGCTGAATGCATTCAATTAGTTGGCCCTAACAAGTAAACCAAGCGCAAAAGCCTCAAAGCATTTTTAGCTCTTGAAGTGTTTTAGTTAGTTGGTCAACTTGACTCTATTATAGTGTATAATTGCCGACGCTCTAATCAGCTAAAAAGTTTTTTATTTGCACACACACAGACACATATGGCGAAAGTTACAGCCACAAGCTGATGCGTGTTTGCCTTGATTTCCATATTGATTTATTTAATGCACATAATGGCATTTGGCGAGTGTTTCAGCGTGCGTGTGTGTGGCGTGCAACAAGTGGCAAAGTGTTAAATGCAGCTCAATATACATAAATTTATCGAGCATTTGGCTCGAGGCAACTGTGGCATGCTGCACTGCACCTAGTTGGGAGATAACTTCACAAAACTTCAGTTGGCTGTTGCCATTCACGTCAGCTTATTGGCATGCAGTTGCATGTGTGTGTGTGTGTGTGTGTGTGACTCCAGCATATTGAAATTGTTGCCATAGCAGACGTAATCCTTGCCAACGTTCAGGGTTCAAAACATGAAAAGGCCAAGGCGCCAGCAACGCGAGCTGATAACAAAAAAATGTAATAAACGCCAGGCAAAATATTTGTCAAATCAATTTCAATTTCAATGTAGTCTAGTGTTTGTGTCAAGGACACACACACACACATGCGCACACACTTATATAAGCGAGTATAAAAATTGAATAAGTTAAGAGGAGCTAGCTATGTGCGCGCCAGTTAAGGTTAGAATCTTTTGCTGATTTTCCATTTTATATGCATTATTTTGCCTTTGGCAGACTCACACTCAACCACACACATGTGTGTGTGTATGTGTGTGTGTGTTACCCACGCATAACACTTTTGTTGAGCGACGCTTGGGCGAAAGTTTTTAAGGTTACGTCGACAAATGACACTTGAAGCCATTCTTGGGCCATACACTCTCCCACAGGGACTATCCATGATCTCTTCAAACTTGTTGGCAGAGTAGACGTTAGAGTATAAACTTCAGCTAGTTTGGTAAAAACAGTGTTTCGAGCAGAGCTTAATAATTTTACTGCAAATTTCAAGGATTTACTATAATACTTTTACGACTATAGCTTAATAAATTCTAAATAAATTCTTTTGATTTGCTGAGCAATAAATATTAGTGTAAAATTTGTTTTGTTTGATTTTCATATATATTTTACCTAATAATAAAAAATACTACTAAAAAAAATACTACTTTAATACAAAATCTAAAGCTTTTTTTTAATATAATTATTCAGAGCATAAAATATTTTCTGCATGAAAAGTCTGCTCAATTTTCAGCTCAATTTTATTTTTCTGCTGAACTAAGATTCAAAGAAATTTAATTTGATGTGGAAAAACGACTTTGCCAACTAAGCCTTGAGGCTGCGTTTTAGCTAGAATTGTGATTCAAATATTTATAAATTTATATAAAATGCACAGATGTTGTCAACAAAAAGGCCAACTCTACACAAAGAAAATGTAACCCAATAATATCACTAATACAATGTGAGAATTTATTTGGTCAGCTGACCAGATATGCGCCAATTCACAGCCAAAGAGAGAGAGAGAGAGATATTATTGAAATATAGTATATAAATCTCCGAATTTTTCATTAAAATACAATTTTGTTTATGCAAATATTAATAATATTTTATGACAATTTTAGCAAACTGAAAGATATTGAAATTTCTTTTGTCCCAATAATTATTGATAAATTAATTTAAGCGTCAAATACCCTAATAATTACTTAACAAATTTGAAGGCTA